AAAAGAATCATCAAAAAATTAACAAATTCATTATTTTAAATTATAATAGGAATTTTTTGATTATATAATGGAGCAGAATAGCTTCTTCTTGTGATGATCGTTTAGCAAATCGTCTTGGTTGGATAAAATGAATATTCAAGTGCAATACTATTTTGCATAAATGTGCTAAAAAGAAGGCAAGAAACAGCGAATGGAAAATTTTTGTTGTTTCTTTTTGGTGCGAAGCCGGGTCTTCTTCTACTTCACTTTCGTACATGTGTAACAAAAGTTTAATTCCTTCATATTGAATATGAATATATGAATAGGTGTAGATGGGCTCTGTGGCTAGAAAATCATCTGTCCAGTATTTCTAGATGATAATTTTATGATACTTAATCTTTTGTGGCTAAAATTATCATGTGATAGCTTTAGAGGAATTTAAAAAACGATACACGTTTTGCATAAATTTAATTTAATTTGCTTGTTTTAGGATTTGCTTGATGAATTAATTTCTGAGTCAATAACTTTTTAACGGAAATATCAGATTTAAATTCTTGACTAATAATTTGGTTGAAAATGCGGTAATTTCTATCTTTCAATGATTAATTGATGCGAATGACTTCAAAAGACGCTTGAATATGAAGGAACTCATTAGGGGCCGTTCATTTATTACGTTACGCAAAAAAACGACTTTTTTCACCCCCCCCCCCCCCCCCCCCCCCTTGTTACAATATGTTACAACTCACCCCCCCTCCCTGAACGTTCATAATTTTATTTTGATAATTTTTTAAATGTTGTTATTAAAAACATTTATAACAAAAACTATGTATTGCTTAACTATCAAAAGTGATCTGGACATTCATAAATCATTAAAAAGGTCGAAAATTTAAAAAAATGTTTTTGGTGAGAATTTGTAAACAAATTTTTTTCGTGAACTTTTTTTTAACTGAACTTTAGTGAACTTTAGAACGTTACATACTTCTTGAAACCCCCCCTCCCCCCACCTATGTTACATTTTGTTACAATTTTTCAAACCCCCCCTCCCCCCTAAAATGCGAACGTAATAAGTGAACGGCCCCTTATTCTGTTGCAGAGTTTGCTGAGTATGAACAAGAAGACACAAAATTTCATTGAACCTTGCAGTGATCTGTTAATTTATTGGATATTTCAGCAAAACTTTTAAGTAAATTCGCACTAGCCTTGAAAAATTCAGGCATAAAATATAGCTTGTATAAAAAAAAATTAGAAAGAAATTGCGAAAGAAAATTCTAGAATTTATGCATAGCTTCAAAATCGCCTCATTTTGTAAGTAAACATTAAGATGAAATTTGAGCATGAAGAAGTTTAATTTCAACAATCTATACGAACTGTTTTAATTCCTTTCTGTTGAATCTAAATATGAAAAGGTGTAGATAAGTTCATTTCTTTTTGTATATAAGAATCTAATGAAATTTAAATATTTGTAATTATCTCATTCAGCCAATTTTTCAACAAGACTCTCTGTCTAAATAAATAATTTTGCTTTATAGAGAACATGCTAGGCTTAAATCTTGTAGTACGATAAAACAAACAAGAAATTTTCAATGAAAGAAATATTTTTTTCCGTTCTTATATTATTCATAGATTACACAACAATTCTAAACATATAATCTATTCCAATGGAGGTCAATTGTAATGCTCGTGTTAGACAAGTTAAGATGAAATTTATCAACATTAGCGAGCAACATTCTTTATGACACAAACAATGTATGTCTTTAAATAAGGTGACAAAAGTTCAATCAAGCAAATAATTTCAGCCACGTCAATTGAACACATTATTCTACAAATTTATTTTTTAAGTAAAAATAATAATAATGTCGTGTATTGCCGAATATTCAGTAAAGTGGGAAGAAATTTTCGGCAAAATTTATAAAAAAAAAAAATTTGAATGTATCTAATACACAAATACAGCAGAAAATGAGTTGCTTTCCTCTTCTTCAATACACGTGCTTCTTCGAGGACTGTTGAATAATAGCCATCTATTACTCTGTTGATTTATCATTAAAATAGAATCATATCACCTGACTTGTTAACACACGTAGATACAGTTTGCAATTTTTTTTGGAGCAATTAGGTAATAGGAGAGCTTTTTTTTTTGCTCTTATCATAACGAATTGTACAACAGTTTTCAGCAATACATTATCATGTGTATAAATATTTGTTATACCAAAAATACATTTTATCTCTCGCTCTGTACAATGCAAAGTATTATGAAAAAAGTTGCCGGTGCTAAATTAATTTTATTTTTCCGTTAAATTTCAAAAGATTCCCCATGCTCCAAATGGTTCCTTTAAGAAACTTGTTCATGTTTGTGTGTATGTCGAAGTCGATAATAGGAGGCAAAAAAATGAAAAGAAAGGAAAGAAAGAATAATAACAATAGCGTCACAAATGAATGATACGAAGATGAAAAAAATTCAAAAAACTCACGTAGCACTTAAGTTGGTAGAGTACGGAGCAAAGAATATTCAAAGTCAGTCTGTTTGCAGCCGGCATCCGAGTAACAAGTGCTCTTAAAACCTAAAAAATTCCAGTAAGTATAGCAGATACTTTGAGACTTTAACTTATGAAATTTTTTTGCATACAACGTGGAACTTTGGAAATTTTTTGAAATTTATTTCAATTTTTTTTAAAGCTAGCTTTAAATTATTTTTACTTTGATTTTTGCAAAATAAATTAAATTGAAATAAGTTCAAAGAATTTTCTTAGAAGTGAAACGAAAGTTTGAGAAAAGTGAAAAAAAAAATTATGCCATGTGTTGGCAATGTGATGCATATTGCAAGGATATCGCGTTGCAAAAGCGTGGTCACATTCAAATGCAAGCAGCAAATGATCGCGTCATGCAATTAATCTAAATTATTCTTTCATGTCTCATGATAAATTTATTTTCGGGCATGTCATGAATTAAATTCTTGTTCAAATTGAGTGAAAATTCCACACATTTGTGGATCTATTCTAATATGTTAAATTGAAATTAATTGGATATGATTGAATATGCATACATACATCTACATATCAGTGCCGGTTTCGATTTTATTTTACTTGTTATGCTGTTATGCATCATTGAACTGTTGCATGTATTTGTAAAGGCGTCGTTTTCATCCAAATATGCCACAATTATCACGTAGGGCTCATGTTAATTGGAAACTCTTTTTGGTTCTTATTGCGATTCTTTTCTTAGATTTCATTTTAATGCCTTTTCGTTTACATGTTTGCCAAAATTAAAAAAATATAAGGCTTCCAGACATGGCTTTATGATTCATAACGCGAATTCTCTTTTCGCGAAAGGAACGAAAGAGAATAAGAAAAAGTCATGAGAAGCCGGCAAATTTAAGTATTTCGAAACAATTCAAAAGCCGGTAATAATATTCGTTGTTCCGTAGATGCGCAAAAAAAAAGAAGAGAAGCAGTCACTCAATAGAGGGCTTGTCGCTCAGATACATTTAGATTACTCAACAGAGCAAATCAAAAATGTGATCGAACGACAAAAAAAAAAAAAAATAAAATAACAAAAACAAATATTAAGAGCGAGTGAGATGCGGGAAACGCGGGAAAGAGTAAGAGAACTGCCAAACAAATATTGCGCGTGTTATATAATTTATGGAAATTTTTCACAGTTTCCAAAAATATATTTCGCAACTCCTAAATTAATAGAAACAAACGATGTTAATTTAATTTAGTTCAATTGAATTTAATCTAAGAGAATAATATTTTTTCGTTACTCACATTCTGTGCTGTTATATAGCATATAGCACATAAGTTTGCAAGATAATTAAACAGTTGATTTATCTAATGTTTAAGTTCCCATTTTCATGCATGAATAAACAATTAAACTTTATTTTTGAGCGAGAAATTAAGAGTTGCGGATTAATACGAACCCCCTGCGTTTGCATTCTTAAATGTATTGTTTATTCAATTGGCAACGCATGGCTTCTTATTTTCTTCTCAATTAAAGTAGCAAAACGAGATGAGGGAGAACTGAAATTTTAATATTCGATTGCAAAACTTATGGCCATAAAAGACGCTAAAAAGTCGATGAGAAACTCAACTGGAATTCTTATTTCATCTTACATTCTATTCTTAACATTATTCATTCAATCTTGAATAAGAAATTCGTGTGCAGGAAATAAATGGATTAAAGATTTCTTATTCTCCTTCCAATTCAATTCTTATTTGTTCCTTCTTTTTGACTTTTCGTCTTTCTCTTTCTGCTGGTGAGTCTGAAACGTTGGGACGCGATTCTCGATTCTCATGGGTATTTTTAGCACAGCCAAAACAATAAAAATAAAAATATGGAGAATTTTATGATCATGAAGAAGAGGAACTTGACTTTTTTTCTCCTTCTTTTCGATCGTCTTCTGCAAAAAATGCGGTTTCTTATTAAAATAAATTAATATAAGAAGATCAATAAGAAGAAGATGAAAAACCACGCGCACTACAAGCCAAGATTTTCATGCCAAATGTTCCTGTTACACAACTTATTTGGCGCGATCGTTGATGTAGAGATGCCGGCTTCTAGAAATAACACGCGCATTATCTATAAACTTTACTTTTTGCATAAATTTACATTTTTCTGGACTTTGTTTTTTAAACGTGAATCGGGTGGCTATAGAACAAGTTGTTGGTCATTTTATGGCCATTTTTAGTCAAAAAGAAGATTTTCGCGTGACTTTTTCTTCTTCCCAAATCTTTAGTTGATTCTTGATCAAGATTATAATGGCAGGGATTTAAATTAGACTTAATTAAATTAATTTAATCTCTTAATATGAGAGCATGTATATTTGTGTATTTGGGAGATCAATTAGAGTATGAATATATTTTTTCAATTCTCAAATTTTCTTTTCATCTTCTTGATTATAAGTGACACATCTTTCCTGTCACTTGACTTTGTCGCTTATTATTACTTAACAGATGCCTTAAATAATTCTTTTCTTCTTTTGCAGAATTTTCTTTTCGTTCGTTGAACTAATCAAAAAACAATCGTAAAAATGGTCGCCACACCAGCAATGCCTTCAATGACTGACGCTCAAGTCGCAGCCGTCAAGGGAGATTGGGAAAAAATCAAGGGATCAGGAGTTGAAATCTTGTATTTCTTCTTGAACAAGTTCCCAGGAAACTTCCCAATGTTCAAGAAACTCGGTAACGACTTGGCAGCTGCTAAGGGCACAGCCGAATTCAAGGATCAAGCTGATAAGATCATGTAAGCTTAATCATCATACATCCATCATTAGTCTTTTATTTAATTTTAAATTTCTTACAGTGCCTTCTTACAAGGAGTCATTGAAAAGTTGGGATCAGACATGGGTGGAGCAAAGGCTCTCCTCAACCAATTGGGAACATCACACAAAGCTATGGGAATCACCAAGGACCAATTCGATGTAAGGGTTTAATTTTTGCTAATGAATTCAAATTTATTAATTAAATGTCTATTCTTCCTCAAATTAGCAATTCCGTCAAGCTTTGACTGAACTTTTGGGCAACCTTGGATTCGGTGGCAACATCGGAGCATGGAATGCAACCGTTGATTTAATGTTCCACGTCATCTTCAACGCACTCGACGGAACCCCAGTCTAAAGATTAAACCTAAAATTTTTAATATAATCCATTTTTTTCTTTTTGATTTTATTTTACTTTTGTGCCTTTACTAACTCGAATATCCACTCGAACCAATTATAGAAATACAAAAAGTATCAATAAAAGTATTTTGCGTATATTTTGCTATCACGTAAAAAACAAACAAACATCTTCTGTTGTCTTCTTGACTCCTTACACCTCTTTTTTCAGAATATTGAATATTATTTTCCAAAAAATCACGTAGACTTAAATTCCATTCTTCTTGACTAATTTGATAGATTTGGTTATTAAATGATAAAAAAAAATATTATAAGAGTCATCGTAGGCATGCTGAACATGAGTTTTAATCAAAATCCAATAAAATTTGATCTTCATTATTTAAGAAGAAATTCGAGTTTTTAATTTGGAAACAGCATTTTTATAGTTTCTATGCAAGAATGCCGTTGCTGCTGCTTTAGTTGAGACACGAATTTTGTACGAGGAAAATTATTTTATCCCGAGACACAACACAGCTTAAACCCACAGACTAATGAAAAATTTCACAGCAATCAATCTCTTTACCTGATGTGACAACCCATTTAGATTAAATTCTTATACTTACATACTTTCTGGATGCATTGTCACTGTTTTATGTACCAGTCAACGTATCTCATGTCGATCGATTTGTAATCCTGATTCCTTTTAATAGGGGCTATCCCTAATTTTTAACGATAAAATAGTAAAATATAAAGAAATAGAAGAAGTGCCTACGTGCAGACTCAAACGCACCACATTACATCAATAAATCTTTTTGTGGAACCGTTGTAAAACTTGTAACGATAGTAATAGTTCCACATCTGTCATAATTAACATATTTAAAGTGAAACTATTAACACACGCACAGCAGACGTAAAATCAATAGCTATAAATGCTCTAAATAATTAAGCATTATGTGTTTTTAAAGAAAAACAAAATACGAGCATCACATGACAATAAATTTAGTATCATTCCTCTTTATCCTTTAATATCGCATTGCGAAAACATCAGAAAGCTCTTCTCCTTAATCCCCTTTTAATTGGACTTTGAGAGTAGCTTAAGTGAATTATTTTTATATTCACACCGTTTTCACGTGTGAATCAATTGGTTTTGTTCAGATTGAAAAATCAGGTTTTTGAATTTTTTGAGGATATGGAGCAAGATAGCTTAAAATGTTCAGAAATGAAAAGTTTGTGCCTTGAATTTCACATCTTTTGCAAAAAACAGATTTCAAATTGGTTGCGGCATTGCTGAGAAAATCGCAAAATATGCTTTCTGTAAGCAAGCAAACAAGCAAGTTAATCAGCAAGAAATCTCAATAACGAGACATTGTAGAGACTTCTAGTTTTTTACATTTGATCCATGCTGCTCTACAGAAGAGCTGTATTGTTTTTAAGGCAAGGTAGGAACAGCCGTTGCTTCAGAAAAAGCAAAAAACTTTTCTTTCTTACGAATTTTTCAAATTAAAAGTTCACTGTGATTTTTTTTTTAAATTAAACTTTGGATGAAAAAAATTTTTTTTAAAAAAAAAACCAAGTAGGAAATACATTTTCAATTTTGGACTAGGGGCTAGTTTGTTTTATTTGTATTTGTTTTAAGCACTAGAACATTAATGAAAAGTTTCAATCCATTTGGATAAACCCTCGAAGAAAAAAGTGACAAAATTGATTTTGACTAGGGTCGCCCCTTGTCCAAAATTGAAAATGTATTTCCTACTTGGTTCTTTGCTCAGAAAAATTTTAGGATGTTTTATTTGTATTTGTTTTAAGCACTTGAATATTTTTGCAAAGTTTCAATCCATTTGAATAAACCCTCGAAGAAAAAAGTGACAAAATGATTTTGACTAGGGTCGCCCCTAGTCCAAAATTGAAAATGTATTTCCTACTTGGTTATTTGCTCAAAAAAATTTTAGGATGTTTTATTTGTATTTGTTTTAAGCATTAGAATATGTATGCAAAGTTTCAATCCATTTGGATAAACCCTCGAAGTAAAAAGTGACAAAATTGATTCTTTGCTCAGAAAAATTTTAGGATGTTTTATTTGTATTTGTTTTACGCACTTGAATATTTTTGCAAAGTTTCAATCCATTTGAATAAACCCTCGAAGAAAAAAGTGACAAAATTGATTTTGACTAGGGTCGCCCCTAGTCCAAAATTGAAAATGTATTTCCTACTTGGTTATTTGCTCAAAAAAATTTTAGGATGTTTTATTTGTATTTGTTTTAAGCATTTGAATATTTTTGCAAAGTTTCAATCCATTTGAATAAACCCTCGAAGAAAAAAGTGACAAAATTGATTTTGACTAGGGTCGCCCCTAGTCCAAAATTGAAAATGTATTTCTTACTTGGTTTTTTGCTCAAAAAACTTTTAAGATGTTTTATTTGTATTTGTTTTAAGCACTAAAACATTTATGCAAAGTTTCAATCCATTTGGATAAACCCTCGAAGAAAAAAGTGACAAAATTGATTTTGACTAGGGTCGCCCCTTGTCCAAAATTGAAAATGTATTTCCTACTTAGTTCTTTGCTCAAAAAAATTTAAGATGTTTCATTTGTATTTGTTTTAAGCACTAGAATATGTATGCAAAGTTTCAATCCATTTGGATAAACCCTCGAAGAAAAAAGTGAGAAAATTGATTTTGACTAGGGTCGCCCTAGTCCAAAATTGAAAATGTATTTCCTACTTGGTTTTTTGCTCAAAAAAAATTTAAGGATGTTTATTTGTATTTGTTTTAAGCACTAGAATATTTATGCAAAGTTTTAATCCATTTGGATAAACCTTCGAACAAAAAAGTGACAAAATTGATTTTGACTAGGGTCGCCCATAGTCCAAAATTGAAAATGTATTTCCTACTTGGTTCATTGCTTAAAAAAATTTCGGATATTTTATTTGTATTTGTTTTTGAGCACTAAAATATTAATGCAAAGTTTCAATATTTTTGGATAAACCCTCGAAGAAAAAAGTGAGAAAATTGATTTTGACTAGGGTCGCCCTAGTCCAAAATTGAAAATGTATTTCCTACTTGGTTTTTTGCTCAAAAAAAATTTAAGGATGTTTATTTGTATTTGTTTTAAGCACTAGAATATTTATGCAAAGTTTCAATCCATTTGAATAAACCCTCGAAGAAAAAAGTGAGAAAATTGATTTTGACTAGGGTCGCCCTAGTCCAAAATTGAAAATGTATTTCCTACTTGGTTTTTTGCTCAAAAAAAATTTAAGGATGTTTATTTGTATTTGTTTTAAGCACTAGAATATTTATGCAAAGTTTTAATCCATTTGGATAAACCTTCGAACAAAAAAGTGACAAAATTGATTTTGACTAGGGTCGCCCATAGTCCAAAATTGAAAATGTATTTCCTACTTGGTTCATTGCTTAAAAAAATTTCGGATATTTTATTTGTATTTGTTTTTGAGCACTAAAATATTAATGCAAAGTTTCAATATTTTTGGATAAACCCTCGAAGAAAAAAGTGAGAAAATTGATTTTGACTAGGGTCGCCCCTAGTCCAAAATTGAAAATGTATTTCTTACTTGGTTCTTTGCTCAGAAAAATTTTAGGATGTTTTATTTGTATTTGTTTTAAGCACTTGAATATTTTTGCAAAGTTTCAATCCATTTGAATAAACCCTCGAAGTAAAAAGTGACAAAATTGATTTTGACTAGGGTCGCCCCTAGTCCAAAATTGAAAATGTATTTCCTACTTGGTTATTTGCTCAAAAAAATTTTAGGATGTTTTATTTGTATTTGTTTTAAGCATTTGAATATTTTTGCAAAGTTTCAATCCATTTGAATAAACCCTCGAAGAAAAAAGTGACAAAATTGATTTTGACTAGGGTCGCCCCTAGTCCAAAATTGAAAATGTATTTCCTACTTGGTTCTTTGCTCAGAAAAATTTTAGGATGTTTTATTTGTATTTGTTTTAAGCATTAGAATATGTATGCAAAGTTTCAATCCATTTGGATAAACCCTCGAAGTAAAAAGTGACAAAATTGATTCTTTGCTCAGAAAAATTTTAGGATGTTTTATTTGTATTTGTTTTAAGCACTTGAATATTTTTGCAAAGTTTCAATCCATTTGAATAAACCCTCGAAGAAAAAAGTGACAAAATTGATTTTGACTAGGGTCGCCCATAGTCCAAAATTGAAAATGTATTTCCTACTTGGTTTTTTGCTCAATAAATTTTTAGGATGTTTTATTTGTATTTGTTTTAAGCATTAGAACATTTATGCAAAGTTTCAATCCATTTGTATAAACCCTCGAAGAAAAAAGTGACAAAATTGATTTTGACTAGGGTCGCCCCTAGTCCAAAATTGAAAATTGATTTTCTATGGTTTTCTTTGGTCAAAAAATTTTTTTGGATGTTTTATTTGATTGATTTATTTTGTAATGCGTAGCTTAAAAAAAATTGAAATCTAAAATTTATACTATCCCATCTTCACTGTGGAAACCAAAAAACAAATTCTTTATCTTAAAACACTTGACAAAATAGCGACATAATTCAGAATTAGGTATAACTTTTGAACTGTCTCAAAATGGGTCTCGGCCGTACTTCACGCCCACCCTTCAAACTTATGCTGAGCGAATCTTGGTCTATCCATAAGACTTTTGATGGTACGGTGTGAATATATCCGCATTAGGTTTCTACCCGATACACTAGTTATAGCTCAATGTTGTGTATGATAATTAATTGGAGTAAATTCCTTAATATGTTTGTGTGTGCTTATGTCTTTAATTTTCAGTTTCTATAGAAGTAATTTTGAGTCTCACGTCACTATTAAGAACACCCTCGAGGAATCTCACGTGAAGTGAAAATTATTAGGTTTTGTTGTTAAAGGATTTAAAGATGAAACTTTGCAGAAAAATTTTCGAGTTTAAGGAAATCTCTTCATAATCATCTTCAAAACTGATGTTGTCTATTTCGGATCTTAATTGAGGAGCTTCAACGCATTTAATTTAAGTTGGTTGATATTTTGAAAATTGTAACGGTTTTGTGAAATTCAAATTTTAACGGTTTTGTGAATTTTAATTTGTGAACTTCTTTGAACTAATTCCAATTTAATCAGATCTTCAATCAGGTACAGAGAGTCAATTAGCTCCTATAAAACTAAGCATTATAGTAATCGCATCTAGCAATGTAGTAAAAGTGAAGCAAGAAGAATCATTGCGATAAGAAAATGAAGAAGAAAAGTTTTAAGCCTTCCAGAAAAATAATCTTTTAAGTCTCGCCTCATATCCTTTAACCAAACATACATACATACATACATACATACATTTATTTCTCAATGATACAATTTCCATAACGTTAATTTCGGTTTAATTAGAATTATCTTGTGTGTTTCATGAGGTGGAAAAGCAATTTATTTACTTCTCCTTACTATTGTTCCATTCTAACTTGAACATTTAAACACATACACACATGCTCTAGTAAGTTACATTTACACATTTATTTTCGTTCTTATCATTGACATTGTTCTGTATTTGAGCCTTCTTCATTAACACGAGAATGTTCAATGCATTGTCTTATTTTGCAGCATAAGTTTTGTTGTGTATTTAAACCTTTAACTGCAAATGAAAAAAATCTTTTGTGATTATTGGATACGAAAAAAGTTTTTCCTTTTTCTTTTTATGGACATAGACATAATCATGATGTAGAAGATTAAGGAGAAATCGAAGTACATTGCTTAATAATAAATAAGTTCCTTTAATCCTTTAAACATCATCTAAACTATCATTCAAGTGGATTAATAGGATGAAAAAATCATCATCATGTGATGAACTTACTCGAAACTATGTTGTATCTATAGAAAATAATCATAGTTCACATTGATCCACATTTTGTACAAAAATTACATCAAAAAAAAAAAAAAAATAAGAGAAAAAATGTCAGATGACTTGATAGCAGGTTTTACAGCAGTTCTTGATGATATTTCAAAATGCAATAAAAGTCAAGTCAGTGATCATAAAAATACCGAAAGTGATGATGTCGAGCAAAGTATTAACGAGATTTGTCCTGATAAATATGAATTCCGTTGGAAAGAATATCCGAAATTGCTGGATAAAGATGATCTAAAGAAGCTCATTATAGCTGAATATAAGAAGTCAAAATCTTATGACATTCTAGTCCAAATTGATGAAAAGAAATTTGAGTGTCAGTTGCTGATATTGAAATGTTATTCTGATTTTTTTGCCAAGAGATCAAAGGACGAGAAAGTGATTGAATTGAATGGAACTGCCATCAATCCTAATGCATTTTATAGCATTTATCGATGGATGATTTCAACCTCAAAGAAAATTGAACGTGATGGATTGATTCCATTGCTAATTGGTGCTGAATATCTTCAGGTATCACAACTTGTTGAGCAATGCTGGAATCTTATACAAAATGTCAACTGGTTTCAGGAAGATCAAGCATATTTATTGTATAAAGAAGCAAGGACATGGAAATATGAAAAAATCCAGTCAATGATGATGAAACAAGTCAAGAAGATTTTTCTTACAGTCATTGCTACTCACGATTTTGTTAAAATGGATAAGGATGAAGTCAAGCAATGGCTGCAATTAGAAAATATTGGAATCAACTCTGAAGTTGAGATTTTCTATGCAGCAGCACGATGGCTGTTACATGATTGGAATGAGAGACAAAAATATTTAATGGAACTGATGATGCAAGTTCGCTTTGGATTGTTTCCATCTTGGAGAATTGTGATATTAAGGAAGAATGAAAATACAGGAAAATTACAAGAACTTTTGAAGAATCAGGAACTACAGAAATATTTGGAAGACAGCATGTCCTATTCAATTTATCGTAGTTGTTTTGAATCTACAGATTATCCTCGATTTGCTGACTTCCTTTGTCGATTTGGGTATCAGCAGCTTTTTGAACGAGAAGTCATTTATGATTCTTATTGGCAAAAATGGTACAAAAAGTCACTTTACACATTCGAAGACTTTCTAAATTACTTGAAATACATTAAATCTAATGCATTCATACATTCGACTCAAATACAAAGTAATAAAAACTAGAGCTGAATTATTTGCATGGGATTAAGTTTTGTGACTTCATTTTATGTTCTATTTCGTCTTTCCTTTTAGTCATTAAAGGGAATTTCTGTTTTTATTGCGATGCAAAATGTTTATTTTGTTCAGCACCAAAAGTTTTAATTCTCAAACGCAGCACAGTTGGTTCTGCTTCAATTTAGAGGTTCCAACATTGATTTACTAAGAATATAACTCGACTTTATCGAACTGGAAGTCCCTAGTCAACAGAAAATAGCAATTAAAATTAACAAAATTTGTCTCTTTAAAGTTAATTCTTCACTTCTGTGCTGTATCTCGTTTTATGGTCTCGATTCATTTACTTCATTATTTGTCATTTAAAGAGCAAACATTGAACTGGAATATTAGAAGAATAAGAAGCAAGGGAAAGTCTTTCATAATGACACAATAATACATCAAAATCCGACTTAAAATTGGATACTTTATTGACATGTCCATTAGCTGTTCAAACAAATCTTGACATACGAGGGCGCTCATAGAACAGCATTAAATGTCCTGATGATATTGTAAGTAAAAAGGAGAATAGACACAGAGAAGTGACAGAAGCTTTTCATTTCTATCTTTCAATGCTTAATATTAAAAATCTGACACTGGATTAAAGAAGGAAATGAAAATGTTGTCCAAGGACATTCTTTATGATTAATGTCATGTTTCCTTTTGCTTGATTCTTTTCAGTCTTTAGCTGTGAATGGAAATTTAAAATCGATTTTTGTCAAATATTCAGAAATACACAAAATTGCGTCATGCTCGATTGCATTTCCAATAATATTTGACAAGATACAAAGCTGCACAGCACAAAACAACAAAAAGCCACAATTGCATTCATGCCATGAATTTAAAATCAATTTTGATATTATTAAAACCCAATCATTTGTCACATATACATTGAATGCAGCAGCAACAAAAAAAGTCACACATAAAAAGCTTGCAGCATAATAGAATGAAAATGCAATTTTATGGAAATTGAGATGAAAGATGGAAAAAAGCTTGAAAATAAAATCAGCAGATAGAAGATATCAACAATAATACAAGGATGATTCAATGAATGAGAAATAAGAAGCATCGTCACTTACCAATTCATCATGTTGCACATTTTTTCCTGTTATTTGACATTATTCCATTCAATTCCATCTAGATTTTCATTGCTCGATTGATAACCGTAATCCTATTCATGCATGTATGCCACACACAAGACATAAATGACTGACTTATATTGTGTGGGAAAAATTGGAACAACTTTTATGGAATGAGAAACACAAGAATGCTTTTTGAGCATGAAAAATTCTTTGACATCATTTCAATGCGTTCTAAGCCATGTACATAAAATTTGTCAAATATTTCCGTCACAAATATTGTTATACGCTGTGAAGATTTAAGATGGAAATCAAAAAGGAATTTTCTTTATGTCTGGAAAGTTCAGAAAGGGAAATTCTTCTTGAGAAATGAGATAAAAATTCCTTAATTTAAGATTTCAACGTAATTTACTGTTATTGTTTAGATGCTTTGATGATATTAGGGATTTGATGCCTTTGAATTTAGCATTTTGGAATTTTAGAAGCATTTCTGCATGCAAATATTGTGTCTTAAAATTTCCGTTAAAAATTTTATTTAAAAAATTCCGTTAAACCTGAAATTCAAAAATTCAAATCTTGATTTTCCGTTAAATTCTCAAATATATAAGCTCAACAACAGCATAGCTCAATACAAAGGCAAACAAGGGAGTACTCATTCCTAGTATTCACTAAGAATATGAAAGATGAGAAAAAAACGGAAAAGAAAAGAAAATTAAAGTTCGTAAAAAAGCAATCAAGATTTAAAGACTTGAAAATCCCTCACAATTCTTTTCTTCCTTGATTCGCTTATTTCCAAAATCCTCATCGATCATAAAAAAAAACAAAAAAAAAGGAAAATGCTCTACATATCGTATGCGTATGTATGGACGAAAGGCATATAAAAATCATCAAGTGAAGATTTATTTTATTCTAAAATCCATTCATGGATGTATGACTGATGTTCCTCAATAATAGCTTGAAATTCACTACGCAGCAGCATTATAAAAGCTATATAAAGCTATACATAATAAGAAAAAAATATGAATAATAAGATTTATTGAGGAAAGATTGAATGATGATGAATATTTCTATGAATGCTGCTCGTGTTCTTGCCTTAATAATACTGAAATCAAATTTTAATGACTAGATATTGCTTTTTGCAATGTTAAAGGAATTTTTATTAAAGTATGGTTTTTTTTTCGCGAAAAAAGGCACTAATTTCCCAGCTGTGCCGTATTTTATGTCACATAATTTTACTGTTATTATATACATAGCCATTATTATCAAAGTTATATCCTACTACTTATGCGCGCTAATAAAAAGTTAATTTATAAAAGTTAAATTAGTTTTCTCTGTCGTGTTGCATCCAAAAAAAAAAAATAAAACAGGAATAATAAGCTCATGAGGCTGAAACTTTGTCTCACACGAATTGCATAGCTTCACCATTTTTATCTCTAGCTGACTGCTTTGGCTTAATCTAGGATGGAGAATTTTTGCATTATCATAGATTGGCATCATAAATATAAGAAAATTTTTACAGCTGCATGCTGTGTTGGGGACTTACCGTGAAACATTTGATGCCAAAATGCTGACACATTTCGCTAACAACACTATAGCCATAATGAAAATGCTGTATGCTTAAAATACCAACTAATGTATAGAGAATGTACTTTTCAACAACAAGTGTCAGTCGTTGATATCCGAAAAGTGGAAATGGGAAAATGCAGATGAGAACGGCGAAGAGATAAATCCACAATTGGGAATTCCAGCCATCTGTTCGTGTATCACTCATTTGTGCTACAATCAAACGACACTGGGAATGAAAATTGAAAATGATAAAATTAAAGGCACTGACTTCAAATGCACAAACTTACACTAATATTAGAGAATATTGTTCCAGTCACCATAATAAACATTCTAGGATCCACAGCCATAATATCATTAGGCGAGAGGAACAACCAAATTGTAGATACAGCAAAAAGTCCAAAAACTGGATAAAGTGGACGGAATAATTCAATCATTGGCCTCATCTTCCCAGTTTTATCACGATATGACCTACAAATAAATTGTTGCATAAGTTTAAGGGGATATCCAAAAAATGTTGATAATAATTTATATTTCATATCATACTTGTAAATATTCCATGCTATCACCGGATGACTTGTCAATGATCCAGATACATACATTATTAATTCCACATAAACCGTTGGCGTTATGCCAAAAATTGGTGTCACAAATAATTTTGGTCCAAAAATGCCAGCAATGAGTAATGTGAATGAACATGACCACATAACGTAATCATATGCATACGGAAGAAACAGAACATTCGTATTGTATTTTTCAAAGTGCGTGAGCTGTAATGTGCACGTATTCTACATATAATCTCTGAACAGTCATTAAAATCCGTTATACGTGTCGTCGTATATACTCACATAAAAATTTAAGTAAACACAGTAAGTTATAAAATGCATCCTCACAGCCGGTAAATCATTTGTGCCAAAAAGACTAAATAAATATATCATGATAAAGATACTTGAATATGAATCCAGTCCATGGTCAAATAATTCACCCAGTGGTGTCGATGTTCCTGTTTTTCTTGCTTGCTTCCCATCTATACCATCTAGGGTATAAGCAACAAATACATTTATACCAGCTACGATTAAAACCCATCGTGGAATCACATAGCCTTCTGTTCCATTTGCCACATGAAAATAATAATCGTAATATCCAATCAGGATATAGTTAAAGACGGTAAGCATAAAACCAGAAAAGGTGATAAGATTTGGAGCAACATATGGTGGCACAAACTAAAGACGCATAAAAAGAGAAAGTATTGTTTATCACACATAGACATAAACATAAAATAAAAGAAAGAAGTAAATATGTTTTAATACTCATGGAATCTCACCTTAACAATCCAATTCCAGAAAGGGTGCATTATGTAACTACTGAACCAACTTGTGTCTACACATGTGTACTGAATTGAGAAAAATCATAAAATATTAATGACTAACTTGTCATGATCTAAGGAAGGTATTTTCAATAAAGTTTAAGATCCTTTTAATGAGCTGTTGTCATCTAGCTATAAATCTCAATAATACAAGATCCAGAATGAACAACATTAGATTCAACCTAGTTTTTCTTAGAAAAATCTGATTTTACGGCAGTTCCTTGGCATTGTATAAAGATAAAATATCAATCTCCCGAAATAAGTAGTTCCTTAAAGTTGAATTTGAGAGGAAGTTTTAGACAAAAATCCACAGGAAATGAAAAAGTAGCTTCAAAGCATTCTATTTCTATTCCATTAATGATAAACAAATCAAATAAATCCACAATGAACTACATTCTAGTCAAGCCTATTTAAAATAACAAAATATTAATCAGCAGTTTAGTTCCAGGGCAACGTAAAGTTCAAAATATTTTTAATTTACATGAAATATGCAGTGTAAGAGAAATTAGTCACATCATAAAATTTATTTCTGTTTACGATCGTTGTGGTGTTATACGAGAGATAAGAGCACACTGCATTCCTTCCTATACATACTCTATTTACATTAATTTCATGACCATTCACCATCTGCTTTATTATCAGTTGACAATAATTCTTTTTGTTTATAATTAAATTAATTTCATTCAATTTCGGTTCATTCCTCTTGAGCACATATACTTTTTCAAATAAATCACTTTATAGAGTAAAAGAGTACATTCGCCTATACATTTCGCAAAGAGATTGAATGTGTCATACGACGTTAATTTTTATATTACGTAGTACACTTTACTTTAAATACTCTTTTACTCATCACGACTGTCACCAAAATGTAGATAGTGTCACTAGGCTGTTGCGTAGTACATAGACAATTTGCTTTTTGTCATTTTAAAAAGTAATTTGTGCGTAAAGATTATTTTGAGATTTATTTGAGACTTTCCCGCCATTTTTTTAATTTTGATTGAAATAAATTGAAAAAGTGGAATTTTAGAATTTTCTAAGTGCATTTATTATGAAATAGTGTTAAAGATCTCTTTGCTCACACAAATGTTATCTAATTTAACAGTTAAAAGAGTTAAGTAGCTTATAATTAAGCGGAATTTCAATGACAAACATTTCATATGGGAATTGTAGACATTTTTTTTTTGAAATTTTCAGTCAAGTGTGTCTTAAATTAAGATAAAATTTACTTCTAGCAACAAAAGGTCGTAAGCCGGAACTAAAAAAAGCTTTAGTAACTGATAATATTATGAACAATTTTGACCTTGCTGTGAATCTTGATTTGAGGATTGACATTACTATGAACATTTATATGGAAAATTTATTTTAAATGCTGTATCTAAAAGTAAAAAAAAATCATGAATGATTCTTAAATCTTGAATGAATTTCAAATTACAGATTACTATCTATTAGCCGGAATCTGTGTGATCTGACTCTTATCAAACACGAGAATGTAATGGGCAACTAGTTTAAATCATAAAATACTACAGCACTGATAGGTGTCATTGATTTATGTTGACATACATTTCAGTTTTGAAGCGATAAGAATTTTATTTTATTAAATACGCCACAATTTTCTACACCATGCTTGGCACTCCTTTTTTAATGCAGTATAATAAAAAAGTGAATTCAAGGATAAATTCTCTATCTTATCTGATTTTTGGTATGAAAATATTTGTTCATGTGTCATCACCTTATATTTATCAAAACCCGCAAGATGATCAGCGCTGAGATATTTTTTGCTCCACATTTTAAAGAAATTCTTAACTCTAATTGTACGTGAAAAATAGACTAAAAGATGAACTTGTTGAAACGACTTTTAAACTCAGACTGAAGGTACAGATTAAGTCTAGATGAGTTACAATGAGATTATCAATATTCTCAATTTATTCTTATCAATAATGTTTGTGTTACCAGATCTCAATTGCTCAAATGTAATCAAATGTTTTAAAATTATTCTGACCTGTTTCTTCTTAAGAATCTGCATGATTGTTTGGACTTGAGAGTAACCTGGTCTTTCCTAAAATCTTTCAACTAAACTTACAAGATTCAACAACTTTGAAAGGTGATTTTTAAAATGCCAAATTAAGTTTCACATCAATATGCATCATAAAATACTGGCACATGCCTCGGGAATAAAAATTTAATTCATACGAGGTAATTTAATTCAACTTCATATTCAGCTAATGGAACTGTATATAATGATCATTAGGAATTTTCGATAGTAAAATTAGCAAAATAATGATCAAATCTTTTTTTCTGCACTTAAAAGTTGAGTGGCAATTGATCACGCAAATATATCAAATTTATTGACCTTGTAGAAACACAACTTGTAACACAAAAGAATCTAAACCGCTAGAGGCAGGATTATTAAAACAGTTTTGACTTTGTTCTGTTTTTGAGTCATTCAAGATTTTTATTTCCATACTATCTATATTTGCTAGTTTCTAGAATTGAGCATTAAAATCTTAATCCAGATTTTGTAATTTCTGAATTAAATGTTTACTATAGCAACGTCAATTACGTACTCAACAAGCATTGTACGATAGTTTTAACTTGAAAATTCCTACAAATTGCGTTGCTTGTTTATTAAGAAACAAATTAAATTTTATAGCTTTTTAATCCCATTTTCAACCCCCCTTTATTTTCCATCATTAATGACTTTCATCTATTTAAGATTTAGTTCCTTAAAATAAATCATTTCGTAGGAGTTAATCATCCGATTAAATTGAATATTTTCCATTTCATGAAATTTTGTTTTGTGTCTCTATTTTATAAATGCTAATTTCATTTTACAACAGCTTAAGACTTAAGAACATTTTCATCAAAAAGGATATCTCTCTTTCGCTTTGCTTTGTCTTTATTGTTTTTCTCTTCGTCTTAAGGATTTTCCTTTAAACATTCGAATTTCAGAAAAATAAAATAAAACGAGATTTTGATTTTTTTTTACAATCGCAAAAATTATAGAAATAAAAGGAAATTCCCTCTTTGAAATTTATTTTTCAATTCTCTTAAAGAAATTGGAGATGGAGGAAAGAAGAGGGGTGGAATTGTGATTAAATTGCAAATGCTGTTACGGTGAATTAAATAATAAGACGATCGAATAAGCAATAAAATTGATGCATAGGGATGATTATGCGCGTTTTTTAAAACTTAAGAATTGTTTACCGTCAATTCCAGGTCAGGTAAAGGCAACATGACAAAATAAGCACAAAATACACAACATCCGAAAAATCAACTACAAAATTCAAGTCGATGAATAAAATTTTATTTCAGAGAGACTCAAAAAATCAATAAAATGTATGCCAAGATATGTGTGAAATTGAAAAATTCACTTGTCTTGAGGAATCTTAAAGAACAAAGTTTAGCATGAGGTGTAGAAGTGTAAAAATTCCTTTACGATCCATCAATCAAAACATAAAGAAGAAAATTTAATTTCACAAAAAAGTTTAATGCAATAAATCAAAGGGAAACTTCAATAGATAATTCTTGAAGTGCTTGATTCATATTAAATATCTTAAAAAGTATTCATCCAGTCAGGCATTCATTCTGGTTTCCATCGATAAATAATTTTCATTCAAAAAACTTTAAAAACTTTTTCTTTATTGAGAATTGGAAAATTATCAGCTGGATTACAGAGCTGTAAAATGGCGAGAAGAAGATAGGAAGCTGAGGAGTAAGCATTGGAAATAAGGCAAGGGGGTAAATTGATAGAGATAAATGGAAATCAATTTCATTTGAAAGCAATATGGAATTACTTTCGATTTTTTTTTATATATTGTGATGAAGCTACTCGAACGAGATGAGCTGAAACAAAGATTTGAATATTCTATTAACTTTGTTTTTTATCGATTCCTTTTTTATCCTCGGTTCTGTTTTCACAATGAGAATTGTCGATAAAATTAAGCTCATACTAGATTCATTCGTCTGATGCAACAATAAATCACAGAAATGATGAAAACTTACTTTTAAGCAACTTTTGGAACTGAATGTTGAAAAAAATCAATGAATATAAAAAGATGCAGCTTATTCATGAAAATGAGTGCGTAATTAGAGTCTGCAAAAAATAAGCAGCATAAAAGTTTTTAATATCAAAAAGAAAATTGCTTGTGCTGAAAGAAAAATCGCAAATGATAACATAAAGGAACTGAAAACTTCATGTATGGAAAGAATTTTTCCGCTTGGATGTTAATTATCATTCAATGATGTTAAAAATCTAACAAGGAACAACTTTTTATCGTTTTAAGTCATTTTATTTCAAAGAATGTTGCATAATCATTGTGTCTTTTGTAAACTTCTGTGCCTTTTTGAAACTTAACGTGTTGTACTTTGTTCTTAAGACTAAAAACTTTATATTCCATTCTTTACAGCTTTTAATTTATTCTTGCGACACTTTTAACCAAAACTGCTTCAATTTTGTCTAACAAACGCTTTTCAAGTTCTGAAATCTTCAAATCGATTGACTTTAAAATATCAATTCGAGTTGTTTCGAGGTCTTTATCAATTTTTTGGAACCTCTCAAAGGTATTAATTTTAAGTTCATTGTGTAAAGTCCGAACTTCATTTAATAAACTTTTATCGTCTTGAGCAGTAACTTTTGTTTCAAATTTTTGTGCCTTTAACTTTTGAATCCTTTCTTGGAAACTTGATAAAAATGAGAATTTCGAGTTCCTGATTTCACATTCTAAATTGTAAATATTTTGTTTGAAAGATTGAACATTTCTATGGTTTATATTCGTAGCATCAGATTCAAGACCTTTAATCTTCCCATCTAACTTCAGGAAAACGTAATTCTTGCATTGAATCCTTGCTTTATTGATAATATTTTGGACTGCTGTCGTATTCTGCTCTGCAATCAGCACAATACACACATTATTCCCTAGACCTAATGAAGTAAGCTTTTGCAAATTGCTAAATACATGTTCTCCTATATGAATGATTTTATCACCCCAAAATGCCAAAACTTCTAGTTCTGGATTATAATCGAAAACTCCATCTTCCAAAACTTGAATGAGATTTTCACCTAGATTAAGGTATGTAAGATTTGGGAATGGCTTAAGGTCAGAGGATCTTATTTCCTTTAACTTATTAACTCCAATGACAATTCCTTGCAGGTTTATAAAGAATTTTTCTAATCCTCTTGGAAAATATTCAATTCCTTTATTATCAGCCCGAAAGAATGTTACGTCATCAATAGATTTACTGTCTTCATGGTCACCAATTATATTTCTGATTAAAGCTGATTCGACAGTTGATATTTGTGGATTGTTCATGACTTCACAACTGTACTTTTGTCCAACAACCCAGAAATTTGCAAGTTTGAAGTCGCATTCGAAATCAGCAGGAATTGAGAGGCAAAAGATTGAACAGAAGACAATAATAAAGATGATGCTAAATAGGATTTAAGGAAGTGATTAGCTTAACTGAAGATCTTGCAATAAAAATATTCTTACATTGAATTTGGTTCCATTTTAGTCTATTTGTGCACAGATGAAAGTTTTTAATTATTAGATCCAGAGAATTTTAGAAATTGAACTTTTTTGCTCAACCTTTGAAGTTTATATGCTACAAAAAGCAAAAAAAAATCTCTCTTAATCTCTATTTTGCTGCTCAATTTGGACAATTTCATCATACATGTATTAAAATAGAATTAATAATCAGCTGTAAAGTTCATGCAAAAGTCAAATATTATTGAAGATAGTAAAGCTAATTTTTTTGAGGTTTATAAATTGGACAAGATTCCACTTTGCGGTAATTAAAGTTATGTGACAATCCAAATATCACGAACCCATACAATGTCCATAAAAATAAATTATGCATACATAATCCAATAATTAAACGTAAAAAGGAAGTTAACATATTTTTAAATTAATTTGCAAAAGACAGCAACAATGTGCATTAAAATAAAAATCAGCATCTGCTCTGACAATTAATGTTTAATTAACTTGAATACACATTACACATTTTTCACGCATCATTGGACAATGGAAGTACATAAAAATATTAATGGATTTAAATCGGTTGACCAAAAATTGGCATTTTTAATTCCAAGAAGGAATGAGAATCAAATGACAAATCTCCAACTCCTCAAGCTTGTGCCATAAAAATCCTTTTTTCACACCTTTTTCACACTCAATGATTTTTATTGAAGTGAAGCATGAACAGTCATAAAAATATTTTGTTACCCACGTTTCCCATTCTTGTGGCATTTCTTATTCATTATTCACGTTTGTATGATTTTCATGTGACGAGTCAATCAATGCCTTCCCAAATTGATATAGAACTACTTTCTAGAGCCTATTGATTTTCATTCAGTTGACCTATTATATAATCTGCAATTAATCTATTTAAAGACAACTGATTATGTCCTTAAAATATCCATGATTTATTTATTCAAGGATTAATGGAATTAGATTCAAATTTTGTGCCTTTTTAATTTTTTACATTTTTTTTTCGAGTGACTGGATACCTTCTTAGGCTCTCATTTAACTCCTCAATTACGTAGCTTGAAGCTGAGAGGAAAATTGTCTTACATCCTACAACGATGAAATTTATGTTCGTTATATTACCAAGGATTAAAAGGAACTGAAGAATAATGCGAACTTTCTTTTCTTTTTTGCAATTTTCTCATTCGCCAATTTTTATTTTCAAGCTGTCTATAAATGCGCAGGCGTCTACAAATAGACACGAAGTGATTTCGAATAATCATTAAAAATTGAAGTGGGGATTGATGACTGTATACAGAAGAGGGAGAAGCAATTGATGAGAATATACATAATTTTCATAAGTATTGAAACAATTCAACGATTTTTTTTTATTGTACTAATTGAGAGAGATTAAAATTTTGTCACAAAACACTGACATAATTCCCTTATCGCTGTATTCTCATGCTCAACATTGTATCAAAAATGTTCAAATTGTCAGAGGATGTAGGATATGAAAAGCTGTGTTTTCATCAAATGACTTTTATGATTAAATGAAAACGAATATGTATTAATTTAGGATCAAAATTGTGATAGGTAGAAGCAGGTAGAGGAGGCAGTGATAAAATCATCTTTAATTACAATTTTGCTTAAAAGCCTCGAAGGTAGCAATAGAGAAATTCGTAGGTTCAGAATCAAATATGACGCATTTTTAAATTTATGATGGTTCTTAAGGGTCTCTAATGTCGTGAGTATTGTGCGAATCTTTAATCATAAAGATTGAGGAATCTGGATGCTGGCGAGGAAATGTTATCTATTCCAAGGTCTTACATTGTTTGCCTAAAAATGACTCTGATCCTTTAATCAATTTGTTATAATTAACTTAATCTTTATGTATGATTTTGTCCTTTATTGAACTCCTAAATGAAGTATCAAGTTTCTTTAATGAACTAGCGGTCTCATTGTCAATTGCACTTAATTAGAGTAGCTTAAAAGTCTTGTAGCTAAGACAAATAATATTGTCATTAATTTATTGACAGCCTAGACACCTGGACAGCAAAAAATTTATCTTTGCAAATTTAATCCACAATACCTTCATACTGCTGCAAAAATCAAACCACAAAAGACACAAAAATGCACATATCATAAATAATTACTCCATAAATATATCCACAAAAGATTTTTTTTTAATGGAGAAAAGGATTTACTGCCTCTAAGAGATAATAATGACAAACAAAAGCTTTTTTCCATTTCAATTGTTCTTACTTTATTTATCTTTTAATGCCACAAATGGAAATGAAAATGAGCAAGTGATTGTGTGATGCATTGTCTTCAAAAAAAGTATATGATGAAGGATATAATTGCACAGTTTTTAATGACGGAAATTCATCTTCCTATTGAAAAGGCATTAGTTTGAAGTGACTATGTCGATTCCTTTGAGTATTTAATGCAATTCTTGATCATTTTAACACATGCCATCAACCCACCAAGAATGAATGTCAGGATACATGTGTTTTTGTTCCATAAATTCAGGATTATTAAGTTTCATACAAAGATCACAAAATCCAATTTTAAAGGACGCAGGATCTATGACTACATCGTAATATTTCTTCCACCAGAAGTACTTTACATACTCTTTAGGATTTGACATCAAGAATTTTAAATGAGCAACTAAATGTTCAATAGAATCGAAATCATTGGCATCAATGTAGCTATTGGGTGGCGCATAAAGCGACATTTTTCCACTATTGAAGACAATCGGGATAATATATTCTGTCAATGGTCTATAAAGCTTCTCAGTTATGTAATCTCTGCATATGGAATTTTCAAATGACAAATAGAACGAATAATTGGTTGTAAGCATATCGTAGCATAACATGGAATTCTTTTCACAATGTAACTTCCCGCATTTTCCATAAATATCAACATCAATAAATTTTTGGAGTTTATTGACAAGATCTTCACGTTTGGAAGCTGATTTGCAATTAGATGCAAACCATGCCATAGCTGTCTTCTTCCTTAAAACTATTTTGTGCATTTCAGGATCTATAAATAAAGGAAAATTTATCGTACTCATAGCAATGTTATGACTGCTTCTTACCATAAAAATTGCTTTCTGGTTCCTTCCATGTTGGGTTCATTGAAGGTGCAATGATTTCGCTCGTAGATTTTTCAACGATTCTCCCATAAAACCATGGAATGTCTGAATCAAAGCGATATGTCATTGTCAAATTGTAAAAATTCTTATATCTAGTCAAGTTTTCAACTGTAAGGTACGGCGACCTAAAATACATAATCTTGTTTCTAGTTGCTTATCAAAAATTTAATTCTTACTCTAAATTTGCAAATACATAGAGCTGATCAGAAGCTCTTTCATTTGGAGATTGATCCTTTAAATATTGAGCACCATGAAATAGAATTGCATCATATTGAGTGACATTTGATAAATAAGTTCTATTGTGAGTGAAGAAGCAATTTGTGACTGGACAATTCAGAGATTCCAAGAGTTCTTTACCAGCTTCATCACTTCCTAGATACCAAGCTGTTTTTGGGATGCATTGAGTTTAAATATTTATATATTAAAAAAGGAATCTAATTACATGTTTTATTCCAAAACTTAGTCCAAAAAAGAATATTTTTAACCTGAAGTTGTTCCTCATTCATATGTTGTATTACTGATGCATCATGATGACGCATGATATACTTTTTAAGAGTTAATGATGTCACTTTATATTCATTTAACACGAATCGATAATACAGGAAGAAAAGGATCACAGAAACGTACACGACTGTAAAAATATTCTGCCGACTTTTTAAAGCTGTCATTAAAAATCGTCTCGAAATATACATTTTCGATTTGCGAGGCTGCAACAAACTAAAACTAGGAAAATGTAGATGAAAAGACTCGTTGCTACTTATCAAGATGACAAATAATTTATATTACAGCAGCTGAAATCAGGAATTGATAAGATAAACTGATAAGATATTTTAAATGTCAAATTATCTCATTTGAGATGCTCACTTTTAATGTCTATCAATTTTTTGACACCCCACTCCCCTCACCCAACCCCTAAAATAGTACAACTAGTCATCAATTTATGAATATAATAAAAACTTTTTATTTCAAGCTAGTGATTGTCAAATTTTATGTGAGAATTTTGATTGCACATGTCCTTGTTCCTATACCATTCATTGATGTCTTCATATTGATGATGAGCTTTCATGAAGCTTTCACTGTTAAACTTTTTACACATGTCACACAGTGTGTATTGATATGTTGGATGTGATTTAATTGTATAATGCTGTTTCCACCAGAAATACTTTACATACTCTTTGGGATTATCGATTAAGTACTTTAAATATTTAACTAGTTCTTCAGGTGTATTATAGTCATTAGCATTGATATAGCTTTTTGGTGGAGCAAATCTTGATGTATTTCCTCCATTAAACACAATTGGAATGATATATTGAGTCAGCGGTCGGTAAAGCTTTTCAGTCACATAATCTTTACACAGTGAATTCTCAAATGAAAGGTAAAACTTATAATCAGCTGTTAACATGTCTAGGCACTTCTGATCATCAACGGGGCACTTTAATTTTCCACAATTTCCATAAATATCAACATCAATGTATTTCTGGATATCTGCAACTAGCTTATTCCTATTCGATCGTGTATAGCAATTTGAGACGAACCAAGCAACAGGCTTCTTCTTGGTATTGAACTTTTGCATTATTTTCTCATCTAGAATTAATTTGATGAATAAGCCAATAGCCATTAGCGGTCCAGGACATGTCATCATAAAATTCTAATAATTAAATTCAGGTTTTTACCATAAAAGTTTTCATCAGGTGTTTTCCATTTCGGATTTACAGCCGGTGCAATAATTTCATTTGTTTTTATATCAATAACTTTTCCGTAATCAAATTTAATATCTGAGTCAAGTCGATACGTCATTGAGAGATTATAGAAATTTTTATATGCTGATAAATTGTCTAACACTGCCGTTGGTGACCTTGAAGATATTAGAAAAATTCAATAAATTATCAAAAGGATAGAAAGTCACATACTCAAGGGACACAAAGATGTAAAATTGTTCCGGACTTCTAATATTGGGCAGTGGAGCTCTTCTAAATTCAGGTCCATGAAAAGCAATAGCATCGAATTTTCTTATATCTCCAAGCAGCTCTTTATTATGCGTGAAGAAGCAATTTGTTACAGGACATTGCACAGATTTAAGAACTTCCTCGCCTGCTTCATCTTTTCCTGTATACCAGTCAGGATTATTAAAGAATCTCGTCCAAAAGAGAATATTCTTGGTTTTCCCTGACTCTTTTATTCTTTCTGTAGTTCCTTTGGGTTTTTCATCATTTAAAATGTCGTAATAGTCATTAAACTCTTCAGATTCTGAATCTTTTAAGCTAGAACTGGAATTAAGAACTGAATATTTTGACGAACTTATGCTTAAAAAATTACGTGGAACACACGTATAAATGAATAATATTGCAAGTGCCACCAAAATTAAAAAGATAAGCGTTCTTAATTTCTTTCTAGGAATGACTTTTAATTTTTGATGTTCGTGCTTTGGAACTAATTTTATTTTATCCACACTTTTTGACATCTTACTAAGTAGACTATATAATACTTTACTAAGTTTAATAATTTGAACTGCAAAATTTTACAAAGTGTACGCTTGACTATCTTTTAGCAAGTACTTAGGTATTATCACAACATAAATACAATAGTTTGAATGTAAGTATTAGCAACAAATATCAACGCACACCGTGCTTCCGATTTAATAGGAACAGCTGAATGTTTTTCTCCTTATCAGCATGTCGGAACAGTAAAAATAGCTTATCTTTAATGCACAACGACAATCAAGCATGTACTAAAAAAAATTAAAATTTCTTCATTTTGTATGTTGGTGAGAATGGCAAGTAGTAAGTAAATTTCCACTTCCTTAATGTTTCCATTCCAATAGGAAAATCATAGGTTGAAGCTTCATCAGTTGTTTGTTCATTAGTATTTAATGCCATTTCCTTCGACCATAAAGTGATTCCACGTTCGTCCTTCGTTCCAGGAATTATGTGATCCAATAAGCACCCAATGACGCTACCCACTAAAATTGTGGTTCCTAATAAAACAGAAAGAGTTGAATCTATGATTTCAACGCCTGTATTGATGGCATTAGGATGGTCTTGAATCCATGGACATAAAACAAGTGGAAAAAATAACGAGATTCCAATAATATATAGATTTCTAGAAGATCTCAAGTCAACATATTGTAATGCAGACAGTCCAAAAGCTGTGATCAATCCAAACATGACACAAAAGCAACCTCCAATGACTGGATCAGGAATTAATATGAAGCATGCACCTAATTTACCAAAAACACCCTGAATAAGCATGATAACTGCTGCCCATTGAATAACTCGTCGCGAACCGATTTTTGTGACTCCTATTGCTCCTACATTTTCTCCAAATGTATTCGTTCCATTTCCACAACCCCATAAACCAGCTAAGACACAACCGAATCCCTCAGTTCCAATTCCGCGGTTAATTGCATGAACAGGAGGAGATGCTGCATTGCACATAATTGCTACCGTGGGATAATACGAAATTGATTCAACGGTACATGCTAAAACGCCTGTAAAATATTAATAATTATAGTAGTTTCTCAAAAAGGAAACAAGTTGGTAATTATTGACCTGCCAACATCCCAAGAATACTAGAAACTGTAAATGTGGGCATTCCAAATTGAAGGGGGTACGGAATTCTAAACCACGGAGCATCCTCTAAAACTTTGATCCTTACATCAGTTCTGGCTGGATTTCCAGGTCCAAAAACATCTGTAGCTGTTAAAATTCCACATACTAGCCACATAATGGCGATAGCAAGCAAAACTGGGAATAATTTGAACAGCTCGAACCAAATAATCTTGAACCCATCTCCTTTACGATAAGTTACAGCTGGAACTTTGACATTGACGAGAATTTGCGAGAACAAGACTAATAAAATTGTTGTGCTGAAAAAGTACAAGAAAAAATAAATTAAATCTTAGGATTAAAAGTTAAAATCAAACAAGTTATACCTGACAGCAATAAACCAATTTTTAGAAACAGCTTCTGTAGTATGCTGAAACAGTGTAATTCCAACCAAACTGACTGCTGGTACAATGGTCAATGGTGAAATAATTTTTACAAATTTTCCTACAAGGCCAGTATATCCAATAAAAACTTGAAACAACGAAGCTACAATAATTGCACCCGATAACTCTCTGTAAATATAATAGGCACTTTATTGAAGTCATAAAATCATGTATATTTGCTCTATCAAATTTACCGCATTCTTATCAGCCACAATTCCTCTTTCTCTTCACTCGTCATAGATGATGTATCATCAGGACATTTCCATTTATCGAGATTCAATATTGCAAGTGTTGGAACTAAGAAACTAATAGTTCCACCTTGAACAAGTGGTAATCTGCATCCAAAAGTTGATTGAAAAATTGTTACTAATCCAGTCACAAATATCATAGTGGATATTATGGTTCCCCTTGCTGGATTTGAATCGTCCATGCACAAAGCAGGAGTTAAAATAAAAGGAATTGCAACTACAGCACCAATCATAGTCAAATAGTGCTGAATTGCCATAAAAAAGCACAAATACCAAGGAGGTACCTGATCAATTCCATAAGTTATGTCACTTTTTTTATTCTCATCCTTAGATCTTTGATTATTATTGTTGCTTTCAATTTCCGGACTTTCCATGATCACGTACTTTTTGACAACCTATCACTCGAATCTCTCAATTGCAAATGATTTTTCTCTTCCTGAATAATTAAATTTTAAGTACTGAATGAGCATGCAAACATTTAACAACTTTTATAGACGACTTGTTAATTAAATACACTTTATCTCTCAATAAAAATTTACAGCGATAGTTAAATTAAATGTAATAGAAAGCTGTTTTTTTCATGCAATCTGTACTATCATATAAAATCGTAAAAACACTAGACAGAATACAAAGGAACAATAAAATGGAATGGAAATTTTTGAGAATGCTTCCTTGAAGCTACGTCGAAAATCTCAAAAGCTTAATGAAATCTATAATTTAAATATTGTAAATGCGGTAAATTGTTAGAAATTTCAAAGTATGGAAAGCAAGTCACTCGAACAATAAATGAACACATTTTAATCAACAAAATGCTGCAGAAGTTTCGAAATATATTAATAAAAAAGAAATTGAAATCGTTTAATTTTAATAAACATTTATTGACTGTCAATATTCTCTCTTCTGAATGTTTTATGCTTGTTGGAGAAATTTTTCGTTCAAAATAAAATGTGGAAGTACTTCAAAAAACGAATATTAATGAGCATTAATTTTCTTTTTGCCTTGACCCAACAATGCACCTTCATTTATACCTAACTGTTTAAATTTGATTTAATTTATTAAAATTAAGTAGAATTTTCGATTTCAATAAAAATCGATTTTAGTCTTTTAAGTACTACGAGTAGATTAACATGGATCCACTATTTATATTCTATGACATCCATGAACTTATCATACAGCATTTTAATTACAATGACATCTTTAGAATATTTAAAGTATCAAAATATTGGCATTGCTTGATTCTGGAAAATTCAAAATTTGCGATGAGAAAAATAAGGCTTAATGTCCACGAATCAAATCACGATGAAGTGTATAATGTATTGGACCAAAAGATCTCTGAAATGAATAGTGATGTGCTAGATCTTTTGGAAAGTCAGAGAAAATACCAAAATATTAAGGTATACGTAGATCATGGATGGGATTTTATAGATCAATTAGTAAGGAACTTGGCTGAATCGTTGGTTTCGATAGAAGTGTCATCAGATATTTTCGTTGAGAATTTAAAAATTCCAAATTTAAAGTTTTTGAAGCTTGATAATCCATTATTGGAAGGACTGACTTCATGTTCAAATAAATTAAAGAAATTAGCAGTAAGAATGAGTGGAAGAGAATATTGGCTCAAAAAGGAATCACCAATAGCTATAAAAAGTGCATTAAAGAAGAATTCTCAACTGGAAGTGATAGAGCTTGATGAAGATCTTACATCCATAATTTTTGAGTCTAACATATCATCGGACGTTAACTTTAGGCTGAAACGGCTTTGTATAGAATTTTTAAAGTTTAATAATGACGAAGAAATTTTCGGGAATGCTCGAAAGTTCCTCGAAAAGCAACAAAACCTTACTAATTTAGCCATTAAATTCCCAGACTCACCAACAATTCAATGGATATACGAAAATCAAACAAATTTGGAATCTTTTCAGATTAAAATTCATTTCGAGCAGAACCCACGTGACTTCCAAGTAATATCAAATGGAGCTATAAAATGTCTTGATCTGGACATTTCATCGAATTGGCAATACACAATGAATATTAAGTTTGCATTGAGAACATTTATAACAAGCACACCTAATTTGGAAGTACTTAAAATTAGAATGACTTCTCCATTAGAAATCGACGACTTTCGATTTTTACTTTTTAACTCATTAAAACTAAAGAAGCTTTACCAAAATGCTGACGAATGCCTGCATACTTATAATGAAATATACGAACAAATTAGGCAAGATCATGACAATATTAGTCCAAATGTTGAGTTCTTCAATAATTCTGATTGAGGATCTTTGGACAGTTTTTGAGTCGTTAAAGCTGTTTGACACTTCCAAAGACAGACATTTAAATTTAATCTTACGATTTATTTTAAACACCAAGATTTATCTGACGCTTTTAATCCTTCGATTAGCTTGAATCTTTTTAATAGAATAATTATCTATTTACAATATCTTTGCAATATAATACAAACATTTCATGTAGCATTCACAAAATATTATTCATTCAATGATTCTCACCACATTCACGTTGATCCCGTTCCATAGAAGTTTAATTTCATTATATTTTGCATAATTTTTTTTTTCCTTTTAAATATTAAATAAATTGAATTTGCTGCTCATATGCAAAAAATTGAACTACATTTAATTCAGCTATTGTCCAAATATGACTTGAAAATTTCGCTATTGCAATTATGACGGAAATTTCATTATTCTTTTGAAGATTTAAGGTACAAGTTTATAAAATATTGGGATCAACAATAAATTTTAATAACAAATGAAGCTAATGTTTTAATGCCAAAAGTGCGAGCGTTTTGAGGAAATTCAATGGCATTTGAATAAAATTAGAATTGATTAACATAAATCAATTCGATGCTTTGGACGGCCTGATCGATAATAGATTTCTAACGGTTTCAAGAGTTTTAAAAATTAACAGTTTTTGACAATTTGAAAAAGCTTCGATAAAAGTTTGTAGGCCAATTTTTTGAATTTAAAACAGTCGTTATAAATTCATTCTCATACAACAGCAACTGAATATCTCAAAATGCTCGCACCTCCTTTATACCAATAAATTAGATCTAAAAGTGAATCCCCTATTGAGTGTAATTTTAATGTTTATCGAAAAAATGTTTCATTCAAATTTTAAAATTGTTGCCTGAATAAAAAAATAGACTTTCCCATTTCACAAGAAAAATATATGTTATGCCTTTCTTTAAGCTTATGATAATGCTCTACACTGTCAATTGTTTTTTTTTTTTCTTTAAGATTTGGTAGATTTAATAATCATAATTTATACTGATTATAATTATAATCTTATCTAAGAATAATATATTTTCTGCTTAATTGCTTCCTTCATTTAGTGATACACAGAATAAAGATGCAACTTAATAAATTATAAAAATATGACAATGAATTAAGCTTGCACATATTTTTTGGAATTAATTGCTTTCACTCCTGACCAAATCCTTCAGTTTCTTCAATTGCATAATTTAATTTCTCTACAAGTTGATCATAACTCTTATAGGGCGGTAAGTCTGGAAGAAAGAAAACATTTTTGAGCATTATTAGACTGTAAAAATTTGACGAGCTGATTTTGCTTACCTAATCGATTAAAGCATGTATGTGAACGTGGAAGCCACGTATCTTTGCCAACCTTTTCTATACAAAATCTTTGTGGACCATTACTTCCCATAAGCTCAGCAAAACCACCGACTGGAACGCGACATGTACCACACACAAATTGAAGTAATCGAGCACGCTTCTCATTATCCGTCTCACGTACAAACTAATTTGATGAATAATTTTTAATTAAAATTAATTTTCCTTAAGTGTCAGTTTCAAAAAGTCACACATACCTGCCAAAACCACACAACCTGTTTACTGTTTCTATTATAATGTCTATAAATTGAATTCCTTTGCCAATCATCGACATCAATCTCTTGCATACCACAAAGCTGCGTAAAGTGTCATTGTTAATTAGTTTCTTTTTAAATGAAATTAAGTCGTAGCTTACCATTAATTCTAATTCCCGTTCATCAAAGTATTTTAACCATTCTAAGGGCACAACCTCGTTAAATCCTTCAAGGAATGTCTTTGTCTGTTCCTCAATGCCTCTCGTCATTCGCCATTCTGTCATAAGAGTTAAATATTCTTCCTTATTCTCTTCTGTGACACGCTCTTTGTCACCATTTGCTTTCAATTCATGATGGATAATTTGTCCAAGCACCTCAAAATCTACAGAAAACCACAACTCAAGACCACACTCGTCAATATTATTATCGCGAACCCATATGAGTGAATTGTAAAATTCTGGATCTATTGATTCTATATCTTTGGTCGTCAATTTTTTATTAAGCATACGCTTATAGAAGGGCATTGTAAAACCACTATAAATAAATCTTCCATGATATAATGCCATTGCAATAAAGCGACCGATAAATTTAAAGTATTGTAAGTGATCTGGATTAACATAAGATGCAGGATTAATTTGTAACGAATAATTTGATTTGTTTGCATATTCAAACAAACAATACATAGGATTCAACACTTCGTGCGATAACAGGAAAAACCATTCACGAGACACGCCGCCATAGTCCAATCTGTAAATTCGTTGGAAAACAAATTAATTAATCTTTTTCAAAAAAAAAATAAACGTTAAAAATTCAAAAACTAGTCTTCGTCAAATTCTTTCGTTAAATTTTCAAATCTCAAACGACGGTTAAATATCAATTCAACTCACCCTTCTTCGCCCCTGAAAATAATGTAAAGCCTTCGCCGAAGTTCATATGCAGGTAATCGCATAATTTGATGATAGGAGTCTTCAAATAGTGTTTGTCTTGTTAGTGTAATTTTAATGTGTGAAGGTAAAGCATTAGATTGACATAAATATCGGAACTGACTCAATTTCCAACGGAAAGATCTTTCATATGCTCTTGGAACTCCGTACATTCCTTTAACACCTCCTTTTGGCGCACCAGGTCTAGGATCTTCGAATGTTGTTCGTCTTGTATTATGATCCACAAAGAATCGTTCGCCTGTTGCCGTATATCTAATTTCCCAGCCACTTGGAAGTGGACCTTCAGCACCCATTAAACTCACTTCCTGTCCTTGTGTTCTTGGATCTTCCCATTGTGTTGTTCTATTCTTATGATTAACAAAATAAACTCGATTATCAGGCTGAACTCGTTTCTCCCATCCATCAGGTAGTGCTCCTAAACCATCATCATCATCTTGAACTGGTGCCTGTGTTGTATTTGATTGCTGAGCATGCTGTGGATATAGGAATCTCTGATTTCCCTGTGTCATGACATGAGCACGTTGACCTTGCCAATGTTGAAAATGCATTAATCGTTCACTATTTGGACGTTGCCATGTTGTTGTACGAGTATTATGATCAACATAATAAACTCGTCCGCGAGGATCTCGTCTTATTTCCCATCCAGGAGGCAATGGTGAAGGTTTTTCCCAATATGTCGATCTTGTATTATGATCAACATAATATCGACGACCAAAAGGATCTGTTCTACGTTCCCAACCTTGGGGTAGTTCCTCATCATCATCATTTTCGACTTCCATTACTTCGCCATTTGTTGGATTTTGAGGCATAATTGGAATTGCTCCAGCTGAATTAGCAGGTGATGGAATTTGTGGTGGTGGAATTATTTGTTGTTGTTGCTGTGAAGATGGTGAATTCATTAAAGGATTTGAAAAAGCAGGCGTTAGTCGTTGATGACTATTTATAGATGGCGGTGGTTGATCCCATTGATTCATTCCACTTGATCTTCTTACAGCTCCTGTCGATGGACTTTGTATTAGTCCACCATTAACGCTATTTGGTGATGCTGCCATTAAATTTGGTGATACCTGCGGAATTCCATTTTGCGCCTGTCCATTATTATTATTATTATTACTACTACTATTTGTGTTACTTCGAAGCCTCATACGCGATCGAATTCCTCCATTAAGAATCGAACTTCTCATCATTGCACCATTTTGAAACGAAATATCTACAGATCGTGCAGTTTCGCCATTAGTTTGAGACGGTATAGTGCTCATATCGATTTTTAGGCCATTAAATACTGCAACAAGTTCCCCATTCTTTATCTGTCTTCCTTCCGATTTCGATTCATACAACAGATCCATCGCAAGCTCTAAATTCTCACAGCGTCCATTATAATGCTGTAATATCTGTACTAAGTGAACCGTCTGCTCTCCAATTAATGAATCTTTCCGAAAATTCGAGTGATCAAAAATCCGGAATTGCAAAATCGATGTCGGTGTTACTAAAACTGTAAATGTATCATTCCATTTTGGTAGATATGTATTCTTCTGATGCTCCGTTTTCCTCGCCGGATTACAATCAATTGAAACCTGGACGTATGGATCTGGTTTCAAGAATGAATAATTTCTTAGTGATGCATGCTCGACTAGAAGTTAATAATTCAATATAAAAAGTTTTTTTGTTATTTATAATCAAATATAATTGGATCAGCAAATAATTAATTGCTTACTCGTAATCTGTAATTGATGAAATCCCTGACTTGAGGGAACTCTAGTTGAATCTGCCATTAAGCTTTATATTTTTTTTTTGTTTTATTAATGACGACTTATGGATCTCAAATAAACAACATCGTGACAACTAATGTAGGTATAATAAAAAGTAGAAAAGAGAGAGTTATTATTAGAAAGGATGATTAATAAATCACGGCATGTCTGAATTATTTATTGTGTGTTTGTCAACTCTAAGATTTCCAGCGGAACATTAAAAAAAATCAGGGAATGTCTTAAAATAATAATCAAGAACGATCTTCAAGGTCAACTTCTGTACAAGACTAATAGCAAGCAATCAAGATTATTTGCAAGCCCTGCTCTCATCATTTTTATTTTTCATCCGCTTGAGTGATTTTTACAGTACATTATGAGAACTAGCTGGATGAATTAAACTGCACATTACGATATTATCAGAAAAAGATTTGTTTTTAGCTTCCCATTTGTGTAATATTGATAAGGATTCCTTTATCTTATCAATCACTTTTCGTGATATACGCAGATTCTTTACTTTACTTTTATTTGTGGCTGACTTGATAATAATACATTTAAAAGAAATGAACAAAAGTGGAATCTACAAATTATTTCCTAATTGATAAGATGAATCATGCAGCCTATACTTCCAGAGATATGATTAAGGAATTGTAATACACACAAATTGAACTATAGATTTATGGACAACAGGTATTAATATTTCCAATAGAGGATCTACATGCTCATCAGAAAAGTCTTGATGTGTATGTTATGATAATAATTTAGTGGAGAATCGTCCGTATAATGGATATAAATAATTAACAAGTGTGGGAGTTTTTGTTATTATGATCAAATATGTAGTGAATTTAATTTTTAATTTCCATTGTTGTTGTATTATTTACCCATTTATATTATTTGACGAAATATACCAATTCTATTAACAATTTCCTATATCTATGGACACGAGATTAACACTACTATCGCATAAATGTCTTTTTTCTTCCTTTAAGATCCTTAAATCAAACAAAAATTGAATAAAACTATAAAATTTCACGACTAATTTCAAAGCAATCTTTACAATTTTCACAAACGCCCTATTTGCAATTTCGATCAATTTTTCACAAAGTTTATCTGATTTTGCTCCAAGGGATATTCTTAACATAAGTCATACTTAATCTTTAGCTAATCATCAGTCTGATCACTTAATTTCAGTTGCTTACACGCACGACACTTGAAGAAATTTAAGAAAAAACTTTTTGAAAAAATTAACGGTTAAAATTTTTTTGAAAAACTAGAGAAAATTTTACCTTGACAAGTTACTAAACGCACTACTTTTCAACGCCACAATTTCTGTAAGTTTTATCAATTTACTTTAGTTAATAATAGCTTTTAATACATTAAAATAGTCTTCAACTATTGCTGATACTCTAATTATCAAATTTAACTAGTTTGTAAGCTTTAAAAATACGAATTTAAATAAGAAAATCACATTTTCAATTTGCGGCATCATCCATTTCGTTTTTTGTCGTAAAAATGTGCTTGACTTAGTTTTTTCCGTCATTTGGTAAATAATTATCATTGATTTGTTTAATATTCCAGTTGAAGTATTAATAAAAACACAAAATCTATAACAATGGCTGATAATGACGATCTTCTCGATTATGAAGACGAAGAGCAGACCGAGCAGGCAGTTGTTGATGCATCAGAGAAAAAGGATGTGAAAGGAACTTATGTATCTATTCACAGCTCTGGTTTTCGTGATTTCCTTCTTAAACCTGAAATCTTGAGAGCTATTGTTGATTGTGGTTTTGAGCATCCTAGCGCAGGTAATTAAAATAATTTCATTTTAACATTGTAATTTGTTAACTTTTGTGACCTAATATGATGAAATAACGAATAGGGACATCTGAACAAATAAATGTGTCGATTCTATTCATTCTGACTTATTTTCTCAATAACACACTTGTTATCAGTTTACACACAAAAAATAGTATTTAATCAATTTTATTACTTTAATCTTCATCACAGTACAACACGAATGCATTCCTCAAGCTGTATTAGGCATGGACATTCTTTGTCAAGCAAAATCGGGTATGGGAAAGACAGCTGTGTTTGTATTGGCGACTCTACAGCAACTGGAACCAACTGATAATCAAGCCTACGTATTAGTCATGTGTCATACTCGAGAACTTGCTTTCCAAATTAGCAAGGAATACGAGAGATTCAGCAAGTACATGTCAGGCGTTAAAGTTGCTGTTTTCTTCGGTGGAATGCCAATTCAAAAGGACGAAGAAGTTTTAAAGACAACAACTCCACATATTGTTGTCGGAACGCCTGGACGAGTTCTTGCTCTTATTCGTAGCAAAAAATTGAACTTGAAGAATCTTAAACATTTCATTTTGGATGAATGCGACAAAATGTTGGAGCAATTAGGTACGTAAATAGCTTATGAGCTGCTTTAAATTTAACTTTTTATTGATGATACCTTTAGATAGGGACATATGAATAATTAAATGATTAATTATCTTTAATTTAGTCTGAAAACACACTTGTATTAACTTAAATTAAGAAATAGTCTAAACATGTAACTAATGAATGCTTTGTCTACTTCCAGATATGCGTAAAGACGTACAAGAAATTTTCCGAAACACACCACACGGAAAACAAGTCATGATGTTCTCAGCTACGTTAAGCAAAGAAATTCGCCCGATTTGCAAGAAATTCATGCAAGATGTAATTCGCGTTCCAATAATGATAAGCACATGAAAAAGTTATATTTTTCGCGCGATAAGGGTTGCGACTGATGGGCAATAATCAAATAATCAGCTAGAATGGTCTCTAGAATAATAAAAGCTCAGTATAATACGAAAAATTATAATACAAAGTCCATGTCCACAATAATAATAACCACATATTTAGAGCCTATAATAACATTCTATATAATACGTTAAATTCGTCACCTAGAGATCACACGCGAATTTAATAAGAGCTTAGACATGAAATGAGCTAGTTTCATGTCATGAAAAGTCTGGGAAAAAAGATTGATAAAGTTAATTGGGGTTGTGGGGATTGAAAGAAAGTCAAATGTGCTCCAACACATAAATTAGCTGATAAAATGATGATACGACCAACTTTAAAAGTTCATCTGTTCGAGCTGGATTCATGGTGAAGATACAATCAAAATTTAATTCAGGCTATGGACTATTGAGAATCTATTTAACATCAGTTTCGACATGTCCGTAGCATGATTTAATAGCTTTCATAACTCAGGACTATTCTAATTTGTTGGTTTTATTCTTATTTGTTATATTTACAGTTGTTGATCAAATTTTATCTATCTGTATTTAACGTATATAATTTGCCTGGATGTGTGACGAGATTTTTAAATGAACCGAAGATTCCTAATTGAATTGATGGTAGCTAAAATCATCAAAATGCACTCTTATCATCAATATGCCTATATATAAATATATTTTGCTTAAAAAAAAACAATTATTCCATCTCGCTCCCGCGCTTAACAACAAACTTTTTCTATTGTCTCTTAGAAAACATCCTCAAACTCCTCATGTCCATAATAAATAACGTAAAATTCTTTAAATATCTTTTAGCCTATGGAAGTTTACGTTGACGATGAAACCAAATTGACATTACACGGATTGCAACAACATTATGTTAAATTGAAGGAAAATGAGAAGAACAAGAAGCTCTTTGAACTTTTAGATGTCCTCGAATTCAATCAAGTTGTCATTTTCGTCAAATCCGTCCAAAGATGTGAAGCTTTAGCAACTTTATTGACTGATCAGAATTTCCCTGCTATTGCAATTCATCGTGGAATGGCGCAAGAAGAACGTTTAGCTAAATATCAACAGTTCAAGGATTTCCAAAAAGTATGAAGGTACTCTTAAGTTCATTGAAAATCTTGTGCTAATTGATTTTATTATCTATTTATAGCGTATATTGGTTGCGACAAATCTTTTCGGACGTGGAATGGATATTGAACGTGTCAATATTGTGTTTAACTACGACATGCCAGAAGATTCAGATACTTATCTTCATCGAGTTGCTCGTGCCGGACGTTTTGGAACCAAAGGTTTAGCTATTACATTCGTTTCCGATGAGAACGATGCTAAAATCTTGAATAGCGTTCAAGATCGATTCGATGTCAACATTACAGAATTGCCGGATGAGATTGATCTCAGTTCATACAGTAAGTATCTTCTTTATAACCGTTTATTCAGTTTTGAATCTTAAAAGTTCGTTAACACAATGATTCAGATTCGGAAAAATTGTTCAAAAATTCCTTGTGCACAATATTTTTCCGACACATTAGAAAATTGAAAGTTTTTGTAAATTTCTCTTGATTTGAATCTTTTAGCATCTTCTAGATAATGTTTTCGTTCATTGCTCAAAAAATCAGTCCTTAATATAAAGGATAAACATGATTTTTTACCAAAACTTTGTAAAAGTTTATCAAAAAATATTGTGCATGATCAAATTTTGTATGAAAATTGATGTAAACTTTGATCGCAAATATCTCGAAAACGGCATCAAACGGCATGTCCTCAGTTGTATGGGAGATAGATTTAAGCTTAATTAATTGATTTGTATAGGTTTAAGAGAGGTCTTTGGAAGACTTTTAAACTTATGAATAGTTTAAGTTGTGCAAAAATACTCAGATTTCAATTCATTTTTAAGGCTTAATAAGCAGATTTCTATTGAGTTTGTTGTTTTAATATGTAAAGCTAAGCTTAAATTAGCTAGCAACTGCTTTCAAGACATCCAAATAACAACTTAAAGTAGAAAAAATCATATATTTTTTTCATACACAAATTGTAAACAAATTTTGGGTGAGATTAAATTAATGATTTCTGGAGTTAGACATCAAATTGGGACGAGATATTTTCATAGGATATGCCTCAAGTTAAGATCTTAAATCTGGCATTTAAAAGATGAAGTTTAATTGATATGTTATTTTTGAATTTTTGAACATTTTTTCCGATTCTGAATCATTGTGGTTAAGGAATTCAAAGGTTAACTTTCGTTAAGTTCATTTGAATTTTCAAAACTTCGTTAAAAATTGCCTAAGCTAAGGATATTATTATTTTGACATTTCAGTTGAAGGACGATAAGAAGTAACAATAAAGGAAGCATCATCCCGCATTTTGGATCTTAAGAAACTTATATATACCTACATATAATTTTTTCTTTATAACTTAAGTATTTTTCATAATTAATTAATTTTTATGTGCATAAAACACTTTCTTTTGGATTTCGATGAGGCACATAACATGAAGAGTTAAACCAATCAATTAAATCTTGTAGAGATCGTCATTTAACATTTTTACTTTCCACAAAAAAAACAGACTTGTTTCTGAAAATTTATGATTAAAAATAAAACAGTTTAATTTTTTTCTGATTGTAAGGACTAAAATAATTTGATTAAGTTTTTATTGATTTCTCCTAATTTTTTTCTTATCACATCAATTCATTGAATTACAAGGGTCTGAAAAGAAAACTAAAGCAGCAGCAAAGTTCACCACAAACATGGAATTTTATATCCATCATAGCTAATAAGATTCCTTTCATCATATTTTGATGAAGTAACAACATGAGTCGATTGATTAAAATTTGTAATTTTTTCGTCGCCAACAAACGATTTGGTCGATGAATTTCCACCAGCATCCATTTTTGTAATTGTAGTTCGTGTATTGCCATCACTTGTTCTTTCGACTTTCCTTGTTTCTGACGATCCATCTGAATTTCTAATTGAAATGACTGTTTTACCCCAAGACCTTGAATGTCCTTGATGCTGATTATTATTAGATGGTGGAGGAAATTCATGGAAAGGTGGTAAAGCTGAGAAATGATGGGGAGATAGAGGTGCTTTATGTATATGACGTTTTCTCGGCTTCACAGGAATTACTGGCTCTTTGTACGTACCATGTATTATATCCATAATTTTCTCTTCATCAGTCAATTTTCTTATAATCTGAACATTCTTTAAGTCACTATCAATCTTCTTCTTATCATCCTTTAACATTAATTCAGGATTAATTCTTTTTAATAATGTATCCAATTGATCTACATAAATCTTGCCGTCTAAATCCTGATCACTCTTTTGCTTGAATTGACTGTAATTATCATAGAATTTCTGGAGGTTTTTCTCCTTGATGTGCTGATCATCGACCTCAATATCCTCCATTGCATCAATTATTGTTTTAAATTGCTTTAATATGCTATTTGGAAAGCCATGAAAACGAAATTTGTTGTCTTGAAAGTCATTGAAAAATGTCTCTAAATCAAACCACTCATCGTCATCATCTTGATCGTCGAACTTTTTGAAATTAAATTTATCACTGAATGTGTAGGGAAAGGTATAGGTATATAGAGGAAAATTTTAGAAGAAAAATTAAGAAAAATCGTAAATTAAATTTCCTTTCTATTATATCACAAAATTGGATCCCTACCTGCGTTTCCTGTCTTTATCATCACTTTCTGAGCCAAAGAATTTCCTCCAATCCATTTTTAATACACTTATATTGGGCGAATCAATTAATTTAATTTTAAATCTAGAATATTTCAAAAATATCTCGGGCAAAACAATAAATGACGTCACATTTTCATCATAACAACCGAAAGTTTCTGGGCCCTCGAAATTTGATGCAGTAAAGTTTGCAGACCCACATAGGAAAAAATGAATTCGATCAGAAAATTCGCAAGTTTGCCACAATTAAGGAATCTACGACATGCTAAATCAATCAGTACACAAATATGCGGTGCATTAAGATCAGCAGAAGAAGGTGGCAAAGTTACACACACAGGACAAGTGAGTTTATTTTGATTTTTTGTTGTTGTTGGAATTTTGATTAAATAACAAAATATTCAATTGATGTTTTAGGCTTATGAGGCTGATGATTACAGAAATGTCCGTTTTGTGAATGCTTCCAAAATCGTCAATCCAAACTGGGCTGAAAAATTGATTGCTGAGGAGCCTATTATTGAAACTGAAGATCGAGTAGTTTGGTGTGACGGGGGGGATCCTCGTTTAGGACATCCAAAAGTCTATATAAATCTTGATAAACCAGGTGCTCATGCTTGTGGATATTGCGGACTGAGATATCAGAAAAAGGAGCATCATCATTAAATGAAAATCCTAAAAATTCAAGATCCAGAATGGAATATTCAAAATTTTAGTGAAAGAAGTGTAAACTATTAAGAATATGAGAAATAAAATGTCCTATGTTGGTAAAAACTCAAGCAAGCCTCCACACGCCTTAAGTATTGATTTTACAGACCAAGACAATCGAGTTATTTGTGTCAAGTAAGCTAAAATCAAAAAATCACACATTTATTGCTGACTTCAAACAATTTTTCGCGTCAATGTCATCCAGAGTTGTTAAACAGCAAAACTGTTGATTTTACGTTGATATATCTACGTCCTAATCTATTCAGCATAATAGTATAGACGTGTCTACATCTTAGAAATATAGCAAACAGTAACAGAAACTCTCAGACTGAGATGTTAAAACTTTAAAACATCAACAGGATCAACAACTCTGAAAATTTCGTGGCTCAAAAATAGGAAAATCATAAAAAGTATCGGAAAATAAGGATTTTCCTGCTTATTTGTCTAGTTTCTCAAGATAGTTTATTAATTAATTAAAATGTCATCAAAACACCGACCGAGAATTGATGATTTAATAGAGTGTATCAGCCTGCACATCCCAAATCCAATTTTATTACATTGGACAATTTTTCCATTCATTTTACTATACTTAGTCCACTTATATCTCTGGATATACGTTTATGGATTCACCGAGTATTATGAGGCAGGGTTGATAGTGATTGTAGGAATCGCATTTGTCCAAATTATCACATGTCTAAGTTGTTTTTGGAGTGTACATTTTAGAACATTTACGAGCTGTCGAAAAGTAAGTTGATTAATTAACATCCAGTAATCATGACATAAATTAAACAAATTACATCACACTTTAGGTCAAATCGCCTTCATCAGCAATTCTAGCGAAAGTTGTTCCGACTGAAAATAATGGATCAAGTGAATTAGTCAAGATACAACAAACGAAGATAAGTGACAAGGAAGACATAGAATATTACTTTACATTCCAAAAAATCAAATATGTATGGGATGATAACAAGAAGCAATTCCAAGCAACTGACTTCCCAATCAATCGTCCTTACATCGAGTATTTTGATTCAAAAGGACATGAAGATGATGAGTCATTAGTTGTGGCTGAAAAGAGATTTGGAAAGAACTCTATGGAAATGGTTGTGCCTGAATTTCATGAGTTATTTATTGAACGAGCAACAGCACCATTCTTTGTGTTTCAAGTCTTCTCAGTTGGTTTATGGTGCTTGGATGAATATTGGTATTATTCATTATTTACGCTGTTTATGCTGGTTGTTTTTGAATGCACGTTAGTTCAGCAACAATTAAGGAACATGTCAGAAATTCGTAAAATGGGAAATAAGCCCCACACATTAAACGTTTATAGGAACAGAAAGTGGAGACTAATACAAACAAATGAATTAATTCCTGGAGATCTCGTATCGATTATTCGTTCACAAGATGACAATCTAGTACCATGTGATATTTTATTATTACGTGGAACTTGCATAGTCGATGAATCAATGCTGACTGGCGAATCTGTTCCACAAATGAAAGATTCGCTTGAAAATGTTGATGACTTGAAACGAGAATTAGATGTAGAAAGTGAAGGAAAATTGTATACATTATTTGGTGGAACTAAAGTTGTTCAAACTACATCCCCATCAAAAGGTGCTATGCGTGCTCCAGATAATGGATGTATTGGCTATGTCCTAAGGACTGGATTTAATACATCACAAGGAAAACTATTGAGGACAATATTGTTTGGGGTAAAACGAGTCACAGAAAATAATATAGAAACATTTGCCTTCATTTTATTCCTTATGGTCTTTGCTGTAACTGCTGCTGTCTATGTCTGGATTAAAGGAAGTGAAAATCCTGAAAGAAACCGTTATAAGTTGTTCCTTGAATGCACATTAATCTTAACATCCATAATACCCCCTGATTTACCAATTGAGTTATCTCTTGCTGTAAATTCATCCCTTCTTCAACTTTCTAAGCTTTTTGTCTTCTGTACTGAGCCATTTAGAATCCCATTTGCAGGAAAAGTCGAAATCTGCTGCTTCGATAAAACTGGAACGCTGACAAGTGACAATTTAGTTGTGGAAGGAGTCACTGGAATTGACGGTAAAAAGGATATAGTTCCAATAAGTGAAATTCCAGAACAAACAGCACAAGTTCTTGCAAGTTGTCATTCACTTGCTATATTAGATGATGGATTAGTTGGAGATCCACTCGAAAAAGCGACATTAACAGCTATTGACTGGAATTTGAGTCGAGGAGATTCAGTAATTCCAAAGAAGGGCAAATTTAAGGCATTAAAAATTTATCAGCGTTATCATTTCTCATCATCGTTGAAAAGAATGTCAGTTCTTGCTGGATATTTGCAGTCATACACTGGAGAAACTCATTACATTGGAAGCGTTAAAGGAGCACCAGAAACTGTCATGAAGATGCTGTCAATAGTTCCACCAAATTACGAAGAAACTTATTTGGAATATTCAAGAAGAGGAGCTCGAGTACTGGCTTTGGGAATTAAAGAATTTGGCAAGCTAGAGCATCAAGCTGTTCGTGAAATGAAACGAGAAAATGTCGAATGTGATTTAACATTTGTCGGATTTGTCATCATTTCCTGTCCACTGAAGCCTGATTCGAAAGCAATCATTAAGGAAATTATTCAAGCATCACATAAATGTGTCATGATAACTGGTGATAATCCATTAACAGCATGTCATGTTGCCAAAGAACTTCGTTTCACAAGAAAACCAATTTTGGTGCTGACAACTGATGAAGATGGCTTAAAATGGAAGTGGCAAGGTATTGTTGGTGCTATAAAAATTCCTATTAATGGACCGCATGCAAAGAATATTAAGGAAATCATTAAGGAATATGATTTCTGTATAACTGGTGACGGATTGATTTATCTTAATGAATATGAGCATGATTATTTAAGTGAAGTCTTGCCTTATGTAACTGTCTTTGCACGTGTTGCACCAAAACAAAAGGAATTTGTCATAACAACGCTCAAAAAAGCAGGATATCATACATTAATGTGTGGAGATGGTACGAATGATGTAGGAGCATTAAAGCATGCTCATGTTGGAGTTTCAATCTTGAGTAATGCACCATTAAGAGCTGGACGAATTGAGAAGAAGAAAGATGATTCTCCAATTTCAGCAGCTGGTCCAATAAGACGCCCAGTTGTTGTAAACGATGCTGATAGGAACTTGACACCAAGAGAACGTGCTTTAAGACAGCAGAGACAAAAACTTCAAGAATCACAAGAAAAAATGCAAAAAGTTTTACGAGAAATGGACGAAGAGTCTATGAAAATAGTAAAATTAGGTGATGCCTCAATTGCTGCACCATTTACAAGCAAGCTTTCATCTATAGCTTGCGTATGTCAGATCATTAAGCAAGGCCGATGTACTTTAGTCACAACGCTGCAAATGTTCAAAATTCTTGCATTAAATGCATTAATCTCTGCCTATTGTCAAAGTGTGCTGTACATTGATGGCATCAAATTTAGTGATACACAGGCAACGCTTCAAGGTCTCTTTCTTGCTGCTTGCTTCCTTTTCATTACTCGATCAAAGCCACTTAAAGTTTTATCTAAACAAGCCCCACTCCCAAATATCTTTAATGTCTACTCAGTGACAACTATTTTAGGACAATTCGCAGTGCATTTCGTTTCATTGATTTACTTAGCACAAGAAGCTTCTTTACGAGCTGGACCACGGTAAGCTTCAATGATCTTAATCTGACGATTTTAAAAATTCATTTAATTATTGTTCTAGTGACACGACTGTCAAACTGAACATTGATATGACACCAGAGGAAAAAGATGCTGAGTTCGAGCCAAATATCATCAACAGCACAGTTTATCTAATTTGCATGGGACTTCAAGTATCAACATTTGCTGTAAACTATAAAGGACATCCGTTCATGGAATCGCTAAGAGAAAATCGCTTACTAATGTATTCTATTTTGGCATCGAGTGGTGTTGTCGCATGCTTGGCATTGAACCTCGTGCCTGATCTCCAAAGCGCCTTTCAAATTGTTGATTTCCCACCCGATGTAAGTAATTTAAAAGTTTACATTTGATGATATTTTTTTTGGACCATTAATTCTCAATTTCAGTTCCGCAACATTCTCGTCTTTGTGCTCCTCGCCGATACTGCTTTAGCATTCGTTGTTGATAGAATATTCGCATTCTTATTTGGAGATAATCGTAGGAAAATTGATGTCCTTAACTATTAAACAGTTTGACATAAGTTAATTGTTGCCCAACTTACATTATTTTGGACTGATTAAAAAAGAATTAAAAAGTTTTACAAAAGAAGTTTGAGGATAGAAAATAAATTACTTAATTAAATACAATTGCACTTTTATTATCGTACTGAAATTTTTGATTAGCTTGCGTGTGTGATTAGTGTCATGTTTAGCTTGTATAAATGATGCTCAATATGCAGTTGGAAGTACTGAATATAATATTATTAATATGGCTTTAATCTCATCAATTCTTCGTAAGAGGGAGCTGAAAGCAATCAAAAGTTGTACTAAAGTAAGCAATAACATAAGAAACAAGTATAGACATACGTAATTCATTATCAAACTGCTCTTGAGGTGGAGCTGAGGCATGAAAGGATGGCGGTCTTTGTGGAACGATTTTCATTGGAATCTTGCCAATTATGATCGGAATATCAATTTTTATGTTGGCGTTAACACCGCATAATTCAGGCTCAATTTCTAGTGTATATCTTACTGAGATGATTCCACAATACTTGGTATTGGAAATGACAACATCAGGTATTCTAAAATCAGTAGCAACTGATTTTTGATTCCTTGCATTCACTCCTTCCGCATAACTTTCATGTACAAAATTTTTCATTGAGTTCGTTTCAGACCTTTCTGTGTTCCTAAACTCAATTGATTGAACGAACGTAATCCTTGTTCTCAATATGCTGGAATTACTGTTATTATCATAAAATATCGTTATTGGAACTATCTGATCAGCAACAAATCCTGAACAAGGAAGCATGACTGTTGTACAGAGAGATTCATACTGCGAAAAATTTCTTAGTTCTACACGCCTTATTGGTTCTTTTAAGCTCTCACAGTGATTCAAGTCATCACAATCTACGAAAAATGGAGTTTTGATTTCCTTATCAAACATGAATGGCACTTCAAGCACTGCTTCAACAAAATATTCAATATTTCCATGCTTAAGATTTGTTGAATTTGGTAGTTGCTCTGGAAGCTGACATGAAAATTTGTACTTATGTGTTCCTGACTTTAATTCAAATGCTGGCCCATCTTGTCGACCAAAGAGGTAGATATTTGTATTTAAATAGACTTCAACTCCCTCTTGAAGAACTGAAAAGTGTAAATTAGAAGTTACTTCTATTATAAAAGTTGGTTCCTAATTCAAATACTTGGTCTCCTTCTTCCTTGTATTAGAAATTCTGTTCTGGACTGTCCAAATACTCTTATAGATAGTCCTTGGTATTGAGTTTTAGAAAAAAGAAGTAAACAAACGCTTTATTACTTTTGGTTCCTTTAGCGATGTGTTAATTTATTTCAACAAATCTACCTCTAAACTTCCTAGCATTCGACAAAGACAAAACGACAGTTCCTATATAGAATAGGCCAGATTTTGACATTTATTGTATCATTTATAGCTTATAATATCAAGTTTTAAATTTGAAGTACCTTTGAGAATTTGTCCTGGACGAAAAACATATTCACTAGATTCTTCTGGATCAAGTGTTATCGAGATAGTCGTCATTTAGATTTTTAACAAATTTATTGCCTTGAAATACAATCAATTAAAATTATTTCGAAAATTTCTCGACAAGTTTTGTTCAACTCTTATAGACTACTGATTGATATTAATAAGCATGACTCATTGTTTCCAACATTTTCAGTTCTTCTTCTTAATTCATTATTTTTTATTTTGACACATCGCATCAGAAAAACATGCATCAAGAGCAAAGATTTGAAGACAAACAATGAAATAAATGAATCTTATCAGTAATATTGATTCATTAAGTACTTTATTTATTCATGCATAATATACAGTTTTTGAAAAAAAGACCTGACTCCTCCTATGAAAATTTGTTGCAATTTGTGAACGACTCCATCCAGCAGTCAATGATTTAAATGATTAAACTCAATTCTGAATCATCTTTATTGCATCTTCATATGAAGGAGCTGTAAAATAAATAAAAATTAGTAGATTCTCAAAATGTCAAAAATGCTAAGCATACGAAAGTCATCCATAAGTATTTCTAAAGGAGGTGATGATGGCAAAACCAACAGCAAATCTGCAACTAATCCAGATAGAGGCTCTTCAGGAGGTGCTGATGGTTCAACTGCTAAACTTTCTTCTTGAGATCTTATAGGAATGTCACCAATTGTAATCGGAATTTTCACTTTTAGGTTTGAATGCTCTCGGCCTAAATCTCCTAAAACTTCAATAAAATAACTGACTGTGATTACTTTACAAAATCTTCTGTTGGAACTAGCAACATTATGTATTTTAAAAGAAATAGGAAATGATTTGGATTTCTTAGCATCAACTCCTTCTGCGTGAACTTCCACAAGTTTATATTCATCAATTTTTAACTGTGGTATTGTGCTGCTTCTAAATTCTACCTTCTGATTGAAAGTCACAGTTGTTTTGACGACATTTACATCACTTTCATTCTTATAAAGAACAGTCATTGAGACAATTTGATTGGCAACAAATCCTGAGTGGGACATCATAACAGTCAAGTGGAGAGGATTTGAATCATTTTGGATACTATATTGGGATGCATGTGGAAAAAAGTTTTTCTTCTCAACAATTTTTACAGGTTCCTTTAAATTTCTGTACAAATTCAAGTCATCGCAACGTGCAACTACAAACGGGATTTTAAATTGCTGACCAAACATCCACGGGATGTCAGGCACAGCTTCAATAAAATATGCAATATTTCCGTACTTTAAATTTATTGAAGATGGAAGCTTTTCAGAAAGCTTGTGAGAAAAATTGTACTTGTGAGTTCCTGGCTGTAATTCAAATGTTGGATTGTTCTTTGGCCCAACTAGATATATATTTGTGTCGATATAAACTTCTATGCTTTCGTATACTTGTGCTAGAAAATTGACAATTTCAAAAAAATATATCTGAATAGTCAAGTACATAAGTAAATACTCTGTCTAGCCCAATAAGTTCTTGCTCTTCCATAAACCTTGATGTAAATCCCTGAAAATGATTTGAGCACATAGGAGCTAAATTATAAATCATTTTAGTCACTATTCAGCTTACCTCTAAATTTCTTAGTCCGTAATAATGTTAAAATTGCCGTTCCTTTAAGCACATGACCAGGATGATAGATATGTTTTCCATGATCATTCGGTTCCAGAATTAATTTGATGTTCATCACTAGAATTGGGATAAGCCTTTTTGTCCAACGCTTAAAAAACATGGATATACACAAATTTGAATGAATATTCACGAATTAAACGGCTACGATAAGATCATATCTTATCTGAATATGAAAGATTTATTAGCAAATAAACATTTATTCATTATTCAAAAAAATTTAAGGTACAATAGTTGATGCTGTTTAGATTAAGGTAAAAAAGACTTAATTAAAGCTTTTAATTTGTAAAATTATGTTAACTTTTGATAAAATTTAAGCCAAATGTAAATTTATTGGATCTCTTCTGCTGACAATTGTATAGCCTCGTCGTAAGTTGGAGCTGAAAATATTAATAAATTATGACATATGAATGACTAGATTTAAAAGTTGAGCTTACGTAAATCCTCATCAAGTTCTTCTTCAACCGGAGCTAATGGCTCAAATAAAGGTGGTGCTGTTGGCTGAACTACAGAAGTTACTAAATCTTCTTCAAATCTTATCGGAAGTCCTCCAATAATTATAGGAAGAGAAAGTTTTGGTTCAACCTGAACTCTACTCATTTGTGCTGCAATATCAATGGTATAGCATACTGTAATGACTTTGCAGAACTTACTATTTGAATAAATTGTTGGAGGTATTTTTAAATTGGTTAGGAACTTTTTTGAATGTCTAGCATCAACTCCAATTGAATTAGCATTCACAACTGTCTTTCTAGTTTGTTTTGATTCTCCATCCATTGGACTAAAGTAAGTGATTGTTTGTATCAGCTTAATGCTAGTTTTCACAACTTTGGTATGAGTTTCATTTTCATAATTTATCGTTATTGGAACACTTTGACCAACAGCATATCCTGAATAAGGCACAGAAACTGTCATTTTAATGAATTTAAATGCAAAAGCTGAGAATGTAAGAATGCTCTTTGATTCGACAAGCTTAACAGGTTCCTTTAAATTTCTGTAAAAGTTTAAATCATCAAATCTAAAAACTGTAAATGGAACTTTAACTTCCTTATCGAATTTCCATGGAATATCAAGCACTGCCTCAACATAATATAATATTCTTCCAAATTTTAAAGTCAATGAAGAAGGAATTTGAAATGGAATTGGAAAAACAAAATTAAATTTATGCGTTCCTGGTTGCAACTCGAATGTAGTTCCACTTGGTTCACCAAAAAGGTATGTCCTTGAATTTATGTAGACTTCTGTGCCTTCAAATATTTCTAATGAGATATAATTATTTTAAAGCAGGTACATTTAAAACAGCCTTAAGATTCACTTACTTTTGATTTTCCCACTTTCTTTCGTCCAATTTGACTTTGCCTGCCCAAAAATCTTAATGTAAAATCCTTTAAACTTCTTGATACTATCCAGATATAGTATAGCAGTTCCTATAACATTTCAACTATTCTAATTGTTTCCAAAATCATAGCATTAATATCCTACCTCTTAATTCCTCACCAGGATAGTAAAATCTCCTTCCATCAACATTTGATTCCAATGTTAGTGAAATATTTGTCATAATAATTATTTAATTAAAGCTGATTAGCTCGTTCTAACTAGAGTATGATTTTAAGAACTAATGGCGACAGAAAGTCAGTGCTTATATCCTGAGAGTAAATAATATATCCGTAGTAACACAAGAATTTACATACGCAATCTTCTTTTTGCTCATATACTTGGATATACTCAATTAACTATGCGCAAATCTTGGTAAACAACAAGGAATTCCGTTGATTCGTCATGTATTAAATTTCTAGTGCTCATTTGAATTTCTTGGTCTGATTTAACATCATAAGGGTTTGTGCTTTTAAATTAAGTTTGATTTTGCTTTTAAATTAAATCCATTCACAATTGAAATTGAGCGGGAAAACTTTTTTTTCACTTTCACTTCGTCCTTGAACATTTGTATATCATACCATATGGATGATTCATGCTTAATGTTTTCTACTGCGCATCGTCTATTAAGGCGATCCCATTTTTCAACAAGTGTCCCCCTTGAGTCTTTTAAATTAATTCAAAATCAAACTTTTATATTTAAATGCTTCATACTTTGGAATGCTACAACTTCAATGTTTAGTATTTGTGTTGATGAAATAGATTTGTAATGGTCTTTTAAAGAACTTACTGAAAAGGAAGGTTGAGGGCGGAATATAATCGCATTTTAGATTGATTTCTTTATTAAATGGCTGTTTACTTAATAATTTTATTTTTATTTCTATAAAAAAAATGTGAACAGATTAATGCACAGTTCCAAAAAAGAAATGCAATTAATAATATCTGATTGATCATTTGATGCATTAAGTAAAGCTTATAAACAGTTATAAATATATAAAAGCATAGAAAATAAGTAGCACTTTAAAGTTCAAATAACTGATTAAATCTCCAAGCCATTTTATAATGCCATTTTCATAGTCTCCCCATAGGAAGGCGCTGAAATGGAGAAATTTAAATTAAAGAACAGAAGAAATAAAAATAATTATATTAACTTACGTTTCTCATAATTAAATGGCTCTGCAACAGGCGCTGATGGTTGAGCCATCTGAGCTGATTCATACTGATTATTAAATGTCAAAGGCACAGTTCCGATTGTGATAGGAAGTCTGATCTTATGATTTGTATGTAATCCAGTAGATTCTGCTTCAACTTCAATAGAATAAGTAACAGTTATAACCTGACAAAACTTGTCATTCGAGTTAACGACTCTTGGAATATTTAATCCAGCTTGTATAGTCTTTGAGCTTCCTGCTGAAACTCCTTCCGTTATTGCTTCTATCACTACCGTCTCATTTTCTTTTGATCTTGATTGTTGTGGACTGGTGTAGACAATAGTTTGAATAAGTTTGATTTTTGTCATAGAGATATCGACGCTACTCTCGTTTTCATAACTGATGGATACAGGAGCATATTGGTTAGCAGCGAATCCTCTATATGGTATTCCGACTGTCATAAGTAAAGGCTTGGATTCAGAAAATAAAGTAATGAAAGTTTTCCTTTCAGCTCGTCTCATTGGATTAGCCAGTTCTGGATATAGATTCAAGTCATCATACCGATGAATCATAATATCAACCTTAGTTTCTTTATCAATTTTCCATGGAATATCCAGTACAGCTTCGACACGATAAGTAATTTTTCCATTAGTTACATCTAAAGTATAAGGAAGCTGATGTGGGAGTTGACATGCAAACTTGTATTTGTGACTTCCGGTTTTCATTTCAAATGTTGGTCCGCCATATTCACCAAAAAGATAAGTTCTTGAGTTCACATATACCTCAGTTCCAGTATAAGTTGCTAAAGTTCATTTTTCTTAAGAATTTTAATATAAAATGGTGTAACAAGATTTACTCACTTTTAGATTTTCCACTTCCTTGCGTCCATTGACATTTCGCTTGTCCAAAAACTTGGATGTAAAAGCCTGCAAACAGAAGGTAAACAAAAATGACCTTGAAGAGATTCTAATGATTTAATTTCAGTTAATAATGTTTGATATATTTCATAACAGTACCTCTGAACTTTTTTGTTTCATCCAGAACTAGTTCCACAGTTCCTAGAATCATAAAATTCTTATTAGAAATAATTATTTCACGGCAAAATATCACAAATTGTATTTGGATATACCTTTCAATAAATGCCCAGGATAGTAGAAGAAGGTTCCTTCAGGATTAGGTTCAAGCATTAAGTTGATCTTTGCCATTTTTGAGGTTTTTAACGGTTTAATATTTTATTTTAATATTTTAAGAAAATCCGCAAATTAATTAAAATGATGAAGAAGTTCTCAAACTGATCTCTTTTTAAAGCTTGTAAAATAAGGCGTATTTATACGTCTGTTCTCTCCGGAGTATTATTTTATTCTATCTTTTTTTTGATTTTCATATTTATTTTAAGTTATAAGAGAAGCTATACATTGTGCGATCAATACATGCGTGTGTGCGCGCATTTAATAAAAATCTTGACTTAAACTCATTGCAAAATATTGAATAATTGCTTGACTTATTTATAAAATTACTAAATTTAAACCTATTAAAAAATAATTTGTCAAAACAAAACAAGTATTGGACATTCTATATGTTATTGATGATCATCTGATTGGTTTCGACATGCTGAGAGCTTCTTCAAATGTTGGAGCTAAAAATAAATTTATTTTTGTAGACAGTTTTGACAATTGGTCAGGTTTAAAAATATCATTCATCATATGTGTTTGTGGACCGTTTACTAATGACGTATAATTAAAATTGGATCCAATGCTACCTTTCTTAACTAATCATCAAAATGTTAAAGTGTAACCTGGTTTAGTAGGATTCATCATTTAATCACACTCATCACTGATTTAGACCAAATCGAATTTCAAACGTAATTAGTAAATGAATCCAAATTTTGTCTTACGCATATCACTTTTTAGCTGATTTTCAGCAACACTCGTTGTTTTGCTGGTTTGTGTAGAATTGCTTAAATTCGATGTCTGTGAAATTTGTTGACTATATTGTCTTTGAATTAATTCATTTAATGGATTAAGTCTTGTATCAATTATTTCTGGGGTTCTTGAGATATTGTTTGGATCCGTATATAATTGATTGTTTCTTAAAGGCAAAGATGCTATGGTTATTGGAAATAATATTGTTAAATTCTTATGATATCCGTTAACTTCACCGATAACTTCAATTGCATAATCGATGGCAATTATCGGACAATATCGTCTATTTGAACTCTTCATTGACAAAGGAATATAAAATTTTACATTAAAGCTTTTTGACTCGCCCTGCTTAACACCAGCTGCATATGCTACAAATATTTTTTCATTTTCAACTTTTTTCGCAATCGGATCATGACTTGTGTATGTGACTCTCCTTAATAGGGTGACTTTTGACCTTAAAATTTCAACATTGCTGCTGTTCTTATATTCAATTGTGACTGGAACATTCTGACCGACAGCAAATCCAGTACAAGATATTATGGCATTCATAACTAGTGGCTTTGATTTCCATAATGCAAATCCAAATGTGACAACCCTTTCGATATTTCGGACTTTTCTTAATTCCGGAAAAAGATTTAAGTCATCGAACCTGACAATTGTAAAAGTCTTCCTAACAGTTTTATATGGTCCAAAAGAATTTTCAAGTACTGATTCCGTATAATATGCGACACTTCCATATTTCATATCCAGTGTATAAGGTAGATTGTCAGGAAGCTGACACTCAAAATTATATTGATGAATTCCTTGATTTATTTGAATATCCTGTCCGTAAAGTTCTCCAAAGAAATATGTTGTGGAATCTAGCAAAATTTCTACAGATTCATGGACAACTAGAAAGGAATGCATTGTAGCTTGTAAGCTAGAAACATATTCATATTGTTACCTTTCTTAGAAGTGAAGATACTCGACATAACATGCCCACCTCCTGTTCTTTTGCCATCATTCTCTGCCCAATGTACTTTTGCTCTTCCAAAGATCTTAATATAAAGACCTAAAAATTGAATTCAAAAATATTGTCAAGTGCCGGTTTAGATGACCACAACAACATGAAAAATATAAAGCGGATTTCACTCAGCTGCTGATTTATGAAAATAATTCAATGACCTTGGAAAGTTTTCAGACGTAAAAAATGAAAAGCAAAATTTAGTATGTATGATCACTTAATTACACAAGCTGTCTCCAAATCAAATGACATGAATTCGATATCACACAATCAAAACTTGATTAAAGCATCCATCAACTACCTCGAAATTTCTTGTTTTCTTCCAATGTTAAAGTCACGGTTCCTAAATTATAATTTGATCGTGGATTAATATTTCAATGCTGTTAATTATTTGTTCCTACCTTTTAACAAATGTCCCGGACAGAAAACATTTTTTCCTTCTGAATTAGATTCTAGCTTTATCTCAACATTCGTCATTATTCTTCTGTATTCTACAACATACTGACTCAAATTCAGTCTTACTATATGCGAGATCTTCTTTGTACTCTTTTCTTTTTTTATCCCACAATAATTAAGAAAGTGAAAATATCTTTTCTTTGATGACTTTTGCGCGCTTCTTTTGCTCGATGTCTGCTAGATATTAATATTTGGTCTGGATTGATATAAATTATTAAAAAGGGACAGTTATGTTGTATGAAATTAAATATGTGGAATTTGATCGTTTTAGACTTTAAGCTGTATATCTTTTAATTTTGAATTAATATTCACAAATCTCTTGGATCCTTGAAGGATCCATCAAACTAAAGATCTGAACTTCTTCACTTTTGTAATAATAATATAAATCTTTTTCCTACTTCCTTACACTTGACACTGCATGTAAATCAAAATAATATGCACAATCTTCTTTCCTTTTTCTTCAATCCGTAATAAGCAATAGAACTGTTTATTTTTAAACGTAAAATATGTGTCAGTGCATAACTTGGAGAAGATTTTCCTCAAGTGCAATTTAATATTATTTGCCAAAAAGAGAATTAAATTTGCTCTCTTAAAGCTTTTATATTCTAAAGTTTCTAAAAGAGTAAATTAAGCTTTAAGAGACTGATGACAAAATCAGTAAGTTGCAGTAGTCATGTTTATTATCACAAAATTCAACTAAGTTTGTTACAAAAAACTAAAATTGCTTTATAAAGTCACTTAAGCAGAAAAAGCAATGACTGCTTATTCGATACTGCAAGATGATTCTCCTGTCCCCCTAAGCCTCATAGCTTCCTCAAATGTTGGTGCTAAAATCAGTAATTTTCTATTTTAATTAAACATAAATTCAGAAATTATTCAACTCACGTGAACTATAATCCGGTGGCTTATTACTCATAGCTGATGACTGCATATAGTTTGAAGCACCACTTTCATCTTCAAATCTTATTGGAAAATTCCCAATTGTTATAGGAACTGAAACTATTGGATTTGAATGAAATCCATCAGCATCACCTTCTACCTCAATTGCATATTCTATAGTTAAAATCTGCGAAAATCTTCTATTTGAAGTTAATTTAATGGCTGGAATAGGAACAATAATTTCAATTCCTTTAGATCGACCAGCATCAACGCCTTGCACTAAATTTGAAATCAATCGAATTTTTTCAATTTTTACTTTTTGAGGTGATTGACTTGTTAATATCAAGCATTTGACTAATCTCACTGCAGTTTTTTTAATATCGACATCACTTTGATTGCTATAAAGTATATTAACAAGAACTTCTTGATTGCTTGTATAACCAGAGCGAGGAATTGAAACTGAAATATGGAGTGGCTTTGATTCCTTAAATAGAGTAAAAAACTTTTTAACAACTTCTCGATTTTGAGGTAATCGCAGTTCTGGATAAAGATTCAAGTCTTCATATCTAATAATTCCAAATTCCTTTCTTAATTCTAAGTTATAGCTCCATGGAATCACAAGAACTGCTTCAATAAAATAAATTATTTCTCCATGATCCAATTTAATTGAGTAAGGCAAGTCATTAGGTAATTGGCAGGCAAAGCTATATTTATGATTTCCTGAGTCTATTTTTATTGAAGGTCCACCTGCTTTTCCAAGAATGTAATTTCTTGAATTAATGAATATTTCCTTGCCATTATAATGTGCTGTGAAAAAATAACTCGTTTTCTTTAAGTAATTGACTTAAATTTTCAAACTTACTTTCCGACCTTCCATTCTTCTCAATCCAGTGTGCCTTAGATTTTCCAAAAATTTTGACATAAAAAGCTACATTTTTAAAATAGAAAATCAATTTTCAAACCGACAAAATCAGGAATCAACTACCTTTAATTTTTGAAACTTTGTTTAACGATAGTATGATTGATCCTTAAAAAGTATAACTGTTAGAATTCAAATTTATATTTCAATTGCTATCGGTTTCAATACCTTTGAGCAAATGTCCTGGATAGTAAGTATAATCTCCTTCCGAATTAGCTTCTAGATTTAAGGCAATTCCATCTTCCATTTTTTCTCAAAACGAAAACTAGCCTACGAATGTTTTTTCACATAAAACTATAAGATGAAAATCGATGGCGCCAAACTGTCGAGTCTGTTTCTTCATTTATACTATTACGCACAATCTGACGACAAACAAGAACATATAAGTGTTGAAGGATGTAGATTTTGGCATGAATCATTAAACATTTTTCCTTATTGCGAAAAGTTGAATGTTGATGTTTTTTGTTGCAGCAATGCTTCAAATATTAACCTGAAAGATACTTATTCATCGATATTCAACTGTTTTAAGAATGAAAATAATTTCTCTAGGCTGCACTATGGGCCAGAAATGGAAAATTTTTCCAAAAATTATTTCTACAGCTTATATGATAGTCCTTATTCTGTCCTACATTTACGTCCTTAAAACTTTGCCTAAGTCGACAGCATGTCCGAGATATGGCACTTCAAAGTTGGTCAGACGACCATTTTCACGTTACATTGAAAATGCTCTCACCAGTCACTGGATGGATGAATCTCCTTCAATTTTTTTTTGGTAATAGCTTTAAATAGTTCCTTCATTTTAAGGTATAAACAATTGCAAAAAACTTTGGAAAATTTTGTGAAAAACTTGATTTTTCTCAAAAACCACGTGTTCGTCATACTTCCGTTTGTGTAGGTCTTCACAAGCACAACCAAAGTTACTAATTTCTTTTTTATATTAAAGATTACATCAAAAGCTATAACTTTTGCATACATGTCGTATAATTTTAACAAAGTTTTGGTAGTGAAAAAAATTTTTTTTATAAAAAAAACACCAATTTTTTGACAAAAATCGCTGTAGTGCTCCAGGGATACCCATGGTAGTGGAATTTTATTTCACATTTAGAAAGCTCTCTGGATATGCTATCAATTAATGCAGTAAAATGAACAAGTGTTCTCTTGGCAAAGAGCACTTTTTTGACTCTGAAAGTCGTATGTCGAGCAAGGTCAAAAAAGAAAAATAATCATAAAAATTTCAGTTTTAAGTAAAATTTAATTTTTTTAAGTTAGATTGATAGATCTTTTTAAAACGCGTCTTTTGAGTATAAATATGTCATAGTTTTGTCAAGTTTCATGATCAGTTTTTTAAAAAAATAGTTTTTTTCAAAAAAAAACTTGAAAAATAAAGTATTTGACTTTAGAATTTCATAAAATGCATTCTTTTTAACATTTTTTTCACTATTTTGTCTAGTTTTGCTCCTCGTTTTTTCCTAAACATAAATCAATAAGAACTTAACATAATTGAAGCCATTTGGAGGTTAAATTGAGTTAAAAATCGTTTAAAATTTTTGTATTTCTTAAATAGTTCTTTACACAAGTATCTAAGATATAAAGTGTTGCATAGTTTTGAAAAGGTATTAAAATTTCCAATATGTTAACATGAAAATTTTAGGAAAATTTTCAAGTAATATAGTCAATTTGGGTAAAAAACGCATTTTATATATGCTAGTTTTTAATGTTTTTCGTTTTTCTCAGCAAAGACTTTATGAAAAACTCTCAAAGTTTGCACACTTATTTGTTATATAAATGTTAATGACTCGTATAAGTTTTGGAATTTTCTATTGAGTTTTTCATGAGTTCTCCAAATCTGAAATTTTCAATATTAAAAATCCTTTTTTCTCAATAATTCCGATTTTTTATTTATAAATAAATATCTTATTTTGTTTCATTTTACAATATCTTTTCATTGATATGTAACAATCTACGAAAAAAATAAGACTAGCGAGGAATCAATAAAAAAAGTGTCAAAAATTTATGAAAATTCTACGCTATTTTAATTTTTTATCCTTTTCTGGTTAATTTTATTAAGTTTTGTAAGAGTATTATACCTTTTTGCAAATTTATAGCTTAAGACTTTCATCTGCTTTCATCCACTAAAATTCGTATGAGTTTACGATAAGCACAACTGAAGTTAAATAAGCTTCACGTTGGCGACAAAAGACAGTTCCATATGAAGAAAACCAGATATTAATTTTAATGCTATTTGAGCTATAATATTAAACTTTTTCATTTAGTTTTGTTATAAATGTTTCATGTATTTAATAGCAGCCTGAAGATTTAATTTAAAGCTTTTAAATAATTTGATTTTAAAAAATTCAAAATTTTTGGTTGCGCCAACGTGAAGCTTATTTAACTTCAGTTGTGCTTATCGTAAACTCATACGAATTTTAGTGGATGAAAGCAGATGAAAGTCTTAAGCTATAAATTTGCAAAAAGGTATAATACTCTTACAAAACTTAATAAAATTAACCAGAAAAGGATAAAAAATTAAAATAGCGTAGAATTTTCATAAATTTTTGACACTTTTTTTATTGATTCCTCGCTAGTCTTATTTTTTTCGTAGATTGTTACATATCAATGAAAAGATATTGTAAAATGAAACAAAATAAGATATTTATTTATAAATAAAAAATCGGAATTATTGAGAAAAAAGGATTTTTAATATTGAAAATTTCAGATTTGGAGAACTCATGAAAAACTCAATAGAAAATTCCAAAACTTATACGAGTCATTAACATTTATATAACAAATAAGTGTGCAAACTTTGAGAGTTTTTCATAAAGTCTTTGCTGAGAAAAACGAAAAACATTAAAAACTAGCATATATAAAATGCGTTTTTTACCCAAATTGACTATATTACTTGAAAATTTTCCTAAAATTTTCATGTTAACATATTGGAAATTTTAATACCTTTTCAAAACTATGCAACACTTTATATCTTAGATACTTGTGTAAAGAACTATTTAAGAAATACAAAAATTTTAAACGATTTTTAACTCAATTTAACCTCCAAATGGCTTCAATTATGTTAAGTTCTTATTGATTTATGTTTAGGAAAAAACGAGGAGCAAAACTAGACAAAATAGTGAAAAAAATGTTAAAAAGAATGCATTTTATGAAATTCTAAAGTCAAATACTTTATTTTTCAAGTTTTTTTTTGAAAAAAACTATTTTTTTAAAAAACTGATCATGAAACTTGACAAAACTATGACATATTTACACTCAAAAGACGCGTTTTAAAAAGATCTATCAATCTAACTTAAAAAAATTAAATTTTACTTAAAACTGAAATTTTTATGATTATTTTTCTTTTTTGACCTTGCTCGACATACGACTTTCAGAGTCAAAAAAGTGCTCTTTGCCAAGAGAACACTTGTTCATTTTACTGCATTAATTGATAGCATATCCAGAGAGCTTTCTAAATGTGAAATAAAATTCCACTACCATGGGTATCCCTGGAGCACTACAGCGATTTTTGTCAAAAAATTGGTGTTTTTTTTATAAAAAAAATTTTTTTCACTACCAAAACTTTGTTAAAATTATACGACATGTATGCAAAAGTTATAGCTTTTGATGTAATCTTTAATATAAAAAAGAAATTAGTAACTTTGGTTGTGCTTGTGAAGACCTACACAAACGGAAGTATGACGAACACGTGGTTTTTGAGAAAAATCAAGTTTTTCACAAAATTTTCCAAAGTTTTTTGCAATTGTTTATACCTTAAAATGAAGGAACTATTTAAAGCTATTACCAAAAAAAAATTGAAGGAGATTCATCCATCCAGTGACTGGTGAGAGCATTTTCAATGTAACGTGAAAATGGTCGTCTGACCAACTTTGAAGTGCCATATCTCGGACATGCTGTCGACTTAGGCAAAGTTTTAAGGACGTAAATGTAGGACAGAATAAGGACTATCATATAAGCTGTAGAAATAATTTTTGGAAAAATTTTCCATTTCTGGCCCATAGTGGGCTGTTGTGGATTGAAATTGGCATGATTTATTGATTAGAATTAAAAACATCGAAAGCTTAAAATTTACATGTAAATTTGTAAAAATACGAATCTTTTGTTTAATGGCACTGATTCTTGAATCGAGGAACAATCTGCTAAAAAAAACACTTCAATAGCCTTCAAAGGACGGTGCTGAAATCTTAAAATCTTAGACTCAAAAATTGCTAGACATATTTGTACACTTACGAATCGCAGGTGCTGATGGTTGAACATAGGGAACTTGACTTAAGTGATATGAAGTTGATTCTTGAGATATAAACTGAATCGGAACAGTTCCGATTACAACTGGAAATACAACGTTTATATTTGAATGCCATCCACTTAAAACTGCTTCGATTTTCATGGCATAATTAATGCTTAGAACTCTACAACTTTTATCATTAGTGCACAGAATAACGATTGGGATTTCAAAAATGCTTTCACATGATGTCGAATCTCCAGCCTTAACTCCAACAGTATTTGTGACAATCAAATCTTCAGCATCAACTTTAACGCTGGGATGTGGCGTTTGTGCATGATAATTGACAATTCGCCTTAAAATCATTTTGGTGCTTGATACATCGACATTACTTTTGTTTTCATAATCAATTTTAATTGGAACTTTTTGACCAATGGCAAATCCTGAGTATGGAAGATGTACTGTCATTTGAAGCCTGCCAGATTTGCAGAAGACTGTTTGAATGTTTTTAAAAACTTCAATACTTCTGGGAGCTTTTAAATGCTGATAAAAGTTTAGATCTAAATAAGGTATTATAAAAAATGGAACTTTCGATTCCTTATTAAAATGCCATGGAATATCAAGAACAGCTTCAACATAATATTGAATTTCTGCATGCTTCAATCCAACAGTATAAGGTATGTGTGGTGGTACCTGGCAAGTAAATTCATATCTGTGAGCTCCTGGTGGCATTTCAAAAGTTGGTCCTCCTAATTGACCAATTAAGTAGGTTCTCGAGTTTATGTATCCTTCGAATCCTTCAAAATTGACTAATAATGGGAAGTAGAATTAAGTAATACAAAATAAAAGCTTAAGAAAGTTTTAGTACTTCTTTCATATCTGGAGTTTCTGTTAGAACCTCTTTCACTTTTTGTCCAATGTGCACGTGCTGACCCAATAATTGCTATATAAAGACCTTTAAAATAAAATGACAATGAAACTCAAATCCAGAGAATGTAAACAGTATAGCACCATAAAAGATCATTGACACCAAAATTTGAATTTTTTCAAGGCTTAAATTTAGGGTTTTGAAAATATTTTCGTTTTCTGACCGAGCTTCTTTTCGCTCTCTCGTTTTTTCAAAGCTTTGGTAAGAACCCGAATATTGTCAATTAGCTAATGAGTATGTGTAGAGACACAAACTGAAAATTGAGCAAGAAATTATATTTTCTCTGTTTGATTTGAGTAAGAATATTTGGGAATGAAATTATTTACTAAATCAGTCAAAAATTGTGAATTTTGATGCTTAAATTTGATTTTTAATAACAAAATTTACCACGAAATTGTTTTGGATGATCAAGAGTCAGTTCCACAAATCCTGAAAATAAGAATTTACTTTATTTTGATCATTTATTAAACTTACCATCAAATCAATTACCTTTCAATAAATGACCAGCAAAATAAAGTAATCTACCATCAACTCCAGGCTCTAGTTGCAAGCTTACTTTTGTCATGATACCAATTAAGCTATATATTCTGGGTCACTAATTCCTAATTTCTAAAATTAAAGAAAAAGATTCGACTATCAATTTCTCGCAGCTGAAGCACACTATCTATTTTTTGTGCTGTTTATGTCGATTTTTTTTGTGTGAGCTAATAAATGTGTTGCGCAAATCCGTACGAATAAATATTGCCACCGGAGACTTCGAGTCAAAAACTTTTTTATTAAGATTAAAACATTTTGGAAGTATTTACAAAGCTCTGTGTAGATCGGACTTTTACATGCCCCATGCAATACTTGTTGGCATAGATTTTTCCATCAAAGACAAGTTTTGTTTCTCTGGTACACTAGTTGCTTCTTTAAATGATGGCGCTGAAATTTTTTTTTATTTAAATCATTAAACATCCAAACTTTATGCTATAAACTTACGAAAATCAGATGCTGATGGTTGGGTACATGAAACAGGAGAGTAATATGAAGAAGGTTCTGGATTTGTAAATGTATTTTGAATAAACTGGTCTTCTCTTATAGGCACTGTTCCTATTACAACAGGAATTACAGTTGTTAGATTTGAACTAAACATGCCAAGAACTGCTTCAATTTTCATGACATAAGTTACAGTTACTACGCGGCACCATCCATTGGTGCACAGCATTACTCTTGGTATTTCAAAAATGCTTTCGAATGAAGTTGATACGCCATCCTTGACTTCATCGGTATTGACAATAAACATATCCTCCTCTTTGCTTTTTGTTTTTGGATGTGGCGTTGTTGCATTATAAGTAATAATCCGTTTTAATGTAATTCTTGTGCGAACTACATTCTGATTAGTTTTGTTGTTGTAAAAAAATTTAATTGGAACCTTTTGACCGACTGCAAATGCAGTATATGGAAGAAATATTGTCATTTCTAGCCTACCTGATATGCAGAATAATGAACAAGTATTGCTAAATGTTTCAATAGTTTTGGGAACTTTGAAATGCTGATATAAATTCAAGTCAACGTAAGGGATGATTATTAATGGAACTTTAGATTCCTTGTCGAAATGTCATGGAATATCAAGAACTGCTTCGACATAATAATAAATTTCTGCATGCTTTAATCCAACAGTATATGGAATTTAAGGAGGCAGTTGACAATTAAATTCATATCTATGAGTTCCTGGTGCCATTTCAAATGTTGGTCCACCACTTTTCCCAAACAAGTAACTTCTGGTATTAACATATACTTCAATACCTTCATAGTGTACTAAAATGATAGTTAATACAAAATTTATGAGTTTAAAAAGCTGATAAATTTCTGTACCTGTATGATAGTCGTTGGTTCGTCTATAACCATTTCCAAAAAGACCAAAATCACGACGATATTTTCTTTCCCTCTTTGTCCAATGTGCTCGAGCTGATCCGAAAATTGTTACATGAAGACCTTTGGAATTAAATATTAAGATGGCATTAAAAAGATGTAAAAAAGGTTGATATTATCAGACATCGAGTGTTGGGAGCGAATTTTGAACAGTTGTAGATCAGCTTAATATTGATCATCATAATGTGATGGAATTGAACTTCCAATATATGATAGACCTAACTTTCTTGAATGTTAGGACATAAAACAACCCTGTGTAAGATCATTGACTTTGAATGATTTTAATCTCAAGGCTAAAAGTTGACCTTGAGACTATTTTTCGTGCTCAGTCAGAGATGTTTTTCACTCTCATTTTCTCAAAGTTTTGATAAGAATTCGACTGTTTCGCACTCAAAAACATTCAAATCTAAAGAATCTAAAAATATTTTTGAAGAAGAAGACGAAACATCAATTTTTGATAAAATTCGCCCAACCAGCATCGATGCTTTATTGATTTTTTTTTGATTATTCACATTATTTTACCTCGGAATTTTTTAGGATGGTCAAGTTTGAGCTCGACGACTCCTAAAAGTACAGAAAGTTTTTGATTTATTTCCAAAAAAAAAAATTAAGTTTTTGATCAACAGCACGAACCTTTCAATAAATGACCGGAATAGTAGATCAATTTTCCATCTACTCCTGGTTCAAACTGTAAATTTACTTTTGTCATGATTTTAATTAATTTAAGTCACAAGTTTTTGATTTCACATGCTTAGATGAACATTAAACCGTGAAAATTTTGAATGCTTCTGTCAAATATTTTTATGCGTATGCGAATATTTTGTGCGAACGAATTTCACCATCAACGAGGCATAGTCGAAATTTTTGTATATTTTCGGAACTAGCTTCAATAAATCATGAAGGCAGATATGAATTCAGTAAAATATTTTATTAAATTAGTTTATCTTTTGGCTTTGATACATTTTATACAATATTTCTTGGTGTTTCCATTAGCGTTAAACGTTGTTTCTCAATTTCCTTCAAAGATTCATTGAATGGTGGTGCTGAAAAATTCGAAAAAAAAATCTCAATCCTTTACACAGCAAAGAAATAAAAAAAAAAACTTACGAAATTCTTCAGCTGCTCCTTCTTCAATGGAAGTTGATGAATGTTCCATAAACGAAGTTGTTGTTTGCGAAAGGCGACTTCCAACCCTAATTGGGATCGTTCCGATAGTAACTGGAAATCGAACTTCCGGATTTGGATAATAACTACTAAGCACTGACTCGATTCTCATTGAATAGCTTATACTAGCTGTCTTACAGTATCCTTTATTTGAGCAAAGTATTCCTGTTGGAATTTTAAAACTCATTCCGAACGAATGTGTGATTCCTGCCTTTACTCCAACACTTGATGCCACAAGCATGATTTGCTTTTCAGTTTTTGTTTTCCTGCTAGGTTTTTGACTAATGTATTGAATTTTTCGATATAAAGTTACTTTAGTAGCTGATACATTGATGTGACTTTTATTGACATAATCTATGTCGATGGTTACTTCATGACCAACAGCAAAGCCTGTACAAGGTAAATGAGCAGTCATCAGAAGAGAACCTGGGATACAGAGGATGGAACAGGTGCATTGTGAAATCTCAAATGTTTGTGAAACTTTAAGGTTTTGGCATAGATTCAAATCTTCATAAGGCATGATTTTTATTGGAATCTTAATCTCCTTATCGAATTGCCACGGAATATCAAGAACTACTTCAACATAATAATTTATTTCTGCATACTTTAAAGTAACTGAGTATGGCAAATGTTGCGGAAGTTGACAAGCAAATTCATATTTATGAACACCCGCTGATATTTCAAGATCTGGTCCATCTTCTTGACCAAAAATGTGAGTAGTTGAGTTTAGGTAAACTTCTTTGCCTTCAAATGTTCCTAGAATAATCAGTAAGGTATAAAAATTTGACATATTCATGGACATTCCTTACTTGTTCTACCACGCTTCTTCGTCCATTTTGTCTCTTTCCACTGTGTCTGAGCAGATCCAAATATCTTTATTGACAAACCTTAGGTTAAAAGTAGTTATTACATTGCATGATAGCATTATCAGTTTTTTATTTAACTGGTTTTTTGCTAGACTATTGATAACAGCTTAATGTAAATACAATTATTGAATGACCCAATTTTTTAAGATTTTGTCTTCAAAATTCAATCACTTACTGAACATTCTGTTGCTAAACTTACCTCGGAAATTTTTCGAACTTTTAAGTTTCAACTCTACAGTTCCTAAAATTATGAATGATTTATCATCACTTTGATTCTCCTGAAAATGTCATGTAGAATACCTTTAAGCAACTGACCGGGATGATATATCAATTTTCCATCTACATCAGGTTCAAGCCATAAATAAACATTGGTCATAGTAAGTTTTAATACTTAAGCTCACAGCTTCTGAAAAAATAAATTGTAACTCCAACAAATTTAACACCTCAACTAGTACTAATGAGATAAAAACTAATGTCCCATATCTTATCTTGAGAGTATACTGACTTTTATTGTTTTATTTTCTGTATTACAATATTTATTCGTGTATCTTGAAAGTGTAAAGCTTGGTCAGCATGAGTAATTATTGTTTTACTCAATTAAAGGAGATGCTAAAGTTTTAAAACTCCCTCGAAAATCTGACAGACTGCAGTTTAATGTTACTTCCTGCATCACAATATCTCTATAATAAATGAATTTTATTCGAGTTGCATATATTTAGTCACATTTGGTATCAATTAAATGCCTAATATTGTAGGCACAATTATGAGGTAAATTCCAAGAAATTTATTGTTTTTCGTTGACTGGTGCACTTGGCGCTCCAATATTCCAGCCAAAATTTCCAGATTGTGATGGTTGTGGTTGCATAAATGGTGTACTTTCAGGTTTAGGCATATTCATGGCTTCTTCAAATGTTGGAGCTGAAAATAATTGTGATAATCATCGCAAGCAAATTTTAATAAAAAACTTACGTAGATCATTTATATATTCGTCAGGAACTGGTGCTGATGGATGAATTATAGGAGCTGCAGGCATTGAAGGTTGTTCGAATGGCATCTGAGGCATCGATATTTGTCCAATTGGAACTTGAGGTTGTGTGAATTGATTGTCGAATGTGATTGGAACAGAACCAATTTCTACTGGGAAAATGATCTTTGGGTTAGTGCTGCATCCATCAACTACAGCTTCAATTTCTACCGCATAACTGATTGAAACAACTTGACAGTATCTTCCATTTGAACACATCATGGTTTGAGGAATATCCAAAGATGATTCAATGGCGTTTGTATCTCCTCCTTTGACTCCTTGAGTCATTTTCTCTGCCATTTTTTCTGTGTCTGTTCTTGTTTTATGTTCTGGTGTATGACTAGTATATGAAATTGTGCGTTTAAGCTTTAATCTTGTATGCAGGACATTAACATCACTTTTATTTACGTAATCAATTGTTATGTTAACAGTTTGGCCAACAGCAAGTCCAGTATAGGGCATTGCTACTGTCATAATGAATGGACCTGATTTACAAAAGAGGCAGCAAAATGTTTTTATTTCTTCGTACTTAAGAGGAATTCTTAATTCTGGAAAGAAGTTTAGATCATCATATCGAACCACAGTAAATGGAATTTTAGTTTCCTTATCAAAACTCCACGGAATATCAAGAACAGCTTCAACATGATATCTAATGCTGCCATGTCTTAATTCAGCTGTATATGCTAGACGTTCGGGTAGTTGACAGGCAAATTCGTATCTATGAACTCCTGGTTGAATTTCAAATGTTGGTCCTCCTCGTTGACCAAAAAGATAAGTTCTCGAATTTAGGTACACTTCCTTTCCCTCAAAATTCACTAAAATTTGAACGTGTACTTAACTTTTTTACGAGTGCATAATCTCCATACCTGTATAGTTTTCAGTACGTCTGTTATCACCCGTTCCTGTTGTTCTAGATCTCGTTTCTGTCCAATGTGCTCGCGCTTCTCCGTAAATCGTAACATGAAAGCCTGTAAGAAGAAAATTAGGTATTAATATAACTGTCCTTGAGACTTTTTCAAATTACTTTTTTAAAGTTTTTTTTAACTTTTAAGCATATAAATTTGCACCTCTAAACTTTTTCACACTATCCAAAGTCATTGCAACTGTTCCTGAAATTGACAATAATGCAAAGTTGAAAGTTAAAATAATTGGACAAATAATTAAGAGAATTAAAGAACAAAACTTGCCTTTCAAAAAATGTCCAGGATAGTAAACTAAATGACCACTTTCATTTGGTTCTAGCTGCAAGTTGATTTTTGTCATTTTGTTTTATTTAATTTTAAGTTATTTTATTCTTATAAGATAAAAATTATTGCAACTGCTTAGATCCTATGTCCGTAAAAGACTGATTTTTTCCAATGTTTTAATGCTCTACTTCCAATGTTTTGATTGCCCAAGCTATATATTTTGTTTTACAATAATGTTTTATTTACTGTTGATGCTGAGTATAGACCGGTTGATAATGCTAAAACGACAGAATCTAGCCAATCAGTACCTGGAATCATTGCTGCAAATTTTGTTTACATAAGATGTTATCTTATCAACATGGTTACAATGAAGTAATTCTATGATTTCACTTTTAGTGATATTTATTGAATGTTAAAAATTGAGTACAAGTATATGAATATAATGTGAACATAAAAGTATAAATAAGCACTGAATTAATAAAGGCACATGTAAGATCTAATAATAATATCATGAATAAATGCATAAATATGTAAATGATATAATGCACTTAGAGATTATTTTTCTCAGCTATTGGAGCTGAAGGCGTTGAAACATTCCATCCGAGATTCCCAGATGTTGATTGTTGTATCATTGCTGAATTATCAGGCATCGGCATTTTTATAGCTTCATCAAAGCTTGGAGCTACAAAACAAATGTTTGAAAACATTAAACTATACATTTAATCAGAATAAGAAGTTTCACTTACGTAAATCATTTTTAAATTGTTCCTCAACAGGTGCCGATGGTTGATATTGAGCAAGTGGTTGCACAGGTTGAATATAAACATTCGCACCTGGTGTAATTGCATATTGATTGTCACCTCTTATAGGCTCAGAACCAATTGTTATTGGCAATCTCAATTCTGGATTCGAGTGACATCCATCAACTTGTGCTTCTATTTCGATGTAATATTCAATTCTGATAGTTCTACAGAATCGTCCATTTGAAGTCATCATGACATGTGGAATATCCAAAGTTTGCTCCAACGACAAAGATTCTCCAGCTTTAGCTCCTCTAGTACTGAGTTCAACCATTTTCTCAGTATCTGATCTGGTTTTTTCATGTGGTGTTGTACTGGTATAGCTTATCATTCGCTTCAATTTAATTCTTGTCATCAGAACATCGACATCGCTCTTGTTGGAATAGTCAATTTTAATGGGAACATGTTGCCCCTTTGCAAATCCAGAATATGGAATTGTGGCTTGAATTAACAATGGTTCAGATTGACAAAACAAGCAACAAAATGTTTTTACTTCTTCAACTTTTTGTGCTATTCGTAATTCTTGATAGAGATTCAAATCATCATGTCTGACAATTGTAATTGGAGTTTTAACTTCCTTATCAAAGCGCCATGGAATATCTAAAACAGCTTCGACATAATATTTAATTTCACCATGAACTCCATCGAATGTATAAGGCAATTGGTCAGGAAGTTGACATGCAAAATTGTATTTATGGCTTCCTGGTTGAACATCAAAAGATGGTCCACTGTTTTGTCCAAAAAGATAAGTTTTAGAATTTAAGTAGATTTCTTTGCCTTCAAAATGTACTGTATGATGAGTCGTGCGGCGATTCTTTCCAGTTCCAGTTGTTGAAGTTCTTGTCTCTGTCCAATGTGCTCTTGCTTGGCCAAATACTGTCACATAAAATCCTAAAAACAATAAAAATAAGAAGATTTAATTGCATCTGGTTTAAATCACGAAACAATGAGACTGACGCCAAAAGTTCAAAATATTTTTGACCTTGAAATTCCTCTTTTTGAGAATATTTCATTTAAATAAACATTAATAAAGAAGCATAGGCTTACCTCGAAAACTTTTAGTACTCTCCAAAAATAATTCCACAGTCCCTAAAGTGATAAGGAACAGAATTTGATTATTTAATCACTAAATGATTAACATCAAAAGATTTACCTTTAACAACTTGTCCTGGATAGTAAATTAATCCTCTTTCTGAATTCGGTTCCAAAATTAAGTTTATATGTGTCATATTTAAGGTTTTTAAACAAATGCTATCATTGCAACAGAAATTTAAAAAGTTAATCTGCAGAAGCACACAAGCCACGTACTACGTAATAAATTTTCAGCGACTTTCTATGTTTCGATTCATTCTTTGTATGCTTTGCTTGTTTTTTTTCAGCCGCTTACATTTTCGGGAGTGAATATTATTCTAATGTATTGGACATAAAGAATGTGATGGTTTTGGATGTTTTTTTTGGGAGTTATGTGTGGATTGGTGTGCGTATTGGATGTTTGAATGTTGAAAATGTGCGAATAATTATAGCTTTTGAAGCATTCAAGCATTTGTGACAGTAGAAAAGCTTTTTGGATTGACGTCACTTTAGGCCATTATTATAACATCCCCTTGTCTATTGTTAAATAGCACTTAGGTAAAAATAATTGCAACTAGAATGTGATACATTTAATGCACGATAAATTTATTGCAATTTTGACCTGACATAAAGCTTAAAAGTTGATCAGATTGAATGCTGATAATGGAAATGCGAGACATTAATCGAGATATAAACCTTGGAAATTGCATTAAATCTTATCATTGTGGGTTAAATCTGACGATTTTGATGGTCACTTTTACATGATATTAATTTTTAAAGCCAATTAAGTTGGATGCAATTTTTCAGGTTGCAACAATATCAAGTCGATTGTCTGTGATAAGAAGAAATCGACTTTAGGAATAATCGTTCTATTCTCACTTCCTTCTTTCAGTGAAAGTAACAATATTCCATTCTACAGTTGAACCAAAAGAAGCTTTTAGCTGAAAGACTTAATAGTTAAAATCTGCTTTAAATCATTGGATAAAATATTCAAGCTGGCTCTCAAAACCACCAGCAATTACTTACAATTTTCAAACCAATCATTAATAAAAAAAATTAAGTTTAGTCAATGAATTGTGTCAAAAAGCATGCATATCAACGAAAATCATTTTTCAGAACGTCAATTTAAAAAAGTAATTTTGCATATCGGAAGTTCAAGGTCGCATCAAAAACGTCTCATTGTTCCTCAACATCTTAATTGAATGTGTTGCTATCTTCATATTTGCTTTGTTCGACGCATCATCATCTAAAGCAGATAAATATTCAAACTAGTTCAATGGCAACACGGCCGATGATCAAATTTATTAGAAGTCGAACGCATTGTTAGAGAATCATCATCATTTTGATCGTCAGTGGAAAAATTACACGCTTACAATGAAAATGGAAACGCAAAAAAAAGCATTTTTATTTTGTTGCTGTTGAAGAGCAGCACCTCTCTCAATGAGAGTTCTAAGCATTGCGTTCATTGATTACACGGATGAAAATATTGCAGGTGTGTTAAATTCATTACTGGTCGATTGGGAATGGTTTTGAGACAAAGAGTTTCTTAATGAATATTAAATGATTGTTCTTCAAGATCCAGTAAACATCCAGCAAATATTCTCAAGTCATTTTTCTTAGGATTGAAACTTAACATTCATGCCAAAATAATTCATATGCACAAAACATACAATTTCAATTTCCATCGGACCGTATATACATGTTCAATATAGACCGGAAAACAAATATTTCCGATGATGATGATGATGATTCTCTCGATTCTGAAATCTAAACGATTTTTTATTCGCTTGAAAATATTTTTAATAATAATTTTCGTCTGCATTGATGTTGAGCACAGCAAATATAGGTAGTGAGCTTTCAATCATAGCCGCGATCAGTCGGAAAAATTCTCGAGTGAAATTGAAAGTTCTAATAGAGAGTAGAAATAAAATAAAAGCGAAACGTGCAATAAAAGTGAAAATGAAATTAAAATTGTTGAATATTTTTATGGTTTTAAGTACCGGAAATTTTATAAATTTTTGTTCAGCAGGTGAAAATGGTAGAAAAGTTTTTTTTTCGTCACTTACAATTTCTTTAGAAAGTTTGCAAAAATTTAAACCTTAATATTCTCTTTTTCTGTGATCCCTATAAAAAATAGCTGATCATGTAATTATTGAAACGGAAAATATAAAAAGTGATAGTCGGGAAGGAAGGGCAATAAATGCAGCAGCAACATATCGTCTCGCATGTCCTGGATTAAGTGAATGTGTTGCATTACGTGATTGTCCTCAACTATTAGTTGAAGCGACATCAAGGTGCTATAATAGTGATCGTAGCTTATTTTGTGGAGCAAATCAAAACTATGAACCGTTTATTTGTTGTCCAGTAAGCTACACAACTCCATCATTCCAAGGAGAGAGCACAAACACAAATAGCAACGTCAATTACCAAGACAAACTATCCGGAGCTTGCGGAAAAGCATTAATTCAGGGAAGTTACTATAAAAAGCTTGGAGCATTTCCTTTCGCAGCCCGAGTAGGATTCAAAAGTGAGTTTTAAGTATGGGAATTTCACAGATGATTCATTCCATACATTATAATTCAATTTAATATTCTACGTGCGAATTAGGTCAGAACAATTTGTTAAAAAAAGCTTTGTGATAACACAGAAAAAGCTAATGCCCTACTGGATGAACTGCCTTTTTCATTTGATTTTGTGACTTTTGATTTGACTCAAGTTTATGTTTCTTATTTCTAAAAGACATTTTTAAAAATGAAAATTAATCAGTTTCCAAGAAATCTCCTCAATTTAATAAAACTCATTAGTGCTCCCCTAGTTCCAAAAAGGATGTTCACAACTCATTGAATCTATCCCATCGAACAATAAAAAAAAGTCAAACTGAATAAATTTGTGCATTAGTTCCGGAAAATTACGCTGGAAATTTCCATAAATTAAAGCGCATAGATGTAAACTGTTGCGCGTCTGACTGTTACGTAATTTTGCATGTTTATTTCTGTAGCAATGATGATACACTTTTTATCATCGATTATTGCAAACAGATAATTGACGAAATTTTTTTTGTAGTACATTCAGAAAATTGAGCTCATTGATGTATCACAAAGTTTTAATCTTTTGCCTGGTTCACATACTGATTATAGTTGGAATGACATTGTAGGCTCATTATTGAATCAATTTGCGCAATTATCCAAAAATTTAAAAGCCTCAATAACTTTATTTTTTGACTTTGATTACTTCACAGATTTAAATAACGGAAATTTGGTATATCCCTGTACTGGATCAATTATTTCAAGGTTTGCAACAGTATTTTTAAGTCTGAAGCATCTAGCTTTTACTACAATTTATCTTATCAAATTTGACCATTATTTTTATTGATTTTCACCCATTTTCACATCTAGACGAGTGATTCTCACAGCTGCACATTGTGCACTTGCTAAAGCTGATGGACATAGATTATCATCTGTAAGAATTGGTGAATTTGATTATAGCAAAGATCCTGATTGTGCTGAATCAGGATTTTGTGCACCACCTGCAATTAATCATGCTATTTCTCATGTTGTCGTACATCCTGACTATATCAATGGGCAATATCATCATGACATTGCTCTGTTGATACTAAGAACGCCTATTAATTATACCATTTCCGCACAACCGATTTGTTTGCAACGTGATCGTACTGGATTAACAGTTGGAAAGAGAGCAACAGTAATTGTCATTTGCTTTATATGTGGCTATTATTATTATTCATAGATTAATAATATGCTTGTTTTGTTTATTTAACAAAAGGTTATTGGATGGGGCAAAATTTCATTGTCAAATGTTCGATCGTCTGAGATGCAGTACTTAGAGCTTCCATTAGCATCGTGGGATCAATGTTTAAGAGTTTATGGATCGTCTGGTGCTTTAGATTCACAAAAGTCCATTGAAGGTAAGGATTTTCTTCAGCTTCAGATGTGTCTGCTATTTGAAACTGATGATTTATAAACAAACTTTTAGGACAATGGATGTGTGCAGGCGGTGAAGGAAAAGATGTTTGTTCCGGTTTTGGTGGTAGCTCACTGTTTATCACAGAAAATTCAATATCATATCAGATTGGCATAATGAGTTTTGGATCAGAGAATTGTGGTGGATTAAGGATACCGAGCGTTTATACATCAGTTGCACACTTTTATAATTGGATTCAAGACAATGTTCCAGTGGAATGAAGAGTGTCATTAATTTATTAGATTACTTTGAAAGAGACATGTTAAAATTTTTAAAAAACAAGAAATAAACAAATCGACATTAAAATTAGTTAAATATTAGAAGCATTATTATTCTTAGAACTAAAATTTTGATTCCTATTAACAATGAATGTATAAAATATTTAAAATCATTCATCATCATGCTCATTAATGACTGCTAATTGATCAAATTGACTATTGTTGTGTTCAACTGGCAAATCATCTAAATGTATCACTTCCATTTCATTCATTAGAATATCATTATCTTCTTGATGCCTTAAAATCCTTCTAATTCTATGTCTATAATACAGAATAATGGCACCTATGCTAATAACTGTTACCAAACTACTTATAATAGACATAATTAGTCCAATTGAAGATTTGTCATTTGGATCGATGACTTTGTAGTGATGCCAATCTGTAAATGATCCTTTCTGTGCTAGAGATTCTGCTCTTATTCGAAATATGTAATCTCCTGGTAAGAGACCTTTTTCAACATACCTAGAAAAATGAGGATTGGAAAATTTTAAGTTAATCGAACAAGATTAGATCTTCACTTACACAGAAGAATTTCCAATGAAGTGCTGACACGAAAGACATTCAATTTTATGGAATCGTTCATTGACGTCCTTAATTTCAATAGTGTAGCTTATAATTGGACCATTCTTCAATTTTGGTTCCTCGAACTTTATTCTAAAATCAATTCCTTGATATTCCTGTTCCAGTGGATTGAGCTCAATTTGATCATAATGTTCGTCATAAGCAGTTCTCTGGTACAATAACTCATATTCTCCACAATTTTCAGCACAGACATAAAGATGAAAAGCATATGCTGTATATGGCTTCAAATTGGTGACTGTAAATGTTTTGATTTCTTTATTTATTGAACTATATTTTTGGAAATGTGGTTTGTTCTTCATTTCAACTCTATGCTTTTCTGAATCTACTCGTTGAACTTCTTCACCAAATTTAATTAATGACCTAGTAAAATCATCATCACCTACTTCCATATCTTTTACACGATTTTTCTGTTCCTCACAACATATCGCACAGCATGTATTATCATTATCATGACGAAAATCAGCATCTCTTTTAACTATCAAAGGTATACTATATTCTATTGGTTCTAGACAATAATCTCGTCTACTCAGTTCATTGTGTTTAAATGGCACTTCGAAGTAATACAGTAAATATCTATTGATGGCTTCTTCTTCTTTTGCGACTATATTCCATGTTAAAGTAATTGAAGTTGATGTTTTAATAGGAACCGAAAATTCTTCCACCCTTGACGGTATATTCATTAAAGTTTTAAATATTTTCGGTTTGGATATTCCACTGACAGAGCTGTTTGTGTCTGGATTGATGATAAAATCTGACGTATCGATTAGGTAGCGTTGAATAGTGAATACATATGTCGTGAATTGCTTTAGATTTGTCATATTATAAGACATGATTGCATTTGGAAAATCAATCTTATTAGCCTCGATAATTTTATCTTGTTCTAAGATTTTACTTGTCCATCCATAAGATGAACACATGTCTCTTTCATAGAGTACTTTATCCTGAAATTCTTTTACTTCATTTGAGTCAAGAGCCATGTATTGTAAAATATATCCGTAATTTGTATCCTTATTTTCAAGTTGAGTCATATCATGCCAAGCAATTGCGACTGTATCGTAAGTAAGAATCTTATGATAAACCTTAATATTTCCTATTCGGCATGTTGTAAGAATTCCATTATTTGACATGTAATCTTGCATATCTGATGGATTGCTTTGGATTAAAATGTCTTTAAATGCTTCAATTTCACTCTCACATAACATATTATTAGAATTGATTTGAACACTTCCATATCTTAGTTCTAAATTCATGCCGTCTCTAAGACGCCAGTCGAAAATTGATTGAAGATTTTGATTTTCAAATATACGAATTGAGAATGGCATTGACTTGTTACTTTTCAGACCATGCACAAGTCTTAATTTGTTGAGAAAGATCAGGCTCGATATCGGTGTCGATCTGTAAGCACATTAATCATTTTTTTTTGCTGTTTTCTTTTCATAAACAAACTTTTTTCATACCTGTGGATTTTAAGTGCTCCATGAATTTCTTCAATATCACCTAAATAAACTTGCAATTCTGCAGTCAAATTATGAACATCTTCGTTAAAATTTATCTCTAAACTTCCATTGATTATCGTACATCCACTTCCTAATGACTCTAAATGAGCAATTGTTTCTGTAACGTTTAAAATAAATTAAGGAGGTTCTTCCAATTTCAAGTATTTCAACTTACTAATTTCTGGTACATTTGAGCAAATTTTCGGACATTTTTCAAGGCAAGGCACACAAAAATGGTTTATAGGAATCATTTGGTCTTGTACCAATTTTATCATATAGTTTACAGGACAATTTCGGACACAATCTTTGGCATGAATGAATTTATTCAACTTGATACATTCATCACCTGTAATGCATCGCTTTGTTTCAGCATCTAGGAACCTAAAATTAAGCTTTGATTGGCCATAAAAATCATTAAAAAAGAAAAATAATGATTACCTGAATTCTGAGCATTGTTGGACACATTCACCTAATTCTGAAATATCCCGACAAGCAAAGCATCCTTTTGCAGTTTCATTTAAGCATTTTCCCACACATAATGGATGGCACACGATAGTTTTTGATCCATAAATTCTGTTTTCTTGATCAAAACGCTGACACATTTTGTTATTCCAACATAATCCTCGGATGCAAGAGTGACATTGGGTATGTTCATTGTCGCAATCTGATCTAAAAATATTTTCACCAATCAAAACGACATGACCACTCATCATTATACTATCCCAATCAATCTGAAAAAATGAACAAAAAAGAGCAATAAAACAGAATCCAAAGTCAAGAAGTCAATTAATATGAAATGAAGAAAATACTAATAGTAATGAAAGATATGGAAAGGTTCACATTAAATCAATTAGGGGCTCGTCGAAAATGAATATAGCGACAGCGATGCCATGCTTTTGACAATTTTCTGTTTAAATAGAAAATAAACTCAAAATAAAACAATGAGGGGTTACAGAACTTCCTTCTGAACCTCATTTTCCCAAGACCTCATTTTGATATAGATAATGGTATTCTTAACATCCTGGTCACTGAGAAAATCTTAAATAAAATGTGGTTGCTGAACAAAACTATGCTTTTAACGGGTTTTCTACATTTAAATTTTCTTAACGAAAAATTTTGTTGTTTATAAACAAATCGAAATTGAAATTTTTAAAACGACAAATTTTGCACTAAAATCACTTCAACTCGAAACTAAAGTAATTTTAACTACCTTTACAAGCATGAATTTGATGTTTTAAAAGCCTTAAAGTTACTTTAGATTACAAAAAATTATTTTCGAAATCATTCGAATATTTGACAATGTAAGGCGAAAAATTTTAAATATTCATTTACCGTTGAATTTTTATTCTATTTTTTTCGACCGAGCCCTAATTTATAAAGAACATCAAGTGACTGATTTTGATGTGTTACCTGAGGAAGGCACAGCCTAGGATTTTGTCCACCGAACCTAATTGAGCCTCGACTGATTTTCACAAGATTTTTTAAGTTTATCTATAGATAGGAATAAATTATTTTAAATAAGTACATGATCAGTAAGTAATCAATACTGATCGAAGCCATTTTTTCAGTATTACACAGAATCAAAGTAAATCATGTAAAGCTCATCCTTTAAATGGCTTTTTCTATCAAAGAAAAATCTGCTTTGATCTCCGATTATTACCTCTTGAAATCTAGTCTCAGCAATAACGAGTGCATAATTGTGAAATAATCGCATTCCACGTATAATTGTCAAATTTGGGAATAGATTTCCGGGTGAATGAATGTCATCAATATCATAAAATACCATAAAATCTGTAACTTCCCTAAATTGATCAGGACACAAAAAAAAATAAAATTAAATTAAAAGCTTAAGATTATTGAAAAATATATCGCAACTTACCTCAACGGAAAGGTTCGATTAATCATCATCGAACTGTTATAGCTTGGTGGCTCGCCGTATGCTGCAAATACGATGACAACAAACCCAAAAACCACTGTACAGTTATTAAGTAAATCAAACTCATCATATGAAGTTACTTTAATCGACTGACATGGATGTTCTTGTAAGATAAATCGTGTTGATATCACAGGTTTAATGAGCAGCAGACAAAACACTATCAGTAGATTCATTCTTTTTGGTCTATTCTTTTGGACTTATTGTAAACTAAAATGATAATTTTGGAACCAAATTTACTAAAACTACTTCCAACATAATATATTTAACTTAAATATAGCCTCTACTTGGAGAAACGACTAGCTTATTGAACGACAGAGCGTAAAATAAAGAACTAAATGAATTGAAATCAAATTGTGACTTGACGAATGTATGTATGCGTGCCGTTCAATATATTTTTGTGTGCTTAATTACATTAAATTTAAGGAGTGCACATTTTTTGAATGCAATTGATGAGATTTTTTGGTTTAAAGCAGTTTTTAGTATGCAGTAAGTAATTTTAAGTAAATACCTCATCTTCTTCTTATTGCCTCTGATGTACACAAATCACTTGGATATATTCTCAATTAATGACAAACTCACAGATTCAGTTAAAATAATTAAAACTTTACGCTACGTTTTGTCTAGGTTATTTCTGACCTTTCACATTTATTTTTGATTTCTTCTTTCTGATAAGTACTAATTTAATGATGATGATGTTGATTTTGCTGATGACATATATTGATGACTGACTACAGAGTTTACTTAAATCGTTTTTTTTTGTTTGAATTTTTGTCTGCACAATTTTTCAAAAATAACGTGGATTGACAATTTAATGCAAACTTTTTGTTTATTTTTAAGTTAACTAGTTAAAAATGAGTGAAACGATGAACAATTTAAACGGAGATCCTTCACAGCTATCAATAAAGGTAATAGAATTGAAGGAAGTATGAAATCATTGAGTTTAATTAATAAATTTGATTTTACAGCAAAAAGTCGAACTTTTTGAAAAGTCATTGGAAAAATATGAAGAATATAAGCCATTGACTTACTTCAACAATTTTGCTTCTGTTCCTGTGCATCAACATAGGCGTGATGCATCAACTGACAATAATGTCTCGAATGCTACAAACACAACATCCAATAATACGTCAACGCCTTTTTCTACTGGAACTAATTTTCTTGCAAAAACCAAAACATCTGAAAAGAAGCATGTAGCCAGTCCATATCTACAAAATCACATTCAATACACAAAATCATTCCCAAATAAGTTATCTGGAAACATTAATCAGATGATTAATAATCAGAAGAGTGCAGCATCGTATTATAATTCATTGGAATCGAAGGTTCAAGATTCATCTGTTAATATGAAGGAATTCCATGATACGATAAAAGATCTTGATACGTTCTTATCAAATGAATTAAATGAGATTGAAATACAAAAGAGAATTGGAATGAATAGTAAGGAAAAGAAGACTTTTGTACGTGCTAATAGTCAAGATGTTGATAGAAGTTATGGAGACAAAATTTTGCAGACACTTCATGGCTTAAAAGAAGAAATTAATTCCATTAAGGAAAATCAAAGAGACTTTGAGGACAAAATTCGACGACAGGAAGACTATCAGTACATGAAAATTGCAGCACGTCTTAATAAAGATCAAGAGAAGTTTGCAGCACGTTTAGATTATGAACAAGAAGAGAAGCTGGTTGCTGCTGCACGCTTAAAGCAAGAACAGGAAGAGAAGAAACTCGCTGCTGCACGTATAAAGCAAATACAAGAAGAAAAGATTGCAGCATATATGATGGAAGAAGAAAGGATGAGAGCAGCACGCGCCAATCAAGAAAAGGAAACGAATCAGCGCATTAATAAAACATTATCAAATAATAATGATGCTTTTCTTGCTAATCATTCGTCAAAAGATACATTGCAGCAGAAAGCAGGTTCAATTGAAAGTGGCATTTCTGGAATTGATAAATATTCAAGTTCCAAGAAAGATTTTGACTCGCCGATTTTAGCATCGTCTGGATATTCTCGCGAAGAACGAATCCGCAAACTGGAAGCTGAAATATATAAAGAAGAAACGTTAATGATGAAAATTAACCGTGTGCTTGAGAATCTCAAAAATGTTGATGATCGAAATCTCCTCGACGTAATTAACATTGAACGTCATTATTTAGTTGCAAGCACACGATTCCAATCTGCTTTGTCTGAAGTTCGTAAATTGAATGAGAATATTGAACTACCACACATGCCACCTTATAATCGTAAAGGAAAATTAATAGTTCGTGATATTATGTTGGAAGTAAAAGCTTCATATTTTCAACGTCCATTGCCAATCAAAAATGAATATCTATTGATCCTAATGAAGTATGAAGATAAGGTTTTAGCATCAAAACCAATGCGCATAATTGATGATGTTCGTATCATTAAGTTTTCTGAGAAATTCAGTATTCCTGAAATTTACATGGATTTTGATATGCGTCTTGAGATTTATGGAACTACATTTTGGCGTAAGAATACAACAGTTCGCGAGACAATGCTCAAAAAATATGGATTCATTACATTCTCATTAGCTGACACTGGGACTAAATCCAAGCGATTTCAAATGATTGAAGTGCTGCAAAGCGACAATGTACCAATCCGTAATAAAGTAACGATGAAAATTTCCCAAAAAATTACGGCTGGTGTTCAGTATAAAGGGAATTTGTACGTGAAGTTACGAGATATTTGGCATGAAGCCATTGCTCACTTGAATGGACATCTATTGGAAATATCATTTAAGAAAATTCATAATTCCGGTGTTACTCGATCACAAGAAGTCATGCTACTTGATTTATACAATGTCGATAGCGATGCTGTCATTCCAGTCGATGTTCGTCGCATTTCTGACAAGCCGTACACATTCTTGCTCAAATTTAATCATTATATTGACGTTGCTAATTTCTAGTAAGTCGCTAGCTCCCTTTTTAATCCGAGGATTTATTTTAATCTGTGGATTTATTTGTAATATTTTTTTCTCTTAATATTTCAGTTTGATGGTCGCAGCTGAATCTTCAGAGACCTTTTCTGAATGGATTACTGCACTTAATAAGGTTTTGATTCTCATCAAGTAAGAACGATAATTATGAAAAAATTACAATTTGTTTATTTTGTTTTTCATCACATATTTTGCTATAGAAAGCATTCATTTTTTGTTATTATTAATTATGTATATCTCATGTCATAAGTACTGAATAAAAAAAACGAGCATGTTTTTTTTGGCTAAACACAAAATTTTATTTTATATTATTAACCCTTAATTACAGCAATAGGACGAAGTTTAACACATTTCTTGCTTATTCCAGCTGAATGGCATGTGTCAACGACATCTGTGACATTTTTGTAAGACTCTGGAGCTTCTTCCATAACAAGTTTGGGTGATGCAACTCGAATTGCAATATTTTTAGTCTTCATCTGCTCTAAAATGTCCAAGTAGTCAATATTTCGACGAGATTTAGCTCTAGAAAGTGCTCTGCCTGCTCCATGACATGTTGAGCCAAAAGTTTCTGTTAATCCTTTCTCAGTTCCTGTTAAAATATAACTGCAAGTTCCCATAGTTCCACCAACAAGAACTGGCTGTCCAGTAAGTTGATAATCGACAGGAATTGAAGGATGATGAGGTGGAAATGCTCGTGTTGAGCCTTTTCTATGAACTAATAATTTCATTTCTTTTCCATCAACAACATGATTCTCAATTTTAGCAATATTGTGACTAACATCATAAATAACGTGCATGTCTAAATCGTCTGGTGTTGTATTAAATTGCTTAGCAAATGCTTGTCTTGTAAGGAATGTCATGGAACTACGATTAACCCAAGCAAAATTTCCAGCTGCAGCCATAGCTTTTAAATAATTTTGTCCCTCTTCAGAATTAATTCTAGCACAAGCAAGTTGTCGATCATTTGTCTCAATTTTATCTCTTTTCATTGCTTTCTCCATTTCTACGAGAGCATCAGTTGCTACTTGATGTCCAAAACCTCGAGATCCTGAGTGTATCATTACACAAACTTGACCCGTCTCTTCTATTCCCATTTTACTTGCTGCCCATTTATCATAAATCTCATCAACTACTTGAATTTCAGCATAATGATTACCAGCACCTAATGTTCCCAATTGTGGTAATCCACGCTTTTTGGCACGTACACTTACTTTTGATGGATCTGCATTTAACATTCTACCATATTCCTCACAATGCTCTTTATCTTCTGCCCATACATATCCTTCACGTAATGACCAATCCATTCCCATTTCTAAAGCTTCCTCGAGATCTCTAGCATTCATTGGAATAATTCCTTTAGATCCTACACCAACGGGAATGTGATCAAATAGTGACTGAGCAAGCTGTTCTTGAACTGGTCGTACATCTTTTTCAAATAAATTTGTACGAAGTAAACGAACCCCACAGTTAATATCAAATCCTACACCTCCGGGACTTACTATCGATAAGGGATTATTCATGTCAAATGCTGCCTGTAAAAATTGTAATAAAATGTATTACATGCTGTAAGTTTGTTTAAGATTAATCTCACCATATTTCCTATTGCAAATCCATATCCAGAATGGATATCAGGAAGTCCAACTGATTTTCCGACAATTCCAGGAAGAGCAGCAACATTAGCGATTTGTTTCATGCTGCAAAGTTGATGAAATTAGACGTGTAGGAATAAATCAAAATTAAAGCACTCACCCAGGCAAAAAGCCTCCTATCCCATCAGATCTGCATGAATTCCTTAGTTCCTCAAACATCAATGCCTCGAGATTCTTATTGACATAGAAAATTCCTTCAACATTCATATTTTCCTGAAATTAAAAAACGAAAATTGTGAAATCAGTGCCGGTATTAATATTAAGCAATAAAAACCTTACTTGAAAGCCTTTCTTGATCCTCCAACTGTAGTCACTGATTCTTTCAATATATTTAAGCTCATCTTCATATTTCCTAACCACCATTATGCTGAGAATTAATTAAATTGAGTTGCTGGTGATTTTTGTTGACTTTTAATTTCAAATTTATTTCGAGTTTTTAAACCCTGAAAAGCCTTTTTCGAAAATAAACAGAAGAAAATAGTTTATTAAAAATATTAAATTTCTCCTTAATTAAAGCATATTTCTGAGTCGAAATTGATTAATAATGAATTATCTATCGCCTTTAATTCATGTATGTAAGAGGCAGATCTCAACATCGTCTGTATTGAGTGGAAAACGCAATTTTAGGAAATTTCTTTTGTAAGTCACATTTTTAAAATGCAAAAATAACATTAATTAGATTTAATCAACAATATTTTTAGATACAACAAGAGAGGAACGAGAATATTCAAAGCAGAACGACATTTAAGCAATCCAGACATGCCTATTGACAAAAAAGGTGTACGAGATACAGGAAAAATAATTAAGGGTCAATTTATGGAGATTCCAGAAATGAAGCCAGAAATTATTGTTCCGGATTTAACAGGCTGCAAGTTTAAGCCTTATGTCACATATAAAGCAACAGATGTTGTACAGACAGAATTCACATCGCAAGATTTATTTAATGCTATTTATGCTCAGAAAATCATTGATGATTTTAAGAATGAGAAATTGAATGAGGATGGAAGCAGTTTGGAACCGTCAGAACATGAAGAATTGACTCCCGAAGAAGCATGGGCGAAGGCAAGAAAAACTGGATCAGATTTGTTTTAGATTAAATGAAAATTCCTAGAGATTGTATAGAAAACTTAGGATTTAATAAATTTTTAAGCTTAATACTTATTGTTTTAATTGATGTATAGGAATTATAGATTGAATTAAAACTTCAATTACATTTTTAACGACTTGTTCGAGCTGATTCATTTTGGATTGCATCAGAAAAGAATGCTGATTTTTTTGGAAGAACCCAAACAGTATGCAACATAATTGAGAGGAGAGTTTAGTACAGTCTTCTACCGCTAGACGCTCAGTATATTTTCTCTGTATGTTGCAAAACAAGTTATTATTTCATATTTCAATTTTTAAGCATTAAATGTACTATATTTAAGGATAAATGGATTGTAACTAGTAGCAATAAACTTAAGTACACCATTATAATACAAAATGAAGAAGGGATTACTTCAGAGAGCCTCAAAAAATTGGGAAGAGGAAATGAAATTGGGTAATAAATTTTTTCTCTCCTTTAATAATAAACAATGTTGAGTGAGTGAGATGGAAATAGAGATTAATTAATGACATATATATACTTTTTATGATTTTAGCAAATCTTCCGATGGATATAAAGGAAGAGCCGATTATGGAATCAATGGATTTGAGGAAAAGTATCCTTCAACAATCAGAATCCAGTAAGATGAGTACAAGCAGTAGTAAATCTGATAATGAAAATATTCCAGTAACATCAATGAGACATCAACGTAGAGTTCAAAGTATGATATCAGTACGAAAAGATTATTCATATAAGTATACATCAAATAATAAATCTAAAGCAGCAGTCCCAATTACTACATCGCAAGAAAAATCATCATCATCATCATTCAATTGCCTTGACATTTCACAAAAAGTTTCACAATCATCATTTGGTGAACAAAATCAAAATGCTAAGAGAGAATTGGGAAATTCTGCGATACCTGCAAACAGTAATAATAATAATCATAATAATAATAATAATAACAGTAAGCAACATATGCCATCATCACAGAAGGGATTAATTAAACGTAAAGAACAGCCTAGTAAACGTTCAATTAAACCAAATATATCCATACTTGAGCGACATGATTATGACAAAGGGCCATCCAAGGTCATGAAATTAGAGACTCTTGACGTAAAAGCAGATGATTATGAGGATGACGAGACAAACTCATCATGTAGTGCCATTGACGATAATAATATTAAATCAACATTACCATTAAAATTGGAAAATCTCAAAGAATTAACCGTGCCAATAGAACGACTAAATATTGAGGAGGGAAATTACAAGAAAAGCTGTCTAGGAGAAGAAAAAAGTGAACGTGATGAATTGAAGGTCATTGTTGCGCATGAAGAAACTGAAACAACTCCTTTGACAACGACAATTATTAAACAGGAACAGAGTAGTAGTACGGAGGCTGCAGCTCTCCGAACACAAACATTATCGACAGAATCGAAAGATTCTCAAAATATTAATAAAATTAACAATAAAATCAACATAATATTTCAATTAAACGATAATACAAAGAGGAAGAATATAATCTTGCATAGACGTACACCGAAAAAAATGGTTCAAAAGATTACGATAAAGGAAGCAAATAATAACAGCACAAAAAGTCAGTCGGATGAAGCTACTTTAGTACCTGATAAAATATTGTGTACAATTCAAACTCAAACCGAGGAGGAAGTGCTGCAAAAGAGATTTAGTATGAATATGTCAATGACAAATCCGCTTACAGATGAAGTCACGGAATATTTGTTCTTTGAAAATGATATATTGATAAGTCTCCAATGTAATACAATAAGTTTCTTTGAATATCATCGACTTAACTCATTGCTTAAAAAGGGCGAACCTGACTTTAGGCTCATTGATAGAATTAATCGACGACTTCATGATATTCAAGTTGATTCTGACAATAAATATCAACGGCTGTGCTACAATGACTCTAACTCACTGCCAATTTATCTCGAGATGAGGGCAAAACAGAAAGATCTCGATGACCCTGAAATGTGTCCAATTGCATTTCTGTACTGCAACATTTACTACATTGATCAAAAACGGACAAAATTCTCATCTGTTCATTTAGATACTGTCAAAAGTATTGTGCATGATATTAAATATACGACTGTTCCTCACAGCAGCTACTTTATTATGTCGTGGCATGAAAAGTGCACCGACACAAAAAGCAACATCACTGGCATTGTGAAATATAAATTGACACCGAATTTAGACCTCGCCAAGTTGGCAAGCATCCGACAATTTCCAAAACTGAGTTATCAAATTAAACAAATGTACTGTGGAAAAGGTAAGTGTGCTGTTTTATTTTGTTTCATTATCTCGTTTCTACGAATCATGTGCGACTCAGATTGACTCATTTGCTTATCAAAACACGTGAATAATCAGTTTGGCAATATATTTAACGATCTTTTGCGATTTAAAATTCAACGGTTATTTTAAATTTAAAAAAAATTGATTCGAAGTTTCGTTAAAAAATTCGAATTTTGAAATTTTGTTAAAATTTGAACTTTAAATATGGTAAAATCTGTGTGAAAATATGCACCTTAGTCATCGACACAGCACATCGACTCCGCAATGTTTTATTTTTTTTCATTTCCTTCTGTCTCGCGCATATCGAAGAACACATTCTCCTACAGACTTGTTTACATATATTTTTATAATTCACAATTAACATGTCATTTACTATTTTTAGATTCGCAACTTATAACTCTAGGAGATACTCAGGTCTCAATCTTCAATTATGATCATGGTGATTTACTGATTTCATGGGATTTAATGAAAAACTATGGCCTCAATTTAGCAACAATAACTTTTGAAGATGTAATAATATTAATGCTACTCAATTGACTTGAAAATTAATTAATTCCATTCTATTTTTAGAACTATTTCTTCATGGTTTATCTGACTGATGGAGACGATTTAAGTCCGAGAAAATTAATAGTAATTGGTATTCATAGACATGATAGTAATAGTCTGAAAGTCATACAAACATTGCCAGTTAAAATTGGACGTAATGAGAAGCTTGTAAGTCGCGCTGTCACATCAACTAATCATATGATTGCATCGTTTTCAAGCGGAAGCGCATTAATGATGTATCTTGAGAACTTTACAGACGTTCACTTAAAACGCTCATCTAGCGAGTCTACACTTATTGCTCTCAATGATCATATGCTAACGACATCAGCTGATAACATGAGTAATGTAGGTTTATGCCATTTTACCGAATTTTTCCTTAATAATTAAAAAAGGGCAGTGGCAGTTCTCGTGAAAGAAAGGAGAGAAAATTATTATTCACAATTTTTTATTCATTTCATTATTCATCATTTCAAAAACAACATTGTAAATTTCCTTTTTTTTGGATCATTCATAAATGACGTTCAAATTGGGATATCAAGACTCCCTCCTTACAAAAGTTTAATAAGATTTTAACAAAATATTCATAAACCCCACTTCCTCCCAGTACTAGAACGTCATTAATGAATAAATCCTTGTGCAAAATATGAAAAAAATAATTGAAAATGAGATTTTTTATTAAACGAATAAATCAATTAAGGACATGAAAAATTAATTGGAAAGCGTTTTGTGCATGATTTTCAGCTCAATTTCATTGGCATTCGGATTTAAATCCTTGGGTTAACTTAAATCTACCAGATTAAAAAATTAAATCTCGAGGGGATTAAAAACAAATCTTGAGATTAAAAAAAGGACTAAAATAAATCCAAGGATTAATACATTTAGTGACCAAGAAAATGTGCCTACCTTAGAGATTCTGCAAGAAGATTTTATTCCACATCCTTTTTGGCTTGCCATTGTAAGTAATCGCTTCGAGTTGCTGCTTCATATTCCTGAACAAGAGAATCAACAACATCACGAGATTCATCAAGTTCCGATAAATCATCTTTAAACATTTCTTCTTTGCGGAACTGATCAAGGAAAGCTCCTCGTTTGCGAAGCTTATCATATTGACTTAATGCTCTTTCGAATAATGAGCAAATACTTGTGTGGTTTGCAAGCATCAGACCAGATACACGATGACTGCTTTGAACGTATGGAGAGGATCTAGATAAAGCAACTTGAATGCTCGCTGGACCCCAAGGAATAAATTGTGCCAATTTTCTTTCACGAATGCGTTGAAGTGATTTATGGACTTGAGTTGGATCAACTTCACCTTGAATTATGTTGAGTATTGAGATATAGCAGTGATGATTTGACTTATCTGGTCCAGTTGATACCATCATGTTCTTTGGCTGTAAAAGTCGTCTCATAACATCCAAAACTGTCGTTTTTCGGATATTGACAGTATCAGTGTCAGTTGTTAATGGAGTATATCCAGTCATTAAGAAATGAAGCTGTGGTGTTGGAATAAGCGGTGCTGTGAGTCCAATTAAGTTATTATTCATGTATGATGGATATCTTAATGTTGTTGTGCTTACTGACATGATTGTACTGACGAGAGTATTAATTTGAGTAAATGATGGATTTTCGAGATGTAAACGATCAGTAGCAATACGATTTAATGCTGTGTTATCAAGTACTACAACACAATCAGCACAGCTTGTAAGTCTTCTTAACGTTAATAAGGAATTATAAGGTTGAACTACAACATCACTAATTTCATCTTGATTTGGAAAGACACTATATGTCTGTACTAATTTCTTTGGGAAATGATCTGATAAACGTTCCATGATGTAACTTCCCATACCACTTCCAGTTCCTCCAGCAATTGAATGACAAAGAACAAATCCTTCTAAACTATCACTTCCATCAGCTTCTCTGTCAATTATATCAAAGATTTCTTCTTGCAACTTCTCTCCTTGACTGAATCCACTTGCCCAATTATTTCCAGCACCTCCTCCATCCTTTGACAAATAAATGTTTTCTGGATTATACAACTAAAAGTATTAAAATTCCAAGAGTAAGTAATATACTTGATTTATTTTAGATTAATTAAAGTACTTTTGCATATTGTGACTGCATTATTGTATGAATAACTCGAGGCTCCAAATCTAGAAGGACTGCTCTTGGAATGTAATGATCATCGTCAGCCTTTAATTAAATTGATTTTAACAAAAGATCCAGTAAATTATTTATCGAATATACCTGATAAAAGAAGACATCCTTTCTGTCAGGCCCATCTGTAGCAAAGTCCTCAAGAACACCCGATGGAGATATGCCATGTTCAAGACATAATCGCTTCCAAAATTCAAAACCAACTATCGGAAAGCAATAAAATTTATAATTTAAAACGACATAAAGGAATTAAAGTGCATTAAAACTTACTCTGATTACCACATTGGCCTAATTGTAGTGTTATCATTTCACTGGGCATCTTTGCTTTTAATTAACTTAACAAGATCAATATATTAACGCTTAATTTAATTAAAAAACTTAATAAAGCTTTTTCTTTATTTTTAGTGTATTTTTAAACTTGTTTTTGCATAATACCCGGAATAACAACACATTATTACAAAACACAAGTAAGGGAATAAATTCAAATTTAATTTTTCAAGAGACGTTAATTTTTGATCCTTTGATTGCACAAGACTAGACTCATCCAAAACCATCTTTTTTGATCTTCAAAGAACTGACCTATTTTATTTTTCACTGCCTTTATTCATTTAATATCTCATCGTTATACTAAATATGTCTACTTAATACTCGATAAATTTTCACTATCACCTTATATTCTATTTTTGCACCATTTGGATTTCCATGAATGCATGCTGAAAGTCAAATTTTGAAAATACTACCTATGAACAAATTTTATTGCTGCTAAAAAACTTGGCATTTCCAATGTCGTGGCATTCATGAAAATATTCAATTTTGAAGAAAAAAAAAATTGTCTATAAATAGTCCAAATTGGATATAGCACTTGAAACAGTAATAAATCAACAATCAATTCATAAATTCACATTCATCTTGCTGTTCTTTATGACTACTTAATTTTTGCACTGATTATTTTTAAATGAAGTGAAATGAAAAAGGAAAGGAAATGAGAAAGAAAAATTGGTTCCAACAACTATCATGAATCGATAAGAATCAACATTGAATTGATAGGTATGTCATGTCAGTGGATAAGTGAAAAAATCATTGCATGTTGTAAATCACTTTTCCCTCCGTTTTTCATTCCTTATCCTTATCTGTTCGTCTTACAATGAATTGGTTTCGGCTTTATGAATCACAAACATGAAATACGAATTCAGTTGCTCTACATTTCTTCTGTTTCAGTCAGTCTGATTTTATCCATCTACTTCTACGTATCTATGATAGCTACGCTTCTAAACTTTATACTTTTTATGTAGAATTTTGAATGATATGATGAGTCCAATGCGAGAATTTTGATCAACAATGAGAAATGGAAGTGATGTGATAACAAATTACTGTGCACCTGTAATAACTGAAACATTTAAAGATTTTCTTAATTGTTTAAGTTGTTTCAATAATTTGCTTTTTTTACCATCGCCAGCGATTATACCCTCAGCAAGTGAATAAATCTCTTTGACAGTCTCAGCACTTTTAAATCGAGCAATTTGTGGATCTTCATCCTTATTTGCTGTCTTTTTCTTCATTTCTTCTGCTGACATTGGCAATTTTAATTTCCCAATCATTGCAACTTCATCTTTCTTCTCATGCTTTCCATCTATTTCATCCTGTCGATCCTCAAATGATGACAAATCTGATGTCAATTGTCCTTTTAATTTCCTGTCATATAAAACATTAAGGAACAGTCTTTAATAACCTATTCTATTCATCACTAGTCTCACCTTTCTTCAGCAACAGTCAATAGATGTTTTTCTTGTGTCAATCGTTCCTGCTCATTTATTTTTCTAGTCCGTAAACTTTCTCTTTCACTTAATAAAAAGTTTTTCAAGTCAATTTCACACTCAGTAAACTTCCTGCTTCTAATTCTTGTCATATCCATAATGTCAGCCTTTTCAGGATCAAAGATATAAAGCGTATGTTCTTCAAGCATTTTTTCTCGTTCCTTTTTCGTTTCAATCTCGTTGACTCTCTCTTCTTCAGCCATTCTCAGTCTATCTCGTTCCCATCGTTTGCCTTGCTTTACAAGTTCCGATGCATTCTTTTGACGAACTGTCATCAATTTCTCTCGTTTACTCATCAATAGAGCATTCGTCTTACTATTAACCATGACAATTGGATGTTCACCAATCTTTTTTGGAATCTTTTCACCTCCTGCATTTCCCATTCGACGAGCTCGTTCCAGTTCCGTCATCTTACGAAAATTAAAATTTTTTAATGACGATTCATTGGATTTAATTGACATTATTTATTATTTTTGTTTTTGGATATGAAAAGCAAATAAGGATGAAATATGAGGAATGAACTTTGCTGTTCTTCGTTGTCGATGAAGTTAGTAAATGTTGTGAGTCATGACGAAAGGGTTTTTAGAATTGAGTTGAAAAGAAGTGAATAATGATGTAGGAAAAATTGAACGACATCAATCAAAAAAGTTATTGCTTGACATTCATTGAGCATTTATGTAAAATGTCTTCGTGTTTCATTTGTTCTTCTTTCTTCTTATCAATAGAAATATAAAAACAAGTTGAACGTAACTGATTCACGTGCTCTAATGTAAAATGAAGGAGGAATATTGGATATGGATATGCTGATACCAGGCAGTTGACGACAATAAAGTACTCAAATAAGTCAATATGTGCTCATTTCATCGAAAATATTTACCAATACAATACTTTGTGACGTGAACAGGATCCTCTCAAGGTCTCTTATGTCTTCTGGTGGATTCAATAACTTTTGTAGTTGTTTCTCCACTTCATCAGCCTGATTTTCATCGTCAATGATTTTATGTTCAATGAATTGATGATGATATTGGCATGAAAAGGTTAAAGGAATCGAAAGAAAAAACAAAAACTGGAAAATCAATCTTACCTCACGTTTGGAGATCCGCTTCAATAAAGTGTCATGATAATCCTCTTGGATTCGCTTCTGAAGATCTAGCATATACTTCCTATCCGTTAATCGAACAATACTAAAATGGAATGGAGAATGAGTCCAATCAGTTCAACGAGTCGACACCAACTAAATTGCAGCAAGGCACGAAACAAATGTCGAAATTTCTCACCTGCTCCCCATCAATCGCTCTAATTTCTGAGCAACCCTCGGTAGGTTGAAGCTAGTGTGTGAGAAAGAAATGGAAGAAGAATTAAAGACTTTAAAATTGTTTTCAACTGCTGCTCTACATTCTCTCAGCTCATACTACACCCATGAGCTCTTCTTCCTGCTTTAAAATTGCCCGTGAAATCACGAAAAGCTTTTGTTTTTGTTTTTTTGTTTCGATTGCTGCTTATACATCCACAGAAAATCAATTCTGACTCAATACATTTCTCTTGTCTGTGTTTTTATTTATTTATTCTCATTTCATTTCCATTCGTTGTCTTTTTGGGGTTGATAGAGAAATATTTCATGTGAAATACATTTGGCTTTGTTTTATGTGAAGTCAGTGCATTTGACATAGATATTTATGTATTTATATACTCCTTTTTTTGGAAATTCTAATAGCCTAATGCTTGTTCCTAACTCGTTCTTTATTGAACCATTCTATTCACTTTCATTACTGTGGACTAAAGAGCTATTGACTTACTCATAAACAACAGACTCCTCAAACCACCACATTTTTGGCTTCTTCTTTCCCATTTTCTTGTTCTTGACTCTTGAGAAATGTGAGGATATTGAACTTGACAAAAAGTTTCTTCTATCATAAATAAAGCAACAAGCACGAACAATTTGAACCTTTCTTTCACAAAAGCTTTTTTATGCGTGAATAAGCTCACTATTATTTACAATTTAACATACCTGCAGTCAACAAGAGGTCCAAAACTCATTGAAATGACATTCTTCTTTGGTTTTTTAGATTTCATCCTTCTTGCGAAAATTCTTCTTGGTACATAAAGCTTCTTATCATCTTTAGATCCTTCCAATGTGCATTTTCTACCAAGTTTTGGTTTTGATTTTTCCTCGTCACTTACTTCCTTCTTTTTTCTTGCCATCTTTGGTGTTAATTTAGGTTTTGCACTTCCTTCTTTAGACTTTCTGAAATTAGAGTAATTGACACCAAGAAAGTTCTAATTAAGCCATAAATTTCAATTCCATTCCTCATAAAAAGCACTTCACACAATTTCTGCTCTTTTCTAATACTGCACGCGATGCTTTTTCCTTCATTGAATAGCAACAATCGGATTATTTTTTTTTATACACAGCACAAGTTGTATAAAGTTTCAAGTTGTTCCTGTTTATGAGCAATTGAAAGTTTTGTTTTTTTTTTTGCATGAAAATTCTTTCATTACACTTGATTGTCATGCATGACACATTAACAGCATACCTTTGTTGATTTTTTGATGATTTTGTTACTTCATCAAGTTCTGAAATTTCCTGCAACCAAGTTCCAACACGTTCTATTTCCTTTTTTCCTGCTTCTTTTGATACTGGATTCTTTTTGTCAACTAATGAATCTAAATTATTCCAAAACTCTCCTTCGTTCATTTCATTTCCTTACTACATTCGTAGATGCTGGTCTGAAACACTCGAAAGCTTTCAACAAAATGAGCATGAAATTTGCACTTGCACAAAAGAATCATAAATAGCAGCATGAACACGTGCCAAATAATAGTTTTGAGCCAATTTTACAATCAACAAATTTCTTGAATAAATTGCATTTCAACTTGAGTATATCCACCTACATATTTGTTGCTAGTGCCATTTTGAAACTTTTCAACATAACTCACATGTTTATGCATGTTAACATACTTAAATACATCAAGTTTGATGCTCTTGACATGAAACCCAGTCCTCATTTTGACTCTGTACATTTTATTTATAATCCTCAATAATTTCAGTCACAACATTCGATTTTGGATATAAAAAACAAATTGAAATTGCGAAATGGAAGTGAAAAAATAATTTTTAAAGGCACAGAAGAAAATCAATAAGTCAAAATTGAGTTCATGACTTTTTCTATTAATCAATCTGCAATTTTGTTGCTCATCAAATTTATGTTGTTCATGAAAAATGCAATTTTAGGTGTCAAAGGCTTTCCCAAGCTAGTTTTATTAAAATTTTAAGACCTTAATGAATAGAATAAGGAACGATTCCGTGATAAAAGTAATCAAAAGCTCGTTAATAATTTTCTTTCAATGGTCTTGCATTCATGCCTGAAATGTTCAAAGTAGAATATTGCCTTTTATCACGACTTTTCCTTACTGTCATTACTTTTTATGACTCCACTTTTTAATTCATAAATTGGATCACTTTTGTCACTTCTTGTCATTTTGCTTTCAAGTTCTTTTCGACATTTCTCTTTCCAATTTTTACTTCGACAAATTGGTGCTAAAAGTCTTTCGTCAAATGGCTCACAATTTCCAGTGACATAACTTACAGGAATCGCCACTAAAAAAAGAACAATTGTACCTAACAGGATATAATACATAAAACTTAATTTAAAAATGATTGGAATATTTTCAGCTGAAAGCTTGTCATCTACATTAGAAGAAAGTATTGTATTGTTATAAGGATAATCACAGCCACTTGTATTTATTGGCAAAGGAACTGGCTTAGGAAGTGCTAAAGATCCCATTATAATGATTGTCAATATCACAATTGATGAAATTGCTCCAGTTATCACACCTTTAGTATTTATTGTCTTTGAGAACATTCCAGCTGTAAATAATCCAAATAATGCGCCTGCTGAAAGTCCATTGATAGTGAAACAGACACGAAATATTTGTCCCATATGTTCGACAACAAAAACCAGACCGAGTGAAATAATTCCAATTATTAAGACCAATATTTTCATTATGTCACTTGCTCGCTTCTCAGACAAATTTGGGTATTTATGTCTAATAAAATCCTCATAAAGTGCTCCCGCTATTGTATTCAAATTTGATGACATTGACGACAATGAAGCTGAGAAAACTCCAGCTATAAATATTCCTGGCAATCCGGGTATTTTAGATGCAACTTCCATTACAAAAAGTGGAAGAATTTGATCAATTTTTTCAATTTTCTGGGAGATTATTGGATCACATGAAGCATATTTAGCATAAATTGTTATGCCAACCATCACAGAAGTAATTTTAATTAAGCTATATCCAATCACAAACACATAGACTGACTTTTTTGCTACATGAATATTTGGAACTGAGAGAAATCTTTGAACACAGCACTGACTGACACCTAATTTTGCTGTCCATCCAAAAGATAATCCAATTATGTAAGTCCAAAATGAAGTCCGTACAAATGGAGAAGGATTCATACTGTAAAAGTGTTCTTCATGTCTGATTAATTCATTAAATAATTATAAACTCGACTTACTTGAAAAGATCCAGTCGACCATTTTCGTATGCAGTTCTCAGCACTTCATTAAACCCTCCCATGTAGTTTAATCCCAAAAACATCACACAAACAATCCCTCCGATCATCATAATAAGCTGCAAAGTGTCAGTCCATAAAACGGCCTTGAGAATCAATTATAATTATATAAGTAGGAAGATTTAATTTAAAAATACTGCTGATTTACTTTTAATCCCCCAAAAGTTGTGTAGAAAATGCAAATAATGCTTGTGAATGTTGTAATTAAATGGAGATTGATACCTGATACTTGCGATAATGCTAATGCCGGTACATATCTGTAAATCAATCGGTAATGGAAATTATTAACTGTAATTTACAGCTTTCAATCTGTTCATACACTACTACAGGTATGAAGGTGATCCCAGTGAGAGCAAAAATCAAGCTTGCCACTAAACGCACATTTCTGTTGAATCTAAGTTCTAAATATTGAAATGCAGATGTAACTTGAAGACCATAGAAGACTGGCAGGAACACATGAATGAGAGCAAAACCTGTCTGAAATATTTTTTAAGCTATGATTGTAAGGAACTATAAAGTTTATCTCACCAAAATAGCAGAAGCAATGCTCCAAATATACTCAGATCCAAAATGATAGATTTCAGCAGGAAGAGCAAGTAAGGTTGATGCAGAAATATGACTTGCAATTAGTGAAGCTGCGACAGGAAAGAATCCCATTTTCTTCGATCCAAGTAGATATTCAGAAGTGTTGTTCTGCTTCTTTTTGGATATAAAACCAAAATAAACTCCAATCAGTGCAGATAGAAGAAGCATTACAACAAAAACTCCATAATCTATAGCTGTAAAATAATTCAACGACTTTTCAGTAGACACGTCCATTACGATTGAAGAGCAGCCAAGGAACTGATTATAAAAAATAAATCAAAACTGCCTTTTGAAAGAAATTGTCAATTATTATTTTTATTTATGCACACATATTTATTTAAAAAGATACCTATCAAGAGAAATGTAAGTGGATTCACAATGAACATTAATTTATAGCACGTTCATATCACAATAGTCTATCAAAGATTTTCTTTTTGAAATTCATTTATAAATGGGTGACAAAAGCGCATTGAATGACGAGCTAGTCACTAGTGAAAGCTTCACAAAAAAGCATGATGGTACGTCGTTAAAAAGCAGGTACCGTACCCAATAAAATTTATTTGAAGGTGCTACTCGGGCGAATCACATATTAAGAATTAGATTCAAATAGACAAAAAAGCAGCAATTATTATTAAGGCATTATAAATATATGCTAAACATTCAGCAAGGTGTGAGTAATTCAATAGAGAATAGAATAGCATCTGAAAATTATGATAATAATGCACTTAAACATTCATTACTGCTATCAATTCAATTTATCTCAAACACTACACATGCACTAATTTGTGAAAAAAAAATTACATGTATGTGCTAATTAAATTTCCTTTATTTACTTAATTAGTGACATGATTTTGACAACAACAATAAATGACTTTAGAAGCTGCTTATGACAAATTTTCTTTGATAAAGTCATTCAAATAGTAAGTAACACGTGTGAAGACACTTGGATGAACACCACTGCAACTTCCTTCTCCTTTGCTCGTTAAACCAACTTGAATGATTTCATCATTATTTTTAATGACTAATGGACCACCAGAATCTCCTGAACATGTACGACGTTCTCCTTCTCCTGACATACAAATGTTTCCATCGTCAATCCTGATTTGCTTTGAGCATTGTTTATTGGTAATAATTGGATTTTCAACTGCACGAAGTGGTCCAACATGATCATGTTCATCATCTGTAAGTTAAGGATTCAGCATTAAAGACAATCAAGATTGTGGCAAGTCTCTTACCAATTTCTCCCCATCCACTTATTTTGGCTGTTTCACCAACCAAATCTTTATCCTCAAGTCCATAAGGCAGTTTAATCAAAGCAACAAATTCATTGAGTTCAAATGGCGTTGGAAGTTTAACGATACCAACATCATATCCTTTGCCAGGTTCCCATAAAGGATGTGGCAACAAACCACTTGGTTCGACTCTTTGAGTCTGACGAGTTTTCTCGTTACGATCGTGTAAGAAATGAGCACCAACAAAAACTTCAACATAGTCTCTGTCTTTCAAGCAGTGAGCTTGAGATGGAATAACAAAATTTATGATTTTGCTAATGAGTAATCAATGAGCTACTTTACCTGCTGTAAGAACACGATCAGCTTTAATAAGTGATCCTCCACATTTGCTGGTCTTTCCATCACGATGAACTAATAGAAGAACTTGATATGGAATGCTATTTGGCTTTACAACTTCACCATTATGAATAGCATAAGTGTAAGATGCTAAGGCACAGAATGCTAATGAAATAATAAATTTCATTATTACAATTGAAAGCTCTAATGCAACTGATTGATTCACAGCATCTTGCTTAGATTTTATATTGAATTTTTCTTTTGAGGAACAATCATTTCAATAATTTAGTTCCCATCATTTACAAATTCATCGAATTAATTGTAAATTTTTAAATCAACGCATAAAATTTTTATCAAAATAAAGCAACGCACGTGTAGCTTTTCCCTGAAGGTTGAGTGAGTTTATGTAAATTACAGGAAAGTTTCTAAATAGATTTTGGATATTAACTTATCTCATTTGGAAAAAAAAGGTGTTGCCATAAATGAGGTCCATGAAAAACTGACAATTTAAGACTTCTTTAGATTTGCAACTATATAAGGAAGATAAGCAGATGAGTTAAATCTTGAAAGAATTATTGATTTTAAATTACAGACTGAGTCTGAATAAAACTAGACTCGCTCATCCAAAGATGACAATGAATAATGTTCAACTAATGACTTGTAATTGCATTGTCTGGTTGAAATAAGATTTCTGAAATATCTTTCGACTTGATTAGCAATTTTGAATTCTGACGAGAAAAATGATTATAAAAATTTAACTTTGGAAATTTAACTTTTTAAAATTTTTTATTTTATTAATTTAATTCCAGTAATATCAGATCCAACAAGGATCTTGAAAATAACTTTAAGACAAATTTTCGTCAATAAAGTCGTTTAAGTAATATGTGACACGTGTAAAGATACTAGGATGTATACCACCGCAGCTTCCTTCTCCCTTGCTGACTAATCCAATTTGAATAATATCGTCATTGTCTTTAATAACCACAGGACTTCCTGAATCTCCTCCACAAGTTCTTCTTCCATCCTTGCCTGACATGCAAATATTTCCCTCGTCAATTCTTATGTGTTCCTTTTTACAGTGATGGTTGCTAATGATTGGATTCTCTACAGCATTAAGTGGTCCAACGTGATCATGGTCATTGTCTATTTGAAAAATAGTTTAAGCATGTTAAGAATAAATCAGATGAATAGCTTACCAATTTCTCCCCAGCCTGAAACTAAAGCGTGTTCACCAATAAATGAGTTATCTTCAAGTCCATATGGTAATTTGACTAAGCCAACATAATCATTGAGCTTGAATGGCTTTGGAAGTTTAATAATTCCAACATCATATCCAGTGCCAGGTTCCCATGAAGGATGTGGGAATAAAGCACTTGGATTGACTCTTTGGAACTGACGAGTTTTTTCATGAGTGTTATGTTCATGATGTGCTCCAACGTAAACCTCAACAAAGTCTCTATCTTTTAAGCAGTGAGCTGGAACAAGAAAATAATTTTGATTCTGGATCTCAAAAAAAAAGTTGTGTGATCATTACCAGCTGTAAGTACACGATCAGGTTTAACAAGTGAACCTCCACATTTACTGGTCTTTCCATCACGATGTACAAATAAAAGCACCTGATATGGAATACTATGTGGCTTTACAGCTTCTCCATTATGAATAGCGTAAGTGTAAGACACTAAGGCACAGAATGAAAATATTATAATTAACTTCATTGTAACAGTTAAAAGCTCATTTACAACTGATGGACTTAATGCATCTTGCTTCGTTTTTATATAGCAACTTTAAGGAACAATTAATTCATCAATTTTGTAAGTTCCCATTTATAAATTTGAATTTCTAAGTAAACGCATATTGCTTGCTCATCTTGATGTTGCTGTACACGTGTAGTCATTGATGAAGTTTTGATTGATTAAAAATGAATTATTGGAAATCATGTAAGAAAAACTTTGATTTTACTTCCGATAAATCTATCAGGTAAGTTGTAAACAGTAAAATTGAATATTTCAAGGCATAACTTAAAAAAGTGCATAAAATGTAGCAAATAGCAACAAAATTGTTATTGATTTTCATCCGTGCCTCTAAAAATTATTTTTTCGCTTCCATTTCGCAATTTCAATTAGTTTTTTATATCCAAAATCGAATGTTGTGACTGAAATTATTGAGGATTATAAATAAAATGAACAGAGTCAAAATGAGGACTGGGTTTCATGTCAAGAGCATCAAACTTGATGTATTTAAGTATGTTAACATGCATAAACATGTGAGTTATGTTGAAAAGTTTCAAAATGGCACTAGCAACAAATATGTAGGTGGATATACTCAAGTTGAAATGCAATTTATTCAAGAAATTTGTTGATTGTAAAATTGGCTCAAAACTATTATTTGGCACGTGTTCATGCTGCTATTTATGCTTCTTTTGTGCAAGTGCAAATTTCATGCTCATTTTGTTGAAAGCTTTCGAGTGTTTCAGACCAGCATCTACGAATGTAGTAAGGAAATGAAATGAACGAAGGAGAGTTTTGGAATAATTTAGATTCATTAGTTGACAAAAAGAATCCAGTATCAAAAGAAGCAGGAAAAAAGGAAATAGAACGTGTTGGAACTTGGTTGCAGGAAATTTCAGAACTTGATGAAGTAATAAAATCATCAAAAAATCAACAAAGGTATGCTGTTTATGTGTCATGCATGACAATCAAGTGTAATCAAAGAATTTTCATGCAAAAAAAAAACAAAACTTTCAATTGCTCATAAACAGGAACAACTTGAAACTTTATACAACTTGTGCTGTGTATAAAAAAAATAATCCGATTGTTGCTATTCAATGAAGGAAAAAGCATCGCGTGCAGTATTAGAAAAGAGCAGAAATTGTGTGAAGTGCTTTTTATGAGGAATGGAATTGAAATTTATGGCTTAATTAGAACTTTCTTGGTGTCAATTGCTCTAATTTCAGAAAGTCTAAAGAAGGAAGTGCAAAACCTAAATTAACACCAAAGATGGCAAGAAAAAAGAAGGAAGTGAGTGACGAGGAAAAATCAAAACCAAAACTTGGTAGACAATGCACAATGGAAGGATCTAAAGATGATAAGAAGCTTTATGTACCAAGAAGAATTTTCGCAAGAAGGATGAAGTGTAAAAAACCAAAGAAGAATGTCATTTCAATGAGTTTTGGACCTCTTGTTGACTGCAGGTATGTTAAATTGTAAATAATAGTGAGCTTATTCACACATAAAAAAGCTTTTGTGAAAGAAAGGTTCAAATTGTTCGTGCTTGTTGCTTAATTGAAGATAGAAGAAACTTTTTGTCAAGTTCAAGATCCTCACATTTCTCAAGAGTCAAGAACAAGAAAATGGGAAAGAAGAAGCCAAAAGTGTGGTGGTTTGAAGAGTCTGTTGTTTATGAGTAAGTCAATAGCTCTTTAGTCCACAGTAATGAAAGTGAAAAGAATGGTTCAATAAAGAACGAGTTAGGAACAAGCATTAGGCTATTAGAATTCCAAAAAAAGGAGTATATAAATACATAAATATCTATGTCAAATGCACTGACTTCACATAAAACATAGCCAGATGTATTTCACATGAAATATTTCTCTATCAACCCCAAAAAGACAACGAATGGAAATGAAATGAGAATAAATAAATAAAAACACAGACAAGAGAAATGTAT